TTCGGGCGTTCGCGGGGCCGTCCATCGGTTGCACAAGGCCCTTCACGCCGGACGTATCCGGAGTATTATGGGTTGTCTCCGTCCCCTCCGCCTCCTCAACTGTCCACTTACCCGTGCACACCCAACTAGGACCAACCCGCCCTACGAATGCATTACTGGGTTGGCTACACTGCGGTGGCCTTCCCGGTGTATCGTAGGGGGATGGGGATCTGTTCGCAGACCGCACCCTACGTCACAGTATCACGTTGTGCCCCTTTATCACTGCACATCATGCCTTGTTCCCGATATGCCGTACTTTTCACCAATTCCGTCCCTATTTGTACCTTCCGCCATTATTCCATCCCCATACACCCCACCGCGCCGTCCTAGTCGTGTCGTCTCGTGTCTTAGGCTTCCCTTAGTACTTCTTTGTTCGCATCTTCACCATCGTCCTCTTTAACTTATACTTAACTTCCCCTTTCGCTTTCCTTGCCTCATTCCGCATATCTGGCTCTCCGCTGGACATCGCTACCAACTCGCCTCGACCTAACTTAATCCATGGTCCTGGCGGCTTGCCATGGACATGTCTCATGGTGCACATATCCTGTGCACGCAGGTACGTGTTTTATCGTGTGTCAGTCTGTGTTGTTTTTCATGCGTGCTCGTGTTGTGCTGTTCCTGTTGTTTGCCTTTGCCCAACGGCGCGGTGGGTCTCCAGCTCACCTTCAGCAGCCTCCACACATGCCCAAGACTATGGTAAGGTTGCTCCATAATTGGTAAGTTCGGTAAGTTTCGCTCGCATTGCTTTAACCACCATTTCGGCTCGACTCACGGTTGATTCCACCAGGGATTGTCAGCAACTTGTATCATTATCATACCACACTTTGGAATTTCTTTTTTACCCACCGCAACGCCCTCGGAGCCGCAGCCTAGCCGCTTATGAGGCTCCTTCTGTGGCAGGGGAAGGGCGGGGAGGGGAAAGGAGGGGGGGGGGTAGGCAGGAAGAAACGGACGCGCTGCATGAAGTGAGGGGGCGGGAGGGAGTTGGTGGCAGGGTAGGGTAGCTCACGTCACCAATACACACACGTACACACCGAAGCACAAGCCGTGGCCACCGCGCTGACATGCGGTGCCACTCGCTCAGCCTCCACCATCATCTCCAGTTCCCTTGCCAAAACCCCTACCCAGACCCATGGGTCACCCATACCCACCTTCCACCCTCCCGGATCCCCCCCCCAAACACGCACACCCCATCTCCCCCACACCCACGATAAACGATACACGCACACGCACACCCACTCATCTTCCGGCAACAACAGTATTTCCCCTTCTAGCTGCCAGTTTCCCCAACACACACTCACGATGAGCAGCTTGCTGATGAGGTCCTGCGCCCAGGGCCCCATGTGTTCCGGCAGCGTGTACTGCCCCTCCATGATGCGCGCGTAGGTGCCGTGCGCGTTGCCGGTGTAGAAGGGCGGGAAGCCGTGAAGCATCTCGTAGATCACACAGCCCAGCGACCACCAGTCCACGGCCGGGGTGTGGCCCTGGGGGAGAGGGAGGGAGTGTACGGAAGGTTCGTACGGAAGGGGGGTTAAGCGGTTGAGGGGTGGCAAGGCATGGGGCGGAGCGCGTGCAGCTGGTTGCCTCCTGCCGCCGCATCTAAGTGTGTATCGCCTGGACCTAACCCTGCCCTAAGTTCATCACCACGCGGCACGGTTTGGTACCTTTCTCCCCCCGAACCAACTCCGAACCCCCCAAAACTCAGTCCGTCAGTGTCCTTAACTTTCTACCCCCATGCCCTCCCCCCCCTCCCCCCCCCTCCCCCCCCCTCCCCCCCTCCCCCCCTCCCCCCCCTCCCCCCCCCTCCCCCCCCTCCCCCCCCCTCCCCCCCCTCCCCTCCCTCCCCTCCCTCCCCTCCCTCCCCTCCCTCCCCCCCCTCCCCGCCAAACCTCACCACTCCGCTGATCACCTCCGGCGCCAGGTAGTCGGGAGTGCCGCACATGGTGTAGCTGCGCCCCTTGATTTGCTTGGCGAACCCCAGATCCGTCAGCCGCACGTAGCCGTCCGCGCCGATCAGCAGGTTCTCAGGCTGGGGGGTAGCAGAGGGAGGGAAAAAGGGAAAGGGTGGTAGCAGTAGGTTGGTAGACAGATAGGTAGGTAGGTAGGTAGTGGCAGGGAGGGAGAAAGGGAAAGGGAGCGGGAGCGGGAGGAGCGTGGGCGCAAGGGACAAGGAGAGGGAGAGGGCAGAGGTGTGTTCATCTCTTAGCCAGGAACGCGAATGAGCGAATTAGAGTACCAGGGTTAGCACGGGAGGAACGGATTGGGAGCAGTCTCCTCCTCCTCTCGGCTTTTCCCCTGTACTAACCCCACTCCGCACGCCGACACCTTTACCCGCACTCCACCCAATGCACCCCGCATCCCCCGCGCATTCCGCACCCTACCCCACCGCCACCCCACCCCAACCCACCCACCCCCATCCCTGCCGTACCTTGAGGTCCCGGTACGCGATGCCCCACGCGTGCAGGTGCTCCAGCGCCAGCACGATCTGCGCGGTGTAGAAGCGCGCGTGCTCCTCGGGGATGCGTCCGTGGTCGCGCATGTGGGTGAAGAACTCACCACCCGCCACATAGTCCATAACCAGGTAGAGGTTGTCGATGTCCTGGATGTGGAGGGGAGGGGAGGAGGGGTGAGGGGAGGGGTGAGGAGGGGTGAGGAGGGGAGGAAGGTTGGGGGAGGTGGAGGGTGGTAGGCCCGTCAAGCCACGCATGCATGCAACGTGCGCCTCCTCGTTCGCGCCTTCCGTTCGCGCGGCGGGATCATTGGAATCTTTCCTCGGCCAACAATCAATGGAAGCACGCATGCATGCTCCTCAGTCAGCAGCCATGGCCATGCAGGTCAGCAGCTGGCCAAACACGCGCACACCTGGAATGTTGTGAGGAGGTTGATGATGAAGGGGTGCCCAGCCACCTTGCCCAGCATCCGTCGCTCGTCCAGCACGTGAGATACCTGTAGTACGACAGTTAGTTGGTTAGTTGGTTGCGGTTGTTACAGGTCTCTCTCTGTCTCTAAATCTCTGTATAAATCCCTGTCTAAGCCTCGAACCGGCAGTCCAAACGTCATGCAACAGCAGTCTCAACGCACGTGCCGTAAGTGTGTGTATGCATGCAGCCACCCCCGCCCTTCACGCCCCCTCCCCCTTGTGAGATGGGGATGATACCGGTATGCCGTACAACCCATGCCCCCTACATTCACGTACGACACGCACGCACACACACACACACACGTACCTGGTTCTCCCGGATGACGGCCTTCTTGTTGAGTGTCTTGATGGCGACCACCCTGCCGCTCTCCTGGTGCCGTGCTAGCGACACGCGGCCGAAGCTGCCGGCGCCGATGATTCGGATCCAGGTATAGTCGTACTTGCTGGGCGTGCGGGGGCGCGGAGCGGGTGAGGCGGGCTGGGTGGCAGAGGAGACGGTGGAGCATGTGCTGTCTAGCCGCTGTGCGAAGGGAGGAGGAGGGAGGGAGGAGGAAGGAGAGGTTGCGGTTGATTGGGTAGCGGTTGGGTTGGTAACGTGGTTCGGTGGTGATTGGGGGATGATGCAGAGGAGGTTTGGGTGACGGTTGGGAGGGCAGTGGGGCCTGCTGTCGTCTCAGACGAGTTGGTTGAAATTGTTATTAGGCATGAGCGTTTGAAGGTTGGAAGGATGAGGCGAGGTGGATCCGATCGTGATGATGGTGCGTTAGCAGCAAGCTTAGCGGGACAGGATAAGGAACGCGCAAAAGGCGCTTCAAAAGGCAATTCAAGGTAGGCCTTCTCGGGCCCATACGCACGTTCCTCTGCAGCCCAATGCATGTGAAAATTTGAATGTAACGCTAGCGTTTACACGCAGTGCTGCTAAGCATGCAGCGTATCGGTCAATCTTTTTTCGTCGGTCGGTCGGCCGATGCAATGGTTGCGAGCAATGTCGCCCATCCTCGGCACGAGCTTCGCACCTTTGCTGCTACCGCATGTGGCCCTTCCAATCCTGATACTATTTGTACCTTGACCGTCGCATCGGCTCCCTGATGTTTGCCCGGGCAATGCAGAGGGAAAGTGCCGATTGGCTGTAGGCCCACGAAGCGTCAGGTCACGTCAGAAGCAAAGCGTCTTACCTCTGGCAGGTTATTCTTTCGTCTAAGCTCCGTTAGCACTGTATGCTTCCATCCGCCTTTGTCGCCAGCAGCATTGGCTGGAGAAGCTAACGGCACAGGGCCACTGCTGGTGCTGCAGCATGACTCCATGGCGCGGAGCAATCGTGCACGCTTGGGCGGAAATGACCGCGTACACACACTAGGCGTGGGAAATCGCGATGCTTTATCAGAACAGAGCTCTACAGAGCTTGAGGGCGCGCCACGGGTGTCAATCAGAGAGTTGGCGAAAGGAAGGCGGTTTTCGCGGTTGCAAGCTGCGACGTGTGATGTGGCACAAACTAAAGCTATCGTCTGTATCTAATTAACCTAAAGTACTTAGTGAACCTAAAAACAATGTGAGCAGGAAGCCGAGGCCAGCATAGGTGCAGGCGACTGTTCAGGCCCGTACGGAGTGTCGCTTCGGCAGTGGAGGTCGAAAGGACAGCCGTCGCGATTTGCACGGGACGCGCGAAAAGCTGAACTAAGCTAAACCAAAGAATATAGGTTTCATTAAATGGCTTTGGTGTTCGGTCCTCGGACTGGAACAAGTTTGCGAAGCGCGACCGGCTTAGCGGTGCTATCCTTTCATCCTTCAAAAGCTTGGACCGCGCCATCACAAGGCTCGATTGCTTAATTCCAATGTACTGCAACTATGGAAGACAACTGCATCGTTGAAGGCCGAAGCCTCACCGGACCGCCCGAACCAGGCCGACGCGACCGAGCCTGTCGAGCCCGACCGAAAGCGTAGGAACTTTGGGGCAGCCCACGGCTACGCCCGATGATGTAACACGTGACATCCTTTTCTGCTCGACAATTTTTGCGTGCATCGTTTGGCTTGCCTTGCGGTGCGCTGCTTTCCGTTTCTGCTGCAGTTGCTCGCCCGTTATTACTCATCACCATCCGGCCCGCTTCTAGACAGCAAGGGAAACTGAATACCAATCCAAGCTCCGTTGACCCTACACGTTGGAAACAGTATTTAATAATTTGGCGTGCATGCTCCAGGATCCTCTGCACACGTCTGTTATCGCCTGCTGCCTTCACGCAAAGGTCCCGACGACGGCGAATATTATGCTATCACCCCGCCTCGGCCCTTCTTATCGAAAATTGACCAGCTTACAACCTTCTCGAGCAAGTCTTTCAATTTGTAGCTTCTCATCCGTTCGCGGTTGCGCCAAACGCCGTGTTTCCCACTAGCAAACAGGCAGGATACGATCGGCAAAGGCAAAGTCGCCCTTTCTGCTGGCTTGCGCTGAACGCACGCTGTGTCCAGGTACCACACTGCCTTGACACGTGCCTGCACGCTTGGGAAGAAGGCTATCCCAATCGCACGCACGAAAAACCTGGGTCACAAGGATACTAATCAAACTGCGCGAAACACCTCGCGCTGTAGTGTCTCACCAGCTATTGGCAACAAGGCCCCCGCCCGCCCTGTCTGACACCACCAACACGCCGGCCATACGTCCCCCCTCGCAGCACCAGCAGCAGCACCAGCAGCACCTGTTTCCTCCACTCGTCCACTGCTCGCCACCTGCTTGCCTGCACAGCCCTCCCAAGACTGTCGGCCCAGGTCGGGTCTCAAGTCCGGCCCGAACCATGGGCCACCCCACACCCACCCACCCAACCACCCACCCAGCATTCCCCCACCGTACGCAACGAACTAACGAATGCACTTAATATTTCGATCTGATTTCATTTTGATTCCATTTTCCGGTCGCAGCCGAAGTCGCACCCCACACCTCCTCCCTACCGGCTTACGCCCCCTACCCCACCCCAACAAGTCCGCCCTCCCATGCATCTCTTCCTCCTCCACCCCTTAGCTCTTCCACCGGCACACTATCGCCCCCGGTACGCCCTGTCCCTGTCCCCATACGCCTCATACATTCCACCCCCCATCACCACCTCAAACTGCTGCTGCTGCTGCTGCTGCTCCTGCTCCTGCTGCAATCGATACTGTCTTTGTAATTGCTGCTGCTGGTACTGCTGTTGCTGCTGGTACTGCATTTGCTGCTGCTGCTGCTGTTGGTTGCGCTCCAGGGACGCCAGCAGCTGCCCGGGCTGCCTCCGCGCCCCCTCCACCAGCGCCTGCTGGTGCTGCAGCCAGCGGTGCTGAGCCTCGGAGGCGGCCTGGGGGCCGGGGGGGTGGCGGGGCGGGAGAGGGAGGGGCGGGGGGGAGGGAGGGGAAAGGAAAGGAAAAGTGAAGTAACGAAGTCCCAATCCTAAATCCCGATGGAGGAGGAGCGGGCGGGAGGGAGGAGAGGAAGGGGAGGAGAGGAGAGGACGTAAAGCGGTAACGGAAGATGCGAAATGGGGCCATCCCGGCACCCGCCCACCCACCCACCCACCCAGATCCCAACCCGACTCAACCCTGCCCATGCAACCCATGTTGACGCCTTACCCCTCAGTCAGTTAGTTGTTTCCTCTTTACTCCCCACCCCACCACACCACACCCACCACACCCGCCCGCCCGCCCGCCCTACCTTAGCGCTCCGGGCTGCCTGCACCGACTGCTCTGCGGCCGCCAGCAGCTGCGCGTGCTGCCGCTGCACCTCCCCCGCGCGACTGCGGATGCGCGCCAGGAAGCGCACGTCGGAGGCCAGCTGCGGCAGGGAGGGGGGGAAGGAGGGGAGGGGTGTCAAAGACCATACCGAACCATAGGAGGAGGCGAGGAGTGGGGAGGGGCAGCTGCCACCACTGCCCCCGCTACCACCACTGCCCCCGCCACCGCTGCCGCACCCCCCCCCCACACACACACACTCCCCTGCCCCCCTCCTCCCTCCTTCCCCCCACCTGCGCCTCCCTCTTCCGCCGCTCCGCCTCCGCCCGCTGCTGCTGCCGCGACCCCACCGAACTCGTCACCGAGGAGCCGCCCGGCGACACATCCCGACTGCCACCACCTCCACTTCCACCCCCTGCAGCAGCAGCAGAAGCAGCCACCCCTCCTTCGCGACTGCTGCTATGGCCGCGAGCTCCGCCACCGCCACCGCCACCGCTGCTGTGTCTCCTAGCTGCGTCGGCGGCAGCGGCAGCAGAGACAGCGGCAGCGGAGGCAGCGGAGGCCGGGCCGGACCCCGCGGAGGGGTGCAGGGAGCGCGCTGAGGCCCTCCGAGTGGGGTGGGCGCCGCCGTCGTGGTGGCTGCCTGCTCCGGGAGGCGAGGGGTGCGAGGGGTGATGCGCTGCGGAGGAGGAGGGGGCGGCAGAGGAGGAGGAGGAGGAGGGAGAGCGGGCAGGGTGGGCGGGGGCGGTGCCTGCGGTGTTGGCGTGGGCGGGTAGGGCGGGTAGGGTGGGTAGGGTGGGTAGGGTGGGTAGGGTGGGTAGGGTGGGTAGGGTGGGTAGGGTGGGTAGGGTGGGTAGGGTGGGTAGGGTGGGTAGGGCGGGTAGGGCGGGTAGGGTGGGTAGGGTGGGTAGGGTGGGTAGGGTGGGTAGGGTGGGTAGGGTGGGTAGGGTGGGTAGGGTGGGTAGGGTGGGTAGGGTGGGTAGGGTGGGTAGGGTGGGTAGGGTGGGTAGGGTGGGTAGGGTGGGTAGGGTGGGTAGGGTGGGTAGGGTGGGTAGGGTGGGTAGGGTGGGTAGGGTGGGTAGGGTGGGTAGGGTGGGTAGGGTGGGTAGGGTGGGTAGGGTGGGTAGGGCGGGTGTGCAGGGGGGGAACGAGGCCACATGCGTGTTGCATGCAAGGCGGCGCTGGCGAGGCAGCCGGTGCGCAGCGGTGGTGCATCCATCCATCCACGAAGCCATCCGGCCGGCCGGCTCGCAAACAACAACCCAATCCCCCCATCCCCCGGGGGCCGGCCACCATGTTTGCACCCCCCATGGTGAAGCCTACATGTCATACAGCTCGTCAGGTTCCTTACTTTGACCCCTTCCAAGTCCTCCCCACCCACCCACCTCTCCTGCCGGTAGCGCTGCCGCCCCCCACGCCGCCCGCACCAGCACCGCCAAGCGGCGGCAACTGCTGCTGCTGCTGGGGAGAGGCTGGGGAGCCCCCTGCCGCCGCCGCCGTCATCATGGTGCTGGTGCTGCTGGTCGCTCCCATGAGGCCCGAAGAGAAGGAGCCCCGGCGGCTGCTGCTGCTGCTGCTGCCGGCACCGCCGCCCGGAGCAGCCTGTCTGGGGGTCCCGCCGGGCGCCCGATGCTGGTGCTGCTGGTGCTGGTGCGGATAGTGTCCGTGGCCATGACTCTGGTAGGAGTAGGGTTGCTGGTGCTGGTGGTGTTGCTGTCGCTGATGCTGGTGATGGGGTGCATGCCGGTGGCTGCCGCTGCTGCTGCTGCTCGCCCGCTCCAAGGTGGCAGCTGCTGCTGCGGCCGCATCGAGCTCCTCCCGAGCCATGGCAATAACGTTGAGGGTGTCCTGTCGGGGTGGGGGGTGGTGGATGGGGGCGGGGCGGGGAGCGGTGGGGGGACCGGAAAGGCGGGGTGCTGACAAGGATGATGCCTTACCTGGCATGAGGGCATGCGGGCTGCAGGTCCCACAACGTCTCCGCAGCAAAGAGAGCGGCACGTGCCAACAGACCGATCCCATTTCCAACTCCCACTCCACCCCCACCCCCCCACCCCCACCCCACCTCCAGCGCATCCAGCAGCTCCGGCGGGATGCGCTGTGCGGTGGCCGCCTCGATGGCGTCCAGCGGGTGGTCGGGGGGCAGCGAGGCACACTCGCGGATGAGCCCCTCGATCTCGGCCAGCAGCGCCAGGGACTGCTCCAGAACCTGGGATGCAGGGGGGGGGCGGGAAGGGGGCAGGGAGGGTAAGGGGTATAGGAGGAAGGTTACGGGGAGGTGGGAGGAGAAGGGAAGCAGCAGCAGCAGCGAGGAAGTAGCAGTAGCAGCGTGCAGAAGTGAAAACAACAGCAGCTAGCAGTACCCGCCACCCCCACCCACCACCCACCACTGCGGGATCCTCCTCCTCAAACAGCTCCTCACGTCGACGACTACGAGGCGCACCGCCTGCCCCACCTCCTGTCCCGGCAGTAGCACCGCCTCCGCCTCTCCGTTCGCCCATCCGGCCTCCTGCACCCCCACCTCCACCCCCACCACCACCCCCACCACCACCCCCACCACCACCACCAGCCCCCCAGGCACCACTACTAGCGGAGCTCCGGCGGGATCCAGCGGCGACCCCGCCGGCAGCAGCAGCAGTGGCAGCAGTGGCAGCTGGAGACCCGGGCTTAGAAAGCATGGGAGAAGCCCGCTGAGTGGCCGCTACCGGTACTGCCGCGCCCGAAGCAGGGGAGGGAGCTCCCTCCCTGCCGAGGGGGCCCCCACTGCCACGTGACTGATGGGTGCTTGGAGGCAGTTCCCAGTTGGGTGCTGTTGCCGCTGTTGCTGCTGCTGCTGTTGTTGCCGTTCCCGCCGGAGGGGCTCTGGACCGGGTGCGGGGGTGGGGGGATGCGGAGGCGCTGGAGGGATTGTGGGTGGGTGAGGACTCGGCGATGAGGCCGTAGGGAGGTGGTTCGTGCCGCTGTTGCTGTTGCTGTTCCTGATGAGGGTAGGAGAGTGGGTGATGCGAGTGCTGAGGGTGCGAGTGTGGGTGTTGAGGACCGAAGCGAGTGTTACGAGGCGGCGAGGTGCGGGGGGAGCCTCCAGCGGAGCCGGGAGCGGCGGCGATGGAGCGTGTCGAGAGCTGCGGCGCCACGTCACCCAGTGAGCCGCTGCCGTACACTGAATGCAGTGCCGACGCTGCTGACGTCAGCGGCGGCGGCGGCGTCACGAGGTGCTCCTCCGCCTGCGGCTGGGTAGGTGCGTACGCGGCACGCAGCGGCGACGTCGGTCGCGGCCAGTTCCCGCCGCCGCTATCGGAAGCACCGCCGCGGCAGCTGACGCCAGCGGGTGCCGTACAAGGGCTTCTGGGCGACGTCGGCAACGGGCCGCCGCCGCTGCGCCGACGCCCAGGGGAGGTGGCGGGGGAGCGGCCGGAGGAGGGGGACCCCTTGGGACTGTACACCGACTCCAACCAGCTCTGTTGCGGCTGCGGCTGTGGCTGCGGCTGCTGCTGCTGCTTGGATGAAAGTAAGACCGCTGCTGCCTGGGTTTCGGAGCCACGGCTACCTGTAGCGGTTGCCATTGCCATGCCATCTTCTGGGCCGCTGCCGACTGTGCGGCCTGTCGTACTGCGAGCGGGGCCCACATGCTCGACGCCAGTGCTGCCGCCGCCGGGGGCCCTGCCGCTGCCCGCAGCTGCTGCGGAGGCGTCGTGACGGACGTAAGTGGCGAAGGTGGAGGAGGGCTGGCTCAGCTGTTTGTGACGATGTGGGTCCTCGCTGCGGGTGGGTTGGGGACCGTGTGAGGCCACCTCCCTGGGGGCGGCGTTCGAGGCGGCCTGCGCGCCGCCCTCGTCCGCATGCGTGGCGTCTTCCTCGTCTAAGGCGTTGACCATGGCAAGGAGCTCAGCTCCGGTGACGCCAGAAGGTCCGGGTGAGGGAGTTTCAGGGGATTGCAACGCGGGCGGGGAGGTGGTGCCATGGGGAAGCTCTAGCGGCTTTGGAGGGCGCACTTCGTCCGGAGCGAAGACGCCATATTCGTTGAGTCCCACCATGGCGCCGCGTTCCATGAATTCTGTACTGGATCGCAGCCCATTTGCGCCCGCGGCGTCCGTTCGATGACGGGAGTCCATGGCACTTGCAGCTATATTTGCTATTGAGCCAAGGCCACGATAGGAGACTTGACGTTTATACTATTCGTCTATGAGCTAAAAGCGCATCATGAATAACACAATCGGCTTGCAAAAAGTAGCTGCAGTTGGAATGCTATGCCGCGGCCATCAACGCGTCTGCTAGCAATAAATATTGCAGCATGTACAGGGTTTAGGAAACGGGATAGCAGTGTAGTTGCCCTGATGACCCTAATGACCTAGCTGGGTTCACGTCCATGGGCATTTACTTTGTAGAAGCGCACTTCAATATATACAAAACCGGATGTCGCTTCCATCAAACTCAAACGCGTTAAGCGCTTTTCACCTTCGCCTATGCCGCTAGCGCACAGGCCGGTGCATAGCTTGTACGGACGCTGTGACACAGACTTTGGAAAATTGGAAGCACCTCGCTTTGCCAGCGCACATCCTCACCTTGAGGCAATTAGGTACAAGCGGTTACGGATAGACCTTTACGTTTCTAGTCTTTGCCGGTAGCTTTTTGCCGGCCTGGGTCTCCGTGATCTCTCCACGCGCGAAAGCCATCATCACAGAGCGCCACGGCAGCCAACAAAAACGGGGCCCAGCCTCTCGACGGCAGCGGTTTCGAAAAGGCAAGGCCGGCAAAGGCAAGCGATGCCTCTGGGGATTGCCGACCCCCGGGACTCTAGGCGGCGGGGTGGTGAACCCTAAGAAAGCAGGCGCCGGCGGCAAAAAATCGGGAAGGAGCCGCTCGGCCATGTTTTCAGGCGGAGAGGTTGTGGGCGCAACGGGCCGCGCGCAGCACTTTCACAAGGTTAGTTGGTTGGCTAATAAAGCGGAACCCTGCTTTGGAATTTGCAACCGCCTCTTTGCGACAGGAAGAGAAGCAAGATGCGTATGTTGCATGATTTGTTGCTGTGAAGGAGCAAAGGTTGAAGAGCGTTTTGGCCTGTAAGCCTCGCCGTTAGCCTGGCCTGTTATATTCGGACGAAGGACTCCGAGGTTGCTGTAAACAAGTCCAGGCCAAGTCGCACTTCTTCCTTCCTTTCCTCCCTGTTTTCGTGAACTAATTCTTACGCAAATTCCTTGCTCCCTCCCACCTCGCTCCCTCCAACATTGCACCTCATCGCCTCTCACTCCTTAACACCTTTTTGGCCCTCCCCCTCCGCCTCTCCTCACCTCACCGCTCCCTCTGCCTCCCCCCACCTCCCCTCCCAGGTGTTCACCTACCACTCCCTGGTGCGCCTCTCCCAGTCCGCACCCCACTGGGCGCTGGTGCCCTCATTCGACCACACCGCACTGCTGCCGGAGCAGCGGCTGGTGTCGGGGCAGGGACTGCTGGGTGGGTGTGTGGGTGGGGGCGGGGGCGGGGGCGGGGGCGGGGGCTGCTGGGTGGGTGGGGGCGGGGGCTGCTGGGTGGATGGGGGCGGGGGCTGCTGGGTGGGTGGGGGCGGGGGCTGCTGGGTGGATGGGGGCGGGGGCTGCTGGGTGGATGGGGGCGGGGGCTGCTGGGTGGATGGGGGCGGGGGCTGCTGGGTGGGTGGGGGCGGGGGCTGCTGGGTGGATGGGGGCGGGGGCTGCTGGGTGGGTGGGGGCGGGGGCTGCTGGGTGGGTGGGGGCGGGGGCTGCTGGGTGGATGGGGGCGGGGGCGGGGGCAGGGGCAGGGGCTGCTGGGTGAGGGTGGGGGCGGGGGCGGGGGGAAATATAGCGAGCGAGGGGGGAATGGGGGTCAAAGACCATACCGAACCATAGGAAGCCACAGGTTGGGATGGGGGGGGGCGAAGGGCGGGATGGGGCGGGGCAGGGTCGGAGGAAACCTAACTAGGAAGCTACGCGTGTGGTGGAATAGCGGGGGCGATACGCACCGCGCACTCCGCAGCCCCTCCCTCCCTCCTCCCAACGTCCGAACCGCCTGCCGCCCTCCGCCCCCTCCCTCTCCCCTTCCCAGCTGGCCCCTTTTGACAGAAAACTACACCCCCTCATCACCCCTGCCCCTGCCCCTTCCCTGCCCCTTCCCTGCCCCCCTCCCCCCCATGTAGAGATGTACGAACAGCGGCGGCTGTCCCCCGCCACCCTGCTTGTGGGCCTCACTGCGCGGGCCGCACTGCCGCTGCCGGCCTGCTTCTTCAGGTGGGGGCTGCGAGGAGGTGCGGGCTGGGGAGATGGGTGTGAGGAAGTGGGGGCGACATGGGGGCGACCATGCTGGTTGCGTTACGTTACAGCTGGCTGCGATGTGTTTTTGAGATGGCGAGGTGGAGCGGGAGGAAAGGGCCGCGGCGACGGTGCATCGCACACCATCTATCAGCTAGCTATGACTTTACGTGACCGCTTGTTGATTTTGCTGTAGACAGTACCACAGGTGTTGTGGCGCCTCCCTTCTAAAGCCTTCGCGGACGACGTGCTCTCAGCGCTTTTTCCTAACCGAACCAATCAAGGCGGTAATACAACCTCTTAACTCTCCCCCGCATCGCATCATCCTGACCCCGCCTGGCCCCCCACCGCTCCCCTCGTAAGGCCCCTGGAGCTACTTCTAGAGCTGTTGGACGCAAGCCTGCCGTACACTCCGCTAACGCCGGAAGATGTGGAGCGCCGTGCGACACCTTCGGGGTGGTGCCAACCCATGCAGATCTTGGTGGCGGCGGCGGCGGCGGGAAAGGGACGGTACGGCAGGCAGCCGCCGCCACCGCCGCCGCCAGTGACGGTGTCGACGTCACAAGAAGGGACTGGCGGCGGCGGCAGTGGCGGTGGCGGCGCCGCTGCGGACCGTCCCGCTCATGCCCGTCGGTCGCGCTTGCGGTCGCAATCCAGCATCGGAAGCGGCGGCAGTGATGACGTGTCGTCAACGGCGGCGACCGCCGCCGCCGCCACCGCTGCTCTTGAAGCTGGCGGCGGCGGCGGTGGCGGCGGCGGCGGCGGCGGTAGTCCGTGTCGTCGTACTCGGTCACAAAACGTCGACGTTGCAGCGGCCTCCTCTGCAGAGGCGCCTCTTAGGTCCGAGCAACAGGAAGGGAGTGCCAGCGGTGGTGGCGGCAGCGGTGGAGGCTTGCTGCCGGGTCGTTCGTCAACCGCCGCCGCCGCCGCCGCGGCCAGCGCCGCAATGGCTCGTACAAGTACGGCAGATCTGTTGCGTTCCGCGCAGTACTGGTGCTTCGTACACTTCTACACAGGTAGGTGGGTGGGTGGGTGCAGGAGGGGTGCGGGAGGAGAGAGGAGAGGGAACACTGTAGCAAGGCTACAATACAAGTCCTAGAGGGAAACCTCACGACATCTCGAGAGGCCTTTTAGGACCGTAGGCCGTAGGCCGTAGGCCGTGGAGGTGGTGGCGATGGATGGCTGTTGTTGGGAGGGTTTGATATCGACAACACGGTCGCGGCACTGGTGCTGTTACTCCTGTTAGTGATTAGGAAAGGAAGTGTGAGGTTTGGTGCGGGGGAACGACGGGTGTCATCAATCAATGGGCGCCTCAGTAGGCATGCTGTGCACGAGGCGGCTCGTGACCGGATAATGGTATTCTCTCCAGTTAACTTAATGCTTACTGCACCTCACAGAAGCCGAACCCGAACGAGTACCCAACACCCTCACCTCGATCCCGCCCTTCACCGAACCCCACCCCGCGTTTGGTTTCCCTCCCTCTCCCCTCAACCCCGCCCCGCCTCGCCTTCACACCCTCACACCCTCGGCCGTCCTCACACCCTCACACCCCGCCCCACCTCCGCACGCAGGCAATGACATCAAGTGTGTCATGAACGACACTCCCAGCACCATGCTGCAGCGCCTGCAGGCCAACCGCCTCTCCGACTTCACCCCCGTCATCGGACTGGCGGAGAAGAAGGAGTTCCACGTCTACATCCGCGCCTGCCTCTTCATGCCGCTCGCCGCGCTGCTACAACTGCACCGCGACGGCAGCCCTTGCCCGCTCTCAACCAACAACCTACTAACCACCTTTGACCAGCGCGGGCTGAAACTGGCGTTGTTGGCTGGGCCGCCGCCGCCGCCGCCAGCAGCGGCGGCAGCGGCGGCTACTGGCGGTGGCGGCGGCGTGGCGGCGGGAGGGTTTGGGATGGGAGTTGGCCTGGGCTTGGGGATGCACGGTGCGGGTATGGGGGCGGTGGGTATGGGGGCGGTGCCCGGTGGGGGTGTGGTTGGAGGACCCATGGGGATGGGCATGAGCTTGCATGGGGTGGGCGGCCTCGGTGGCGTGGCGGCGGGCGCTGGAGGCTGGCATGCCGGACCGTGGGGGCCATCGGTGGTATACGGCGGCAGCGGCGGCGGCGGTGGACTGATGGCGCCGCCGCCGCCGCCAGGTGGGCTGACGGCCGGCGGCGGCGGCGGTGGCGGCGGGTCTCGTTCAGCTCCCGGCAGTACGGGCAGTACGGGCATGTCAAGGCCGGGTAGCTCAACGGGGCTCAGCGCAGGAGCACTGTCATCAGCGTCGCCAATCTTGGTCAACCAGTTGCCTGGGGGGCAGTACGGCAGGGAAGATATGTACGGCCCGGTCGTCTTGGACGAGTACGGTAGCATTGTATCGCAGTACTACGAGTACCTGCCGTACATGGGGTCGCCGTACGGCCAGCCACCAAGCCCCGGCGCTGCCTCACCGCTGTACGGCCGTGCGCAGCCGCCACTGCTGTCGTCCTGGCGCGGATCTGGCGGCGGCGGCGGGGGCGCCGTCGGCCATGTTTCCAGCAGCGGCAACATGCTGAAAGGGTACGGCAGCGCCGGGAGTGGCGGCGGCGGCGGTGGCGGTGGCCGTCAGTCAAGTCAGTGCTGGCGGTCCCCAGGCTCCGCAGCCGCAATGCAGGCAGGTGGTCTGGGCACAGTGGGCGGATCGAGTTTCGGATCCGGAGGCGGCAGTCCTCGGAAGATTTGGGACGGATCTGGATCTCTCGATGTGGCAATCGCAAGCAGTGGCGGCGGTGGCGGCGGTGGCGGCGGCGCCGGTGAAGGCACATCAGCGGTGCAGGCAGCCGGCCCTCAGGCAGCTGGACGACCTGCGGAGGCGCGGACTCCCGGCGGCGGCTCCCCACAGCGGCAACAGCAACCCCAACAAACGCCGCAGCCGCATCCGCATTCGCTGCTGTTGCCTGGTGACAGCACCGCTGCTGCAGCTCCTGCAGGGCCGGTTGCGAGCAGCGGTGAGGCAGCCAGTCCAGGATGGTCGCGGGTGGACATGGTGCCTGATGCCTCCCATGCAGGGGAGGAGGCCTCCCTGGAGGAAGGCATGCAGCGGTTAGGGATCAGCCTGGCGGCGGCGGCGGCGGGTGGGATGGCGGCAGCGGCGGCGGCGGCAGAGCAGCCCGCCCTCGTCACCAGTGTCAGTGACGGCGCCCTTACGAGTTACCTGGGGTCAGGTCTTTCCTTTGGCACCGCCGCCGAGGGCAATTGCTGGTCGCCGTCGCATGGGCTGTTCGCTGCGAGTGCCGCCGCTCCTGCGTCGCCCGGCTTCAGCGGCATTGTTGGCGGTACGACAGCCGCGGGATCGCTGTCGGACGCGCTGGTCGGCCTGGGCAGCCATCTCAGGGTTCGCATCGGTGGAGGGCTGCATGGGTCCTCGCCCGCGCTAGCCACGCCGCCGCTATCCCCGCCGTACAACATGTACGACAACGCTACATCCGCTATCGGCAGCGGCGCCGCCAGTGGTTTGGAAATTGCTGGCAGCGGCGGTGGCGGTGGTGATGGCGATGGTGGCGGTTTACCAGGAAGCCTCCCGGCGCTGCCAACGTCAGTTGAGGAGTCACGACACGTCCATCGGGGCTCCTTCGGCGCCGCCAGCGGCACGTTCATCAGCCTCGGCCTTGGCCTCAGTGGCGGCGGCGGCGGCGGCGGTCTCACGAGTGAGCTCAGCGGCAGTAGCGGTGATGACACTCAGATCCTGCACGAAGGAGCTCAGTCGCTGCAGTCGCTCCTCGGCTACCAATGTGGCGTCGGCGGCGGCAGCACCGCTGCACTGGCGGCGGCAGAGGAATTGTACGGCAGCGCGCCCTCAGCGGCAGGCACTGAAGGTGGTGCCGGCGGTACGACAGGCAGCAGCGGCGGCGGCGGCGGCTTCTCGAGAGCCCGTTTCGGCAGTGACGCGCTGTTCGGAGGTGGTAGCAGCGGCGGCGGCAGTGGCGGCGGAGGCTTCGGTGGCTTTGGCGGCGCCCCTGGCGGCGGCGGTGCCGGCCGCGGCTTTGGCCCCAGCGGCGGCGGTGGCGGAGGCGGAGGCGGCGCGACGCCGCCGCCGTCGTCAGCGGCTGTGTCGTTCTTCATGCCCCGAGGAACCGCGGTACGACACTGGGAGTCCCCGGCATTCCGGCTGTTCACATGCGACTCGGTTTCGGAGCCGTTCGGAGCCCGGTGGTGGTTTCTGGATGCCAGCGGAGCCGTACAAGGACCCTTCACGGCGGAACAGATGGTGCGTCGGCTTTCCAAACGCCGTTCTAGGGTTGCAGGTTGAGGGAAGGCAAGTGCCATGGCCAGCACAGCGTATACGATATGCCTCCCATTCCTTACCACAAATCCCCTATTCGAGATCCCTGTCGCCCCCTCTGTTGGCCCCTCGCACCCCCCCCCCATGTCGCAGGTCGTCTTCTACTTCAGTGGCCTTGTGGGTGACTCCTCCCTGGTGTGCGGTACGGAAGCCAATGTCGTACCGCCGCTGGTGCCGCCACGTTATTGGTTCGAGGGGCTTATGTTGCTGCTCCAAGGCGCCGGCCAGGGCTGCCGGTACCGCCTGCTGACGGCGGCGGAATGCGAGGAGGCGGCGACGCCGCGGACACGCCTGGAGCTGCCGCCGCCGCTAGCAGCGTCGCCAAGCGGCGGCGGCAGCGGCGCCGGGGGTACGTTGGCCGCTCGTACGGCAAGTATGGGGCTCGGTACGGCAACGACGGCAACGGCGACGGCGGCGGCGCTGCTGACGCGTCGGTCGGTTAGCAGCGGCGGAAGCATGCTGGCGCTGGCGAGCGGCGGGCTGGGCGGCGGAACTGCTGCCGGCGGTGGCAGCGGAGGCGGAGGCGGCGGTCGTTACTCTCCGGGACCTCCTGGCCCAGCAGCCGGACCAGCGGGTCTGGGCTTCCCTGAGACACCCAGTCCGGGTGCACGGACTCTAGCACTGCCGCACACATCCGGCGGCGGCGGTGGCAGCGGCGGCGGAGGGGGAACCGCTGCGCGGGCCTTCCTTGGAGGCAGCGGCCCCGAGCAGCGGCAGCCAGGATCGTCACATCAGCAACAGCAACAGCAGCCGTCGTCGTCGGTATCATCGCGCCTGTTGGGCAGCGGCCTGACGGTGCCGTCGCCACGCCGCGGAGGCGAGTACGACTCCTCATCTGGCGGAGGCGGCGGAGGCGCAGGCGGCGGCGCAAGCCGTCAGCTGCATTTCGGTGAGGCGCAGCAGCAGCAGCAGCAGCAACAGCCCACGCCGCAGCACCGACGGCAGTCCTCGCAGGCGCTTCTGGGGGTGACGGAATGGGGGCCGACGGCGGCCGCTGGCGGTGGAGCCGGCGGAGCCGGCGGCCCTCCGTCGCCGGTGCGTGGCAGCAGCCGCGCCGCCGCTGCCGCCGCCGCGGAGGGCGATGTGCCTCGGGACGAGGACGCGGTTGCAATGCTGGGAGCCAACTTGTCGCGTGAGATGGGGATTGACGAGCAGTTGGCTGCGCTCCCCGAGACTCTGGGCATTGGAGACATGCCGCCGCAGCCGCTGCCGCCACCGCCGCCGCCGCCGCCGCCACCTAGGACGGGTGCGGCAGGCGGCGGAGCGGGAGGAGGCGGTGGCAATGGCGGTGGTGGTGGTGGCGGTGGCGGGAGAAGTGGTGGCAGGGTTGCGGGTCGGGATGGTGCGGGGGGAGGTGCGGGGGGAGGGGGGCGGTAGTAGGGAGGGTGCTGGGGCCGTCAAGCCTTACGAGGCGCTAATTGGAGCGTTGTTCGGCAGGGAAAGTCACCCGCCCAAATCGCGACGACAATCCGTTGCAAGGCTGCTTTCGAAGGATGTGGTTGGCAGGTGTTGTGGCCTTAGGCCAAGGTGCGCGGTAATTGAAGTTAGCTTATAGATAATGGTGCACTGATAGCAACAAATGTTGTTCGCAAGCTGCTGCTGTTGATGGGAGAGTGTACATAAACGCATTGGTGTTCTTTTCCTTGCCCTCATCAGGTCTTCCCGGCGTGGTCGGTTGGTGGGTGGTTGGTGGTTGCTTATTGTTGCGCGTCCGTTGTTTATATACATGGTGCAATTGAATGGCTTCGCTTAGTCATTTTGTTACTAGTGCTGGGATGTGGCAGTTGTGTGCGGTTCAGTTTCCTTTGTCAATACCGTTACACGCACGGATGTGTCGCAACGCACTTGGCGCTGTGTCGCTTCGTCGGTTAGCGACGGTTAGCGTTTTAGACGGCGACAGGTAGCGCTTAAAACGGTTGAGATGGGTCTGCTGTTGCAATGGGGCCCTTGGTGGCGTGCTGGCGCGTTGCCTCTTACCGTACTCTGGCGCCGTACCCACGTTTTAGCGTGCTTCTTTGCGCATGTGTCACATGTTTGCGGCGCGCAAAAAAGGTGTTCCTTTTTGACGACTTGAAGGGCTTGCCTGACCTGTTCAGTGCGAGCCGTCAGTGCGAGCCGTTGGAGGTGCATGGAGGTCCTTCTTCGGTGGGACTGCTGCCTTGGAGGTGGCGGCGGTGGTGGCGGTGGTGGCGTTGGAGGATCGACTTGAGTGTGGGGTTCGGGTTGAGCAAAGGAGCCCCTCTGTATCTGGAGCATGTCTAGCGCTTCCAAGAGGTAAGGTATACGGTGTGTACTCGGCTGCCGGTGTGCGGCGGTAGCGGTGAGGATGTGTGAGGTGGTGGCGGGTGGCGCTTTGCGATGTGCGGCTGTGGCTTGTTTGGGGCTGGTGTGACCCATGGGTCACTCGGCGCGTGTGCCGGCCCTTCGCTCGCAGTGCTGCTGCCTTTGGGGCCGACGCTTGGCTGATACGTCGTCCGAATGTCGTAGTAAACTATCTTGTTGGAAAATGTAGTGGTCGTGCGAGTAGCATGCATGTGGGTTTGCGCACGTTGCCTTGTATAGAACAATTGAAGTGTAGTAGGGTCTTGTGTGTGCGTCAAAGCTTGAATGATTATCGAAGTGTGCGTGTTAGGGTACGGTGAGGAGCGGGTTGTGGGAGAGTGCTGCGTGTCTGGAAGGGACTCCGAAGGCGAGGAAGACTGTGCTGTGTGCATTGCCGACTGCATTGACAGTGTGTAGATACAACGACAGCCGGCGGTTTGCCCGTTTGCTGCCGAATGCTGTTACTATAGGTTATCGTCATATCCCGTTGACTTTTACCGGTAGTAAATCTTTAATCTTTACCGGTATTAAATCTTAGTGATAGGCTTCCAACCCCAATTTGTTTGTTTTCCTTGTGTAAATACACGGTTATTTTGGCGCGGGTCGCGCATTGCTACCCGTCGGCGCATTCCATTGTTTGGTTTAAGCGAACTGTTGCGGCTTTCCTTTGAAGCAGTTACCTTGAAAGAGCAGAGTGTGAGTGCGTCGGCTGTGGTAACCAAGTAGCTGTACGGTGGTTGGGTAGGGTGGTGGGTGGTGACATGAGCAGTTGCATGTCACGGGGTTGTACCTGTGCAAAGGAGGAGCGGAAGTGAGTTCAAGGCGGCTGCCACTGCCGTGCAGCTGGCTCTGTTGACGTTGCTGTCGTACGTGCAAGTACGAGTAAGTTGCTTGTTATGAAAGTTGTCGTACAAACGTTCCTGCATCGTGCAGGGCCCCGTGGGGACTATAAACATAGTTTGCGGTTTGGTGGTTGACTGACCGTGGAGAAGACGATCAGTGCACGTGGGAGGAGTTGGTGTTGTTTTGACGCGTTCCTGAGGTGGGTGGTAGTGACACCGAGACATGCTCAAAGTAGCTTGTGGGCTGTACATGCGCTGCGACACGGCAAAGGTGCTCAGTACGTGTACGTACCGATGTCCTACGTGCAACCAGTATACCTCCATCTAACCGCATCCTCACGGCTCTCACGCCCCACATCCCATACAAGCCAACAGTGTCAAAACAGGACACGGTAGCCTCGTCCTCTCTCCTGCACTGCCTCTTCCGGGTCATCATCCCCGTCCTTATGCGCACAGCGACAGCAGGCAGGCCTCTGTCCGCCCCCGCACTGCCCGCCCCCGCACTGGGTGCATAGGCAGCATAGCCAGGGGTCATCACACCTCGTCACAGCCGCCAGCAACGCACTTCTCTTCCACCCCCTCCGCCTCCTACCACCCGGCCTGTAAGAGGCAAGTCCCTTCCGTAATACATCATCCTGCAGCCGCAGCAGCGGTACGTATGTTTCAGGAGGATGGAACAACAACGCGCGCGTGAAACGCGCGTTTGTCGACACCGCGCGCAAGACAGTGCTTGCCAACAAGGCAATAGCCCCCTGTCTGTTTGGCCTTCAACGCAACTTCGTAACAGGCGTAAGACTGCGCGTCACGCTCCGAAATCCCTCACCAGCTCCTGCACCACGTGTGACACACTAGCATGCACCCCCTTCCACATGGCTGCATGCACCCCCTTCCACATGGCTGCATGCACCCCCTTCCACATGGCTGCATGCACCCCCTTCCACATGGCTGCATGCACCCCCTGTCATGCAGCCACATGAGCTGCGTCCTGCGCTCCTGGGTCCAGGGCTGCGGCAGCCGCACCTGCTGTCGGCAGCTGAACCCCGACCACCACCGCCGTGTAAAGCTCGCAGCACAACCCACCACCACCAGCAGCAGCAGCACAGCTAGGAGCCCCCAGTCACCACCACCACCCCCAGCAACCCTAGGAGCACCCACCAGCCAGCCCCCTCCAGCCAGCACCCTAGCCAAGCTTCGCGTGTTAAACGCAGGCCGGCGGGCATTCTCCACCTCCCTTTTTGCAATCTTCGCGTGCTGAGCCCGGCTGGGCAGACCTCTCCTCCCTCAACCCATCAGCCCGCTGAGCCCATGCACACCCAACTAATGCACACCCAACTTATGCACACCGACTCACATCGGCTCCCTTGCCGGGCTTGCTCTCGCCCCCTTCCCTCCCTCAACGCAGCACACACAGCACCGCCTGGCTGCGCGCCGCTCAAGCCAGCACCGCCACTGCGTCGATCTCCACACGGGCCCCAAGCGGCAGGTCCTTCACCGCAAAGGTGGCACGTGCGGGCGGCTGCTCCGTGAAGTAGGTGGCGTAGATGGCGTTGACCTTGGCAAAGTCAGCAATGTCGGCCTGATGTGATGCAAGTGATGAGACATGGATGGGTGAAGGTTGGGGAGAGAGAAGGATGTGACGCGTGGCGGGTTGTGTGGACGCGTTTCAGAGCAAGTTAATGGGCTTAAGAAGGTGGTAGGGTAGAAACGGGGCTATGCAGGTTGGCTACTGTAAGAGCACATGTGGCCTAGTGGCCCCAGGCCCGAACCCTATAGCGGTCAAGCTGACAGTTCAGCGTGGTAAGGGACGCACCAGAAGGATGGTCGTCTTCACCACATCCTTGTAGTCAGCGCCAGCGGCCTTCAGGATTGCGCCCAAATTCTTCAGCACCTGCTCCGTCTGTCCCTCAACGTTTGGCGATGCAAAGTCCTTAGTGCCAGGGACAATGCCGATCTGTCCGGATACGTAGACTGTGTTGCCAGCCTTAATAGCTTGAGAGTAAGGGCCCAATGCGGCAGGCGCATGCTCGGTCGAGATAACTTGCTTCACCGACATCGCGCGAACGCACACGGTGTTGGTGCGGTTCCTAACAATAGGTACAGCAGCTACTGGACGCGACGCACGTGCACTGCTCTTCAGAAGCGCAGTGCACGCCGTTTGGCGCAGAGTGACGGCCATAGCTAGGGTCGGTTAATGAACAACAGGCGATGAGGAGTGAGTGAAATGTATGTATATGCTAAGCTACTGCCATAGGTGATCAGCCGCTGCCGTGCAAGTGATGTCGAGACCACCGGGTCGCGAAAGCCATTGCCAGCACAGAACTACTAGACCCATTCCAGTTTCACACCTAGCATATATTATGCGTCAATTAGCTTTTAGCACGTCGCACCAAGCGCCTTCAGGCTGCCGAGCTTTCCGTCCGCAAAGACGGACGCTGCAAGTATGTTGTCTTCATAAGGCGCTACGACAGGTAGGCGATTAGCTTAGCCACAATTCAATTATACGAGTGAGGCCATTTGGGCTTTTATCCCCCTCAAGCAACCGCTTACGCATGACGGCCATCATTCCAATTTGTCACACAGCCCAGCTCAGGACCCATCACAGCTCCAGCTGACGTCGTCTACGAATGCCTCACCCTTCTGCGACGGCCCGACCTTGAAAGGTATCGCCCGTTCACCCTCTTCCTCTCCCTCCATTTCCCATGCCCTCGCCTCCACCTTTCCCTTCCTTTCCGGTTCCTTTCCCTGTCCTCCACCTCGCGCCCCTCCTGCCTCCCTTCCCGCTGCTGCTCCCTTCTCCCGCCTCCGCAGCCTGGCTCCCTTCTTCCCCGCTGGGACCCGCAGTGACCCCCGGGGGCCGCAGCGTGCCGAGCTGCGGGTGGGGGGCGAGGTTGTGCAGGAGGTGGGGCCGCTGGCGGGCTGCAGCGGCTTCATGGACACAGGTGGGAGGTGGGGGGTGGGGGGGTGGAGGGGGGGGGCCGCGTGTGTGTGTATGTGGCTCGGGGTGCCGCATGGGCGGGCTAGCTGCAAGTGGGGTTCATGGACGCAGGTGAGATGGTGGGGGCCTGCGGGCTTGGAAGCGCGGCAGGAACGTATGCGTGCGTGTGTGTGGGGGGGGGGGCTAGCCTGCCTGAGGGGAAGGCGAGAGGACAGGAGCATGAAAGGGCGTGAACAAGGGGAGAGGGAGGTGGAGAGAAAGAGGGAACGGAAGTTGCCGCCTGCAGCGCCATTCGGGAACACGGGTGGAGAGGGACGAGCATACTTGCCGTACACCCTCCTCCTCCTCCTCCTCCTCTTCCTCCTCATGAACCCCACACGCCGCAAGCAGCAAACCGCAAATCCCTCCTGCTGTTCCCTCCTGCTGTTCCCCCCTCTTCCACCCTATCCCCCCCTGCCCAGCGGCTCGCCGGGTGCTGCCTGGCCACCTGCTGCGGCGCTGCCGGGTGCTGTCGGCGGTGCAGCTGGGGGCGGGGCGGAGCAGCCTGAGGGTGGCAGTGACGGGTAAGGTGGGGGCGGGGGGGGAGAAAGGAAGAACTGAAGCAACTGGGGGGAACAGGGGGTGGTCCGGGGTAACAGGGGGGGCAGGGGCGGTGACGGGTGGGGGCATGGAAAGGGGAAAAAAGAAAAAAGGCTGTTAGGGGGCAGTTGGGAAGAGGAGAAAAGAGGAGAGGAGAGGGCATCCACGGAGGGAAAGCCACGGGAAAAGGAGAGGGCAGGGGGGGGGGGTCAAGGTGGAGGCGGGGTGAGGGTGAGGGTGCGAGGGACATGTCACTGAGTGAGCGGCTCCAAGGCGCTAGCGCTCCTCCTCCTCCTGCACCCCACACCCCACACCCCACCTCACACCCCACACCCCACACCCCCCCGTCTCACCCGTCTCAGGCTGCAGCGGGGAGGAAACGGTGCTGGTGTGGCACCTGCGGAGAGAGGATACCCCCACGGAAGACCCTCAGCAACCACCACCACCACCACCAACAACAACAACAACAACAACAACAACAACAACAGCAGCAACCCAACCAGCCGGACCAGGCCGCCCCGCCTCCCAGCCCACCCTCACCACCCCCACCCCCACCCCCACTGCCCCCCTCCGCACCTCCTCCTGCTGGCGGGTGGAGTCCATCCGCCGAGACGACTCCCGCGATGTGGCTGAGGAGGGCGACTTGGAGCTGCTGCTGGCCCCGCTGGGGGCGGCAGGGGGGCGGCCACCCACCTCCTCCTCCTCCTCCTCCTCTTCCCCCTCCCCCTCCTTCCCCTCCTCCTCTTCTGGTGGTGGGCCCGGCCGCAGCAGCCCGCCTCCCCCGCTGCGACCTCACCCTCGGGTGTCCCCCGAGCTGCTACTGCGGGCGCTGTTGGCGGCGCTGCGGCGCGGGCAGCTGGCGGGGGCGGCCAGGTTGCAGCTGACGGTGGGTGTGCGGTGGGGGTGGTGGGGGGGCTGGGGGGGTCACAGTGTCCCTGTGGGGGCGTCTGGTGGCCTGTGGTGGAGGGGTGCACCAGGGGAGCAGGGCGTGGTGTTGTGCAGGAAGTGTGCAGGAGTCTCATCATACAGATTACGCGTTCCAGCTCGTTCCAACCTACCTGTTCGACACTACCTGTTTCCACCCCCCTGCAGGCCTCCGGGGGCAGTTGGGAGTGGCAGCTGAGCGCCTCCGCAGCGCTGCTAAACACGCCGGGCTGTCAGGGCCTTATGCGGGCTGGCGGGGCCAGGCTGGGGCCTTCCGCGCTGGTTGACCCGCAACAGAGCTTTGTACCTGGATTCGAACCCGGGTCGGGAGCTGCCGTGCCTTCGCTGCGCATGCTTCAGGAAGTGACATTGTTGGATGCGCTAGGGGAACCATTTGAATGGTCAGAGGAGGAGGAAGAGGAGGAGAGGGGAGGAGGGGAGGTTGTGGGGAGCGGGTTGTCGGAGCAGCAAGGAAAGCGAGGTGGGAAGTCGGGGTGTCGGGTGGTGTTTCAGTTGGGATTGCATGCGGGAGGGTGCTGGCTGGTGGAGGGATGGAGGGCGGCGGTGTGAGGGGGGCCAGTAGAAGTAGGGCGTGGGAGTGCTTGCAGGGCTTTTGTTGAGTTAGTTAGTAGCAGGCATGGCAGGCATGGCATCAGAATAGGGTTGTAAATAGTTGTGGATACGAGAGCTCCATTCTGCTTAGCAGGGTGCAGTCGGTGTGGATGGAATGATTGAAATGACAAAAGATGGGACGACACATTGCAGGGGTTCCAGTCGCGTGGGCATGCTTCCTTGCTGTGCGTGGTATAGCATCGATGTGATTGGAATGGCTTTGCAAAGAGGTGGTGTTTCAGGTAGCTGCTAACAGAGTAACAGCCCGGAACACGGCACAGTGCATGGACGAGCATTACTCTCCTTACGTTGCCGCTGTGGTAATATCCAGGCCTTTTTGCTCCGTTTATCTTGACCCATTCACTGCTTTTGACCTACGACTTACTAGTCGTGAATTGCCCCGTTTACCTCACCTTGGACGTTGACTTGAACTAAGCTTTATACTGGCAAACAACTAAGATGTCAGTCCTTGGCATTCAAAGCCACTCTGCGTTGGCGGGTGTTGCGTCTGCGTCTAGTTCTAGGCCAGCTGCGGTCCCACGCCCAGCGCAGCCTCGTTCAGCGGCTCCCCGGCCTGCGGTAGACCTCCTGCGTGGCTCCCAGCCCGTATCACCCGTCAAGCAGCACGCGTCTCGGGCATCTAGCGTTGTTGCTATGTCAGCGGCTGGAAAAGCGGGCGAGAAGCAGACTGCCGAGGTGCCCATTGCGGAGCTGCGCACGCTTTGCACGAAGGCGCTGAAGACGCTTGGTTACACCAACGAGGAGATTGAGATTCTTAACGATGTAAGTATTTCGGGCATTCCCTTCGCTTTAAGCGTGATGCAAAGGCTTACAAGCTCATGTCCATGTCGGCATACGTCGGCGTATGTTGTGACGACACCCACAGGTCCTCTTCTATGCCCAGCTGCGCGATAACAACCAGGGCATCGTTAAGATTACCTCTGGTGGTCTCAACAAGTCACCAGCGGCTAGTCCGCCGGTGATTGAGAAGGAGACCCGGCTATCCGCGCTCATCAATGGCAACAACAGCGCAGGCATGCTGGTGCTGCACAAGGCGACCCAGATGGCCATCGAACGCGCCCGCAGCCAGGGCTTTGGCATCGTGGGCACCAACCACACGCCCAGCAGCACCGGCGCCCTGGGGTGAGATGCGTGCCGGCAGCAAGGCAGCTAGCTAGCCGCAGCTGCCCCCCTCCTCTGTCCTCTCGGAGCAGCGCTTGCCACCACCCTCCCTCCCTCCTACCCATTCCACACGGCATCCAGCACCAGTGCCATTTGCGACACATCATCCAAACTTCGCTTAAGATAGATATCTAGTCCCATGCCTGAATATAGTCCCGTGCCGTACAACCCACCCACACATTTGTGTTTGCCGTACACGTTGTCGTACTACCACCCCCACCACCACCCGCAGGTACTACGTTGACCTCATCTCCCGTGAGGGCCTCATCGGTATCGTGCTGGCGCAGTCGCCCGAGTTCGTGGCGCCCTTCGGAGCCAAGCAGCCCATCTTTGGGACCAACCCCATTGGCATTTCCATTCCCGCGCAGGTGGGGCAGCGGGGGGGGGAGGCGGGTCAAACACCATGCCGAACCATAGGACACCATAGGTGCGGGCGGGGCAAAGAGGAAACGAACCGTGTGGTAGGACGTCATCGTGGTTTGCAGTATACGGGCGGGGCGGTTTGCCGGTCACCCCTTCTCCACCCCACTCACGGTGCTCTGTTTACCTCCTCCCTCCTCCCTGTATCCCTATCCTAATTCCCCTCCTCCCCTCCTCCCAACTACTCCTCTCCCCCCCCCAGGACGGCGCCGTGACCATGGACATGGCCACCGCCGCCTTCGCCTGGTTCGGTCTGCTGGAGGCCAAGGCGGCGGGGCGGCCCATCCCGCCCGACGTGGCCATGAACGCGGCGGGGCAGCCCACCAGCGACCCCAATGAGGTGCTGCAGGGGGGCGCCATCCGCGTGTTCGACAAGTCGTACAAGGTAGGGGGGTGGGGGGAGAGAGGGTAAGCGCGGGAGGAAGGAGGAAGAGTGGAACCACGTGAGGGGAGAGAGGGCGGGCGCCGTGCACACATGCCGTGCACGGTGATCCTGAGATGCTGAATGAAGCACCCCCCTTGATCCCCCCACCCCCCCCCCCACCCACCCCACCCCCCAGGGCAGCAACCTGGCGCTCATGGTGGAGCTGCTGGCGGGTCCGCTGGTGGGCGCTGCGGTGGCCGACAAGCTGGAGGAGCGGAACTGGGGGAACCTGGTGGTGGCGATCGACCCGGGACTGCTGGGGGAGCCGGGGGAGATCAAGAGGAGGGTGCAGGTGGGGGGGGGAGATGTTACCCCGGGTGCATCACAGGGTTTACATTTTGTAAATAACATTCAGGGTTTGAAGCAGGTCTGAAGCCCATGATTTCCCACCTGTCTTTGAGGGGACATGTGGGGTTGGCTTATGGGGATGGGGATGGTGGGGAAAATTTTAAATCAGTGAAACAACGAGTCCCAGTCCCATATCCCGACTCATGCTGGTGGGGAGGTTGCAGGTGGTAAGGTAATAGGGTTTAACACCACCTCCCCCCCCTTGGCCCCCCGCCCCCCCCCAGGTGGTGTTGGACCGTGTCCGGGGCGCCGAGCGGCTGCCGGGGGTGGAGGAGATACTGCTGCCCGGGGAGCGGGGCAACCGGAAGGCCAGTGCGCGGCTGGCGGCAGGTGAGGGATGGGAGGGTGGTGTGTGGTGCAGGGGTGTGTGGGCCTGTGCGGCGCGCCGTTGCATGAGGCACATGAGGTACCCCCGCAGACCCCGGTAGTGCACCCATCACTGGCGCACCGGTGTCGCTAGCTCCCTCCCCCTCCTGTTTCCCCCACCACCTGTTGAATCTCTTCTCGTGTATGCTCCCCCCCACCTCCTCTCCTCCCCCCCCAGGTGTGATGCCCCTGGAGGTGAACCTGCTGTCGCAGCTGCGCACCATGGCAGCAAAATACGACAGCCAGGGCAGTCCGCCCGCCTCGCCCACCAAGCTGGCGGTGGCGACACGGCTGGTGCACCCCAAGACAAAGGTGGGGGGAAGGGGAGGGGGTGGTAGGGAGGGCCGTAGGTGGGGGAACCAGCCCGCTCGTATGGAAAGGGTTCGAGGGTGGGAGGGAACAGGGGAGGCAGACCGTATGGGGACAGAGAAGGAGGTACAAAAACGCTGGGAAGGGGACCGGAACCTCTCCACCTCCTGTACCCCCACCACCCCCCACCACCCCCACCCCTCCAACCCCCTCACCCCCCCCCCAGGTGGTGGACCCCTACGGCGGCTCCATGCCCCCGCTGTGGCAGACCGCCACCTTCGCCCAACCCAGCGCCACCACCTTCGGGGAGTACGACTACACTCGCAGCGGCAACCCCACTCGCACCATGCTGGAGGTGAGCGGGGGGGGGCGGGAGGGGAGGGGAAGAAGACCCTGTGTGTGTCGAAGAATAATGAATGGCGAATGTGAATGGGGCAGGAGAACCCTCCTACCCTACGAGGGGTATCTTCGTTGCAAAGTGTCGTAAGTAAGCATTGGGAGAGCAGTGGAGCAGTGCGTCCCTCCCTCTCACCCTCCCCTCCCCCCTCTTTGCCCCATCTCCTCTTCCTCCTTCCCACTCCTCCCCCATCACCCCACGTTGCCCCCCCCCCATAGGAGCAATTCGCTGCCCTGGAGGGCGGTGACCGCGGGTTCGCCTTCACCAGCGGTATGGCGGCGCTGGCGGCGGTGTGCCGGCTGGTGGGGCGAGGGGGGCACATCGTGGCGGGGGAGGACATCTACGGCGGCACCAGCCGGCTGCTGAGCAGTGTGGTGCCGGCGGGCGGGGTGGAGGTGACGCATGTGGACATGACGGATGTGGAGTGAGTGGGGGGGCGGGGGGAGGGGAAGGGAGGGGGGCGGGGGGAGGGGAAGGGAGGGGGGCGGGGGGAGGGGAAGGGAGGGGGGCGGGGGGAGGGGAAGGGAGGGGGGCGGGGGGAGGGGAAGGGAGGGGGGCGGGAGAGAGGAGGGGCCCGGAAGGGTCGCACGCGGGGGGGCTGCGGTGGAGGGGCCTCGACTGTGGGTTCGCACCGCTTGCTCGGCCGCTCGGGCGAACAGGCGCCTGTCCTTCCCTCACCACGTCACCAGATATGCAGTGTGGTTGCCACCAGGCAGGTAGTTAACCCCCACCTCCCCACCTCCTCCTCCCGCCCCCCCTCTCTCCCCCCCCCAGTGCCGTCCGCGCCGCGCTGCGCCCCGGCGTCACCCAGCTGGTGCTGGTGGAGTCGCCAACCAACCCGCGCATGCAGATCTGCGACATCGCCGCCATCGCAGCGGCAGCTCGCGAGGCGGGCGCCATCACCTGCGTGGACAACTCCATTATGGCGCCCGTGTTCCAGCGGCCGCTGGACCTGGGGGCCGACATCTGCATGACCAGCGGCACCAAGTTTGTGGGGGGCCACGGGGACGTGACGTTGGGGCTGCTGACGGTGAAGGGGGAGGAGCTAGCCAAGCGGGTGTACTTCCTGCAGGTGGGGGGGGAGGGGGGGCGGGAAGGGGTGGGGGGACATTCGTACAATCTAGGCAGGGAGTCGCAGTCATTAGCATCTGGCTCAGGTCCGAACTGGTACGCATACATGTCAATATCCCTTTCGCGACGATCTTCTTACGCTCCCCCTCCTCACCCCTCACACAGAACGCGGAGGGAGCGGGTCTGGCCCCCTTCGACTGCTGGCTGGCCCTGCGCGGTCTGAAGACCATGGCCCTGCGCATGGAGCGATCCGCCGCCAACGCCGCCGCGCTGGCTTCCTTCCTGAGCCGCCACCCGCTGGTGCGCAAGGTGAACTACCCGGGGCTGCCGGGGCACCCGGGGCACGAGCTGCACATGCGGCAGGCCAGCGGCGGGGGCTCGCTGCTGAGCTTCGAGACGGGGGATGTGGAGGCGAGCAAGGTGAGGAGGAGGGGGGGCGGGCGGGAAGGGAAGGGAGGAGGGAGAGAGGGGAGCGGGAAAGGGGGAGGATGAGGGATGTGGAGGGTGCGAAGGAGGAAAGGTTGGGATGGTGTTAGAAACGCCTCGTGTCCACCGCCTAGCTCGCCTTCCTCTCCGCCGTTCATTTCGCCGTTTACTTCCCCTCATCCTCCACCTCATCATAACCCTTCACCTCCCCCCTTATTCGTTTCGCTCCCCCCCCCCCCCCACCCCCCTCTCCCCCCCTCAGGTCATCGTGGAGGCCACGCAGCTGTTCAAGGTGACCGTCAGCTTCGGCAACGTCAACTCCCTCATCAGCCTGCCCTGCTACATGAGCCACGCGTCCATCCCGGCGGAGGTGCGGGCGGCGCGGGGGCTGCCGGACGACCTGGTTCGCATTTCCACGGGTATTGAGGACGTGAAGGATCTGATTGAGGACCTGGATCAGGCCATGCAGCTAGCCATGGAGAAGACCGGCAAGGGCAAGGCGACGGCGGGCGCAGGGACGCAGCAGCAGCAGCAGGGAGGGAATGGTGCGAGCAGCAGCAGCAGTGGGAGTGAGGGAGCGGGAGCGCCGGTGGTGTATCGGTTTGGAGGGAATGGGAATGGGAGCGGGGCGGCGGCAGCAGCGGCAGAGGCGGGTGTTGAGGGCGAGCGGGAGCGGTGGCTGAAGGAGCGGATCAGCATCTTTGAGGCGGAGCTGAGGGCGCTTCAAATGCAGCAGCAACAAGGGGGGAACGGGCGTCACCCTGTTGCGCATGCGCAATAGCGGGGTTGCTAGGGCTGCTGGGGTTTGCTGGGTTATGTGGGGGTGCGGATCTGTGTGTGCAGGGATGCAAAGGATGAACCGGTGGTTTGTTTGGGGCTATCTTAGGGTGACGAGAACAACAAGGAGCTGTGATTATATTGAATCTTGGGGAAGGCATGCGCGATGTGTTGACTTTCCTTCTGCTGTCCTTGTCCTGTAACGCATGGTACGGCGCGTGCGCGTACAATAGGTATGGTGCATGTGTGCCGTACGGTGCCCTGGGGTGGAGTGGGGTTGTGAAGCGCGCCAGGCAGTTGTTCCGCGCTGGAAGACTGTGTAGAGGCCAATGAAGCCACTTGTCGACAGCGGGCGGCAATACCTGTATGTGTTGTGACTTACAGGAACTGCGGTGCGGGAGGGGTTCAGCGAGCGAACGACCATTATACGGTAACATGGCAGCGACTGTACCCCCGACACTGCACAATATGGGGAATGTGAGAGGTGCACTGGCACAGACTCGACAAACTAGCGGTCAACAGTACATCTTCCATTGCAAATTTCCCAATACATCGCACGCAAAAGAAAGGCGTTTGCCTTCAAGGGTGAGAGATGGGCTGGGCTGTGGTTGCTCTGAACATCAGTTGCCCAGACACACAGGCAGTGCATGTGTCATGTGATGTGCCACACAAGTAAACTCACTAAACGGTCAGTATCCGTCAACAAACCTAATGCGCAATCACTCCCAGCATCTTTCCCCCTTCCGATGCCAACCTGTGACGAAGAATCTAACCTGGGCTATCTAACCCACAACGCCTACCGTCCATGCAAATCAGCAGCTTTCCTACACAGCCGCCGCACGCGCTATCAGGCCATGTCTCCTGTCCTCCTCTACTCCCGTCCCTCCTGCAACCCCTCCTGAACGGCTGAAGCCACATGCGACCCAATCCGCGTGTACAGCTCGTGGCCCCGTTCCGGGAAGGCCGCTGCCACCGCTGCCGGATGCGCCACCAGCGGCCCTCCGCCGCTGTTGCCGCCGCCGCCGCCTTGATGACCTCCATCCGCCGACAACGCCCGACCACGTACGGAAGCCTGCGCTGTAACATCCGCTAGCTGCTGCTGCTGCTGCTGTAGCGCCGAAGCATCGCCCGCACAGTCAGCAGTCGTACTTCTGTGGGTGGACAAGGGAGGGCCGTACCCGCCGCTGCCGCCGTGCTTCATAGCTCCTGCGGTCGCATGCAACGCCGCTGAAGGCTGATGAGCATCCGCGGAAGAGACGGTCCGTGACGTCGCCAGCGGCCGGTAGCTATCACCGCCCCCAGCCCCGATCCAGCGGGAGGTGAGTCGGCCGCTGGTGCTCGTACTGCTGTTGCCGCCGTACAGTAGCCCCGAGGGAGGCGCCGTGGGCGGCCGCTGGGCCGCCGCAGCGGCCAGCATGTCTCGCAGTGTGGCCTCGATCACCCCACTGCCCGCCCCGCTACTCACACTGAGGCTGGTGCTGCTGCGGCCGCTGCGGCCCACACCCAGCAAGGAGTCCTCGGACGGCTCGGCGCCCTGGAAGCCAACCGTCAGCGTGCGGTGACCCATGGGTCCGCCGCCGCCACCGCCGCCACTGAGGTTATTAGTAATACCGGCCGCGTCTCCACCGCCGCCGCCGCTGCTATTGCGTGGCCAGCAAGCAGCGGCGCCGCCAAAGGTTGGCTCGTATGACCGCGAGAGGAGCGCCTCCCGGAGGCTGCTCAATGTGCCCATGATGCCGGCTGTGAGGGCGGGTAGCTCGGTATCATCGTCAGCAGCAGCAGCTCTGCCGCTGTTGCCCTTGCCTTCGTTACCCAAAGGGCCCTGTTGTGGCTGCTGCTGCTGCTGCACCGGTGCCGACAGCCGCTGCAGGTGCTGCTGTTGCCCCTCCTCATGACGTGACTGAGCTGGTGCGACCAGCTGCTCCAAGGCGCGTTCGAAGTCATCGCTGGCAGCGTAGCGGTGGCGATGCAACCGAGAAGATGCGGCAGCATCCGCTACGGCTGCGTCCTCATGCATGCGACGTCCACCCGTCGCCTCCCTTCCTTGCTCCACAGCTGACCTCCTTGGTGAGGGCGGGAAGGACTGCGTGAGGTACTGCTGCGGCCTGAACTCGAGCTCCTGCTGCTGCGACGTCAGCCCCTCTGCCGCGCTGAAAACGCTGCCGCTGGTGGCCGCAGTTGACGCCGCCAGAGCGGACCCCGTGGTTGTGGTTGTGACGGTGGCGGTGGGAGCCGCAGCGGCAGCAGCAGCAGAGGCGGCGGTGGACAGGCCGAGGATGCGAGAGCGCCGGCGCTGGAATTCCTCCTCACTCGCACGCAGGTCTGCCCGATGAGCCTCCACAGCGTTGCTGTGGAGCGCCGCCGCTTTGGCAGCGGCGCCGCCGTCACCGTTGCCGCTACCACTACTGCCTTGCAGCGGGGCTGCCTCCCGCGGTTGGCGCAGCCGCTGTGGCCGCTGCGGGGATACTGGGGAGCTGATGTCAGATGGGACGTCGGAGAGTGGTGGGGATTCCGCTGGCAGCCGGAATGCCGCCGCCGCAGCTGCGGCTGCTGCAGTGGTGGCGGCAGCAGCAGCAGCAGCGCCCATGGCAGAACCATGGCGCGGGCTACGCAGCCAGAGATCCGAGATGTCGGTGTCTGAGGTGGCGGAGGGCGGCAGGGAGGAGGACGGCAGGGAGGGGGGAGGGGGAGGTGCTGCGGTGGGGACTGCGAAGGTTGCGGGCGCAGGTTTGCGGGGGCTGATGCTGATGCTGCTGTAGGTGGTGTTGCCGGTGCCGGTTGAAGCGCTCGCGGCTGCAGCTGCAGCTGCGGCCGCCGCCGCCGCTCGTCCTTGTTGTTGTGCCTCATCCACCGCGGCTGCCTCTGCCGTCGTGCAGCCGCCGTCACCGCTAGAAGCCCAGGAGGCGCGACGAGGTCTCCCCGGGGCGGCAGCCGCCGCCGCCGCCCCCGTCGCCGCCGTCTCACCCGCAGCCGCACCACCGGCACCAATACCTCCCATGCGAGGCTGTCCTGGCCGTCCAGAGGAGGACGGGGAAGACGAGGCGGAAGGCGAGCGCGGCCGGTGGGCTGCTGCTGCTGCTGCTGCTGCCGCCTTCAGCTGCATCTGCTGCTGGTGTTGCATCTGCTGCAGGCTGAGCGGCTGCTGGCTGCTGAGCGCCATGATGTGCGCCTCACGCGACCTCAGCTCCTGAGCGAGACACACACGGGGCCACATGGAAGGGATGGGGTACAGTTAAGGGACTAGCGCAGTTCGCACCCCCGGCCCCCAGGCTGCGCTACTTCAACAGCCTTCCAGCCCCCTCACACACACGCACACGCCCCTCCCGCCCCCCGCACCTGCCGCAGCCCCGACACCAGGCTCTCATGGCTCGCCCGCGCCGCCCGCAGCTGCGCCTCCCCCTCCGCCGCCGCCGCCTCCAGCCGAGCTGCCGCCGCCGCCATGCTGTCCGCCTCCCGGCGAGCCAGCGCCGCCTCATCCCGCACCGCCAGCAGCTGCTCCTCGTAGTGGGCAGCCTGATGGTGGGGGTGGGGTCGGGTGGGGGTGGGGGGGGTTGAGTGCATGGCGTCGTTGAAATGATGAGGGTGGTAGGACGATGAAACATCACATGGTTGCATTAGAAGATCACAATTACCGGTACATGCATGCATGCGTGGGTGAGTGGATGGACACGACTGCACTCTCACTCTCCCTCCAGCCTCAGCCTGCAACCTGCCCCCCCCCCACCTGCTGCTGCATCTGCAGCCCCAGCTCCCTCACGGTCGCCTGCGCCGCCGCCGCCGTCCGCTGCAGCTCCGTCACCTGCTCCTGCAGCGCCGCCACCGCGCACTCCCGGCCCTGCACCTGCGCCCGCAGCGCCCCCAGCTCCCGCTGCAAGGCGTCCCGCTCCGCCCCCAGCACGGCTGCCTCGGCGGAGCGAGCAGCCAGGTCGGCAGCGCGGGACTGCAGGGAGGGAGGAAGAGGGAGATGCAGGGAGGGAGAGGGAGGGAGAGAGAGAGGGAGCGGTGTGGAGGAAGATAAGGTATTGAGGCTCTGACTGAGGCGGCAGTGCAAGGGACATGGGAGTCACAACTAGTGCCCTTGGAAAGCTCCTGCGACCCTGTAATGCAATAAGTGGCAGTCTAAAAAGCTCAACCAGCACCCGCACCTCCATGCTGGCCTCCAGCTCGATCAGGCGGCTGCAGCTATCCGCCAGCCGCCGCTCGCCCTCCTCGCACTGCTGCCGTAGCACCAACACGTCGGACTGGGCCTGGGGGCGGCAGGGGTGGGGTGGGGTGCCGGCAGGGGGTGAGAGGGGAGTGAAGAGGAGTCAACATACTGACATCAAGCGGTTCAGTCCATGCGACACATGCTATCGAGAACATGCAAATTGAGTGATACAGCTTCTAACTATGTGAAAAGCGGCAACATGCAAGCCCAAAATAAAATCCCCGCCCCCCCCGCCCCCGCCCCCTCCACCTGCGCTAGCTGCTCCTGCAGCCGTGCGCTGTCCGCCCCCAGTGCCTCCAGCCTGCACCCCGCCTGCCGCAGCGCCCCCTCGCAGCCCGCCAGCTGGGCCCGCAACTCGGCAGCGGTGGCCCTGCCCCGCTCCAGAGCCGAGCGACGAGCCTCCCTGCAGCGGCGAGAGGTGAGGTGGGGTGAGGGGAGGTGGGTTGTGGGCTGAGGTGCGGGGAGCAGCAGGAGCACAAGGACATGCAGGCTGCTGCAGGGAAACCGTCGTCACCTAGAATGCAAGGATTGCTTCACCTTGGGCGTGCGGCAACCTGTGAGCGAGAACAAACCCACAGTGGACCACAGTGGGAATCACGACATACACCACCCCACCCCACCCCACCCCAACCACCCACCCACCTGTGCCATGCGGCCAGCAGCCGCCTCCTCCATATCGCCAGAAACGCCTCCACGAACCCAATCGCCGCCGACCGCTGCACCGCCCGCCGCGCCTCCACCTCCGCCCGCCAGCTCCGCAGCACCGCCCGCTGGGTCCCTTGCAGCACCCGGTGCCGGTACAGTCGCACTGCGCGGTCCACCACCGCCTGACGCCGGCGGGTGACCTCCACCAGCCGCTGCCAGCGCAGAGCAGCCTGGTAAGGGGGGGGGCGGGTGTCAGGGTTTGGGAGCAAGGCAGTCCTTCTCTCCTCCATTCCCACTCCCCTCCCCTCGCCCCTCCCCTCCCACTCCTCTCCCCCCTCCCTCCCTCCCCCCCTCACCTGCATCATGCGCTGGTACTCCCGCATACCGCTCACGTGCAGCTGCCGCGCCGCCGCCGCCTGCGCCGCTTGCAGCCACCCGCACATGCAGCGCCACAGCTGCCGGCCGCGCCAGTGCTCCGCCGCGAGCCGCCCAGCCAGCGCGGACTGCCGCCGCCGCAGCAGGAAGGAGCGCCAGCGGGCCAGGCAGGCGCGCAGACGGCGGGTGCCGGAGCTGTGGAGAGCGGAGGAGGAGAAGTGGGTTGGGGTGGGCGGGGTGGCGTTTGCACGTTTCCACATCAGCCCTACCACTATTCCAATTCCACTACCAAAACAATTACCGTCAGAGCAAGTCAGCAGCGTACTCCCGTCTCTCTCTCTATCCCTCCCCCTATTATCTACAATTTTCCCCCTCACCTAGCCTGCAGCGCCGCCACGCCCAGTCTCAACGTCTTGTTGCGTGCCGCCGCCCGCCGCCACCGCTGCACGACCGAGTGCCCGTACTGCAGGTCGGCTGCCGCCCGCAGCGAGCGCTTGCGGCGGGCTGCGGCCAGGAAGGTGCGCCAGGCGGCCAGGGCGCGTTGCAGCAGGGAGACACGGTACCTGGGAGCGCGGGGAATGGGGAGAGGCAGGGGACAAGGGGAGGTAGTTTGGAGGAGCAACGAACTGAGGAAGGGAAACTTGCGGCATATGTGAGTGCAGGAGTGCATGCATCACAACCTCCTCCTGGCCCCCCCCCACCCCCCACCCCACCTGCGCATGGCTCGCTGCACCAGCGTTCGCTTGCTGCCCCGCCGCTTGACCAGCTGTCGGAAGGCCGCCATGCCGCGGCGCAGCAGCAGTCGGCGGTAGGCTCGCACCGCACGTCGCGACTGCAGCGTCTGCGGCACGGCACGGTACGGCAGTCGGGCAAACGGTTGCAGCTCAGACACTCCCAATACAACACATCAACCGTAAACAGCCCCGTCAGCAGCCCCTATCCTAGCAGCACCATGCCATTAACGAACACTATCCTACTCTGCCCTCATTACCCACTCCACTCCGTCCTCTCCGCCCCTCGGATGAGCGTATTACCACTAACCCAAGCATGGCTCCCTATCCACGTTTACCCTCATTCCCAACTCTACTTCACCACACCTCCGCCCCCCCTCACCCGGGGCAGCAGGTCGCAGTGCACCCGCCGGTGCCAGCCCCCCAGCGCCCTCCGCAACACCCCCCGGCAGTGCTGCACCGCCGCCCGCCGCAGCACATCGCAGTCCACGTACGCCGCCGCGGCAACGTAGGAGCGGTGCAGATGCAGCCAGGCGCCGAAGCAGCGGCTGAGGCGGCGGCCCGCGAAGTGGGACGCGGCAATGGAGTTGACGCGGTCCTTGCGCCTGCAAACGTCGCAAAAAGCAGGCGGGGATTCACGTTGGGGACGTAAAAACAGCTACCGGTATACAATCCCTTCAAGCACAAGCATAAGGCTTCGTTGTAAAGTACCGTAGCAGAGTGCAAGCAGGGCGCATGAGGAGTTAAGCATCAGCCCTACCTCCCCTCCAGCGTCTGCGCCTTCAACCCCGCCAGCACACGCCGCTTCACCGCCTCCTGCTGCGCATGCACCATGCCGCGCAACACCCGTGTTCGAACCACCGCCACGTGCCAGTGACGGAGCGCCGTACGACACACGCGGCGGCGGTTGGCGTCCGCCGCCACCTCCAACCGGATCTGATGCCGCTGGGAGCGACGCGTGTTGGCAGCCCAGAGCCCCAACGCGGCGCGCAGGAGGCAGAAACTGCCTGCCAGCTGGTTCCTGAGGCAGAGGAAGGGCGCACAAGAAGGTACAAGAAGGAACAACGGAGTAAAGGCCAGCGTGTAGCTTGATGACCAAAAAGATCAGCCTGGCACGTAGCATCGCGTCTGAGGAATCTGGCCTACTTCCTCACCGCTGGCCCCCCAAGCACCCCCCGTGCCGGTACACACGACTCACCGCGTCACCTCCTGCTGCTGCTCCGACTCCAGCCTGGCAGCCAGCTCCTCCAGCCCTCTCAGCGCCTCCGCCTCCGCCGCCTCCGCCGCATGACACCTCCGCCTCAGCTCCCCCACCGCCGCCCGCTCCCGCTCCAGCGCCACCAACGCCTCCTCCAGCCGGGCCTGCACCGCCGCCCGCTCCTCATCCCCCTCCCGCCCCCGCCCCGACCCCGCCCCCGCCCCAACCGACGACACATCCGCCTCCACCTCCAACGCCCGCAAGCGATCCCGCAACGCCGCCACCACCACCTCCTGCGCCTCCACCGCTTCCGCCTCCGCCTCCGCCGCCCGCAGTCTGCTCCGCAACGCCGCCACCACGGCCTCATGCGCCGCCGCCGCCTCCTCCGCCGCCCGTTCAACCGCCGCCAACCGCTCCGCACCCTCCCGCCGCGCCTCCGCCAACTCCTGCTGCCCCTGCTCCGTCAGCTCCTGCAACTGCTGCCGATGTCGGGCCCGCAGCTCCTCCATGCGGCTCAGATGGTGCTCCGCCTGCGCCTGCTGCCCCTCCGTCAGCGCCGCCAGCAACGCCCGGTGCTCCGCCTCCTGCCGCTGCAGCTGCAACTGGTGGTGCACGGTCAGCTGCTGCATGCGCGCCTCATGTTCCGCCTGCAAGGCCGCCAGCTGCTGCTCCTGGGCCGCCGCGGCAGCTGCGAGCTGCTGCTGGTGCGCCGCAGCGGCGGCAGCGGCCCTGCGCGCCTCCTGCTCCACCAGGGCGGCTGCATGGCTGGCACGTAGCGCCTCGATCTGCGCGTCGTGTTCGGCCCGGAGGGCGTCCATTTGGGAGGCGTGTTCCGAACGAAGGCTGGCGAATTGGACGGCGTGGCTGGAGCGCAGCGTCTCGCATTGGCTGGAATGCTCGTTGCGCAAGGCCTCGACCTGGGACGCGTGTTCCGCTCGGAGGACTTCCGGCAGCTTGGCCCGGTCGTTGAGTAGCGCATCCAGCTGAGTCGCGTGCTCCGCTCGGAGCTTCTCCATCTGGCCTGCATGCTCGGTCCGCAGGGCAGCCAGCTGGGATGCATGGCTGGACCGCAACGTCTCCACCTGAACCGCATGCTCGGACCGTATGTTCTCGGGCTGTACCGCACGGTCATTCAACAGCGTTTCCAGCTGCGTTGCGTGCTGTGCGCGAAGTGCCTCCATCTGCACAGCATGCTCGGTTCGAAGGTCCGTCAGCTGGCAGGAGTAGCTGCTGCGCAGCGTTTCAACTTGGACTGCATGCTCGGCACGGAGGGCGTCAGGCTGGCCGGCGCGCTCGTTTAGCAGCGCCTCCAGCTGTGCGCAGTAGCTGGCACGCAGTGCGGATTCGGAGATGGCGCGTGCGGCCTGCGCATTGGCGGAGGCTGCTGCCTGCGCCTGCTCCTTAAGTTCGGCTGCTGCGGCCATGCGTGCCTCCTCCAGCTGCTTCTCGTGGCGGCTGGCGAGGATGGCGACCTCGGCGGCGGCCTGCGGGGCAGGGCAGGGAGGGGAAGGGGGGCATTACAAGCAGCCGTTATAGCCACATGGAGCGGGCGAGGTAAAGGAGGGATAAAGGCTCAAGACAACCATCACCCGCTGTCACCCAACGCGCTCTTCCATGTGTATTCTTAACTTCTTGTCCTAAACACAGGCGAAATGACACAAAAGCCACATCCCTACCTTGTCCTTTTCCGACACCAGTTGCGTCTCCAGCACCACCTCCCGCTGCCTGCATTCCGCCAGCTGCTGCTCCGCCTCCTCCGCCTGCTGCCGCGCCTCTCCCATCTGCTTCTCCCGCTCCCGCAACTGCTGCCTCAGCTCCCCCATCTGCTCCTCCCGCTCCTGAAGCCAGCGGTCCTGCTCCCGAAGCTGCTCCTCCAAACTCTGCAGGTGCTTGCCCTGCTGCTTCAACACCTCCTCCCGCTCCTGCAGCCGCGCCTCCCGCTCCCTCACCTCTCCCTCCCGCTCCTTCAACAGCCCCTCAACCGCCTGTAACCGCTGCTCTCCTTCCTGCAGCTGCACCGCGGCCTCTGACAGCTGCCTGTCGCGGTCTCGCAGCTGCTCCCTGAGACCCTGCGCCTCCTTGTCCTGTGCTTGCAGCCGCTCCTCTCGTTCCTGTAGCTGCGCCCTCACCTCCTGGAGTTCCCTGTCCTGCTCCGCGAGCTGTTGCGCTAGCTGCTCCTTCTCCCTTAGCTGCTGCTCCCGCTGCTGCAGCAGGTCCTGCAGTTCCCGCAGCTCCTGCTGCTGGTGTGCCACGGCTAGCCGGGTTTCCTGAGGTGACAGAGGGGTTGCAGAGCAGCGCAGGAGGCGAGGAAACAAGGACCGACGTGAAGGACGAGCAACGAAAGTCTAACAATACCAATGACCTAACAATGTCCTGAGCAGGAGTTAACAATGACAGCAACAACGGTAGTAGAGAGAACCTTAACCCTCTCGAAACAAACACATGCCACCATGCCCTCCCTCCCCGTATCTCCTCACTTCTCGCCCACTTTCAGCCACACACACACACACACACACACACACACACACACACACACACCAGTCTTCTAACCCCACACACACTCGACGCACCCACCTGCAGCTGCGCCTGCGACTCCTCCAGCGCATCTGCCGCCTGCCCCACCACCCCCAGCTCCTGTTGCAGCAGCCGCACCTCCGCCTGCTCCTGCTGCAGCGCCCGCTCCACCGCCTCCTTCTCCAGCGCCATGTCACTCAACTGCTGCTCCAGCAGCCGCTTCTGCTCCCGGAGGGCGCCCAGCGGCAGCGCACCCTGTGCATGTCACATGGTGCACGCGGGTTGGTGTGGGGGTGGGGGTTGGGGTTTTTATCCGTACGGCATGATGAAGCACCTCATGGGTATTGGCATGCATGGCATGGACGAGGTGTGTAAGCACGCTTGCATGTAAGGTAAGTTGAGACGCTCAGCGCAAATCCCCGTACACGCGCCTCCCCCGTCTTCCAAGTTCCAACCGCCTTGGGTCATGAGCCCCACCAGGGGGGGGGGGTCCACCTCCTCACCATGGCATTCTCCAGGTCCGCCAGGGCGGCAGCCAACTCCGGTTGCTGCTGCACGAGCCCATCAGCGGCAGCAGCAGTGGCCCCGCTCACCCCTCCTACCCCGCCCAACAGCCGGTGGCCCAGCTGCTCCACCTCCCGCTGGAGATCGCGGTTTCGGAGCTCCTGAGCCTGCAGCTGCTCCTTGATCTGTCGCAAGTACGGCGGTGTGGGTGGTGGAGATCTCAGCCGCTTGGCCGCATCGTCGCCCTCCCTCACGGACCTCATGATGGTAGCAGTACCGGCAACCTCCGCCTCTCCTTGTTGCTGTTCCCGCTGTACCTGCTGCTGCTGCCCTCGCTGCTGCCGTTGCTGTGACTGCTGCTGCTGCAGCTGTTTTTGTCCATCTGATTGGGTTGGCACTGAGGGCTGCTGCTGTTGCCTCTGCTGCTGCTGTAGTTGCTGCTGCCTGGCGGTGTTGCCGTCGGCAACCAGCCGGCCCTGCAGTCGCTGCAGCTGCGCGGTGAGGTCGGCGCTCACGGCGGCTTGCTGCGACAGCTGCTGCCGGAGCAGGTCGTACTGCCGTGGATAGGGGAGGAGGGAGGGAAGTGAGGAATGGTGGAGAAAGGAGAGAAGGAGGTAGGAAAGAGGGGAGGGTTTGCGGGTGGCATTCTTGGGAGTGCTTCAGGCAACGCCAAACGTGAGGCTCCGCAGTGTCAGCACACGTTACATCAACCTACCTGCTCTCGAACCTCTGGTGGAACGTCCGCGGGTCCCTGCTCTCCATTCCGCGACTGCTGTCCGCTCGCGTCCTCCCCATCCGTGCTGCCCTCCCATCCATTCCCGCCCGCCTCGCCTCCACCACCGCCTCCACCTCGCTCCTCGTAGCCAAACCCCGGCTGCTCGTCCCGCCAGCCGCCGCCATGCCACGACCCTCCGGGTGTGCCGACCCGCCTCCTGCCAGACCTCCGGCTGCGGCCCTCATCCTCGGATACGGCTCCGCCGGCGTCTCGTCCCATGCTGGATCCAAACGCCGTACCGACGGGCTTGATCCGCTCGATCTTTTCGTACACCAGGCGGCCGGACGCAAGGCCCTCATGCAGGGGTGAGCCGGGCGGGGCAAGCAAGTCCAGAGCTCGAGCGGGGGTAGCGCCGTCATGGGTAATGCCGGCGGCCCCGGCCACGGAGGAGGTGCGGAAGAAGAGCTGAGGAGTAGGGGCGTCCGGCCCTGTGTTGTCCGCGGCCTGCGGTAGTGGGATAGAGAGGCGCCCCCGGGTCATGGACCTCATGGTATTGCTTTCGTTAGGAAGCCCGTCTTGGCCACCGTGCATGCACGGGCTGCTGTGCAAAAACACAGTCCCCAACCGCGCGAGCATGCCCGACCCAGAAGCGGCAAGGCAGCCACCCCTGCCCCTTCCTGCCACGCATACCTCCATGCCCCCCCCACCTGCATGGGTGCCGTATGGATGTGCAGGTGGATATGTTGGTCCTTGAAGCCCTCGCTGTCCTCCGTCACCATCTCCGCCACCTCCACACGAGCCGTGCTGCCCCCCGCCGCATGATCTACCACGCTAACGGTGGTGGTGCCGGGAGTGGTGGCAGCGGCGAGCTGGGCGGTGCTGCCGGGGGTGCCGGTACGTGCGGTCGTGCCGGGAGGGCCGTGCAGAGTGAAGCCGGGGGTGGCGACGGAGGAGGAGGCTGCGGTGTACGGCCGTGCGACGCCGTAGGTCGTACCTATTGAAAGGGTTAGGGACGGCAACATCGGTGCAACGTGTGAAACAACGGGGAAGAGGATTCGGGATGCGGGATCACGTTCTCTCGCAGTAGCATGCAAGGGGAGCGCGGGTCATCCGCACAGCGCTGAAAGAAGCAGCTGGCATGGCGCGGTGGAAGGATTCATACAAGCATGCGGTGAGTGAGGAGTCCGCACGGTCCCTCAGGCGGCTTACCGGGGTAGGGAGATGCGGTTCCATCCACGCTGACCATGCTGCGCGCATGGCTGGGCGTCCCAGGCACCGACATCTGCTGCCCGCTGTCGGATGCGTTCACATCCAGACTAGCGCGCATGGCGCTAAAGTCATCCAGCGTTACTTCGTCCACAACGCCCGACGTGGACAAATGTGGGGATACCGGCTGCGGCGGGAGCGGCAGCATTACTGCATCGTGCATGGACGGCTGCTGTTGCTGTTGTTGCGGGAGGCCAGCGGGCGCATGGTAGGGCCATGCACCTGCGGGGAAGGACGCGGGCCCTGGCTGCTGCTCCAAATCCCCTTGCCGCTGCTGCTGCTGTTGCTGCGACTGCGATTGTGGGTGTAGCTCATCCAGAGGTGGCTCCTGTGGTGGCCAATGTTCACCGGCCCGAGGTTTCGGAGCGGGCGGGGGCTGCAGTCGAAGCTGCATCATACGTGGGGGCTGCGACGCGGCTGCTGCTGCTGTTGCCGCTACCAGCGGCTGCTGCTGCTGTTGGGCTTGCAGGGCGAAGGAGGGCTCCAGATGCACTCCAGTGCCATCCAGGGAGGGCGAGTGCTGCTGCTGCTGCTGCCATTGTTGCTGCTGGGCTTGCTGCTGCCAAGGCGCCATCCCTCGACCAGCTACACCACCCGCATCCGCACCCACAACACCACCCCCTCCCGCATCTAGATTATAGCCAAACGGGCCCCCCGCAGTGGCTGCGGCTGCGGCAGCTGCTCCCGCGGGGCCCGGCCACGAGCTCCGATGCGGCTGCAGCGAGGGCGGCGGCAGCTGCGGCTGCGGCAGCGGGCTAGCCATGGGCCCCCCCGGCATGGCCGAGCTCCAGGAGGTGGGTCGCAGCGTCAGGTCCACGACGGGTTCCGCGATGGCGCTGCCGGGCGCTGAGCGCGAGCCGAAGAGCCAGTCCTCCGGCTGCTGAGGTGAGGGCGACATGGGGGGTGGTGCTGTGTTCTGGGGTGGTGGGGAGGGGTAGCTGGCCTGGGTAGCGGCGGCAGCGTGGGGTGCCCAGGGAGGCCCCTGTGAGGTCAAATACACCGGCTGCTGCGGGGGGTATTGTGGGTGGTGTTGTGGGTGTTGAAGTGGGTATGGTGGTCCAGGAGCCAAGTGCCAGGGGGGCTGCTGCGCCGCTGCCGCTTGCTGCTGCATGTACGACGATGACGGGGGCAGGGTCTGCCCGCTCCAGCCGTCCGGTGCGGCGGCGGCGTTGGCGGCAACATTCGGGAGTTCGGCCCCCAAGCCGCGATGCGGAACGGGCATGGCAGCGGCCTCGGCAATGCCCCGCAGACGCGCCGTCTCCCGCGCGGACTCCTCCACCTGCCGCCGCAGGTCTTCCATGCGGGTCGCTGCATCCTTGGCAGCAAACGCAGCACCGGTGCTGCTGCTGCTGCTGAGGAAGCCACCGCTACCCCGCAACGTGCCAGGTGCGGCAGGCGAGGAGGCGCGGAGGTTGCCGCTGCCCCCAGCCGACCAAGGCGGGTTTAAGTGGGTGTGCATCGTCATGGCTGCATGTCCATGAGCGGTGTACGGCAACGTTGCTGAGAGACCCATGGGTCCAAGTTGCAGCGAATGCCGTACATGGGGCACATGTGCATGTGTACGATGGGCTGGGTCCTTGGACCCCCCGCCGGGCGCTGCGGCTGTGGCCGCGACGCAGCCCTGGCGGCGACCCAGGATTGTGGGCGAGGAGGAGCGGCGACCTTCGAGCGACGCTGCGGAATGCCGCTGCTGCTGCTGCTGGTGCGAATGGGCGGTTGGTGAGGTGAGGTGAGGCAGGGGTGTGGATTTGGAGCCGGGGGATACGTTACCCAGTCCCCGCACGTGTTCTGGACTGGTACCCGCATCGGCTTGGGTGCGAGCCAGTTCGGCTTCCGCTGCTAGGGAGGCTGCCCGGGCGGCATCACGGTAGTTGGGGGAGGAGGGCGCGGAGCGCACGCCACCTGCGAGATGGAGAAACGAGCGCAGTGGTGAGCAGTTGAGTATGCGGGGGAGCGTGGCGGCGTGCAAGCCAGGCCGACCAAACAAGCCAGGGCAGTTCCGTGTGATGCTTACCGGGCTGCTTGGGTCCCGCAGGCCTCCAGGCGGGGTGTTGCAGCGGGGGGGAGGAGGACCGAATGCCCTGCGGGACATATGCACACATGCTAAACGAAGCCTGAACACCTGATACGTTGGTTCCTGTGCTGCAACTATCTTGGCTACGCAACTATGCATGGCAGCAACTCCTAACTCTGTAGAGACACTTAACACATGCAGTGTCTACCACTGCCACCACCACAGACAGCAACACGTGGCCCCCCAGGACATTCCTATGCACCCCTGTGTGTGTGCTTACCTTCCCAGGCGAGGCCGACCTGCCCCGCAGCAGCCCTGCGCCGCTGCCCCTGCCAGCCGTCTGCTGCTGCGCTGCCGCCTGGCTCCCTCCCCCGCCTCCCCGCTGCCGCAGAATGAGCGCATCCACCGACCTCGACCTGCGTTGCCGCGACCCTCCGCCCTCCGGCCCCGACCCAGCCGCCCCCGACCCAGCCGCCTCCTCCGCACCTCCATTCCCACCCTCCGAAGCAACCTCCTCCTCCCCTGCCATGCTGCCCGCACGTTGCTGCTGCTGCTGGTGTTGCTGCTGGTGCGGCCGGGCTCGGTCCACTGACATCGCCCGCCGCTCATACGGCAGGGGCGCAGACCTCGCCCTCACGGCTGTTCCTGTTCCTGTTCCTGCAGCTGCTGCTGCTCCAGCCGCCTCGGGCACCGCTGGTGTCGCAGCCGCGGAAGCAGGGCCGGGTGTGACCGGGCGCTTGACGGGGCCTGCCACGACTCCCTTCCGCGCCCGCTCCAGTCGTTCCAAGACCTCTGGCGGGGTGGGAGAGGAGCGGGCGGAGCGCCAGCGGGAGAAGGAGGAGGGCGAGAGGGAGCCCCGCCGCTGCAGGAGCGGCTGCTGCTGCTGCTGCGATGAGGAGGGGAAGGAGGAGGAGGAGGGACCGGCATCCTCCAAGGCACCCTCCATGTCCATGCAGACAGGGGCAGCTTCGCTGCTGCTGCCGCCGCCATCACCGTCGGGTTGGTTGTTGTGGGGTTGGGACTGTGAGGTGGGTCGCTTGAGGGCTGATTTGAGGGCGGGCTTGAGGGCGGGGCGGGCGGGGCTCCTCCGGGATCGCAACAGGGCCGCCTCCCTGCCACATCGGGAAGGTAAACCAGGGCCATGGGCAAGTAATCACTACTAAAAGGTAACACGATACCTTTTTGCTGCTCCTTATCCAAGCCCGCTGCAGCCTCACCCCTCACCACCACCCCACCTGAACTCCGCGAGCACCTCCTCCCGCTCTCGCCGCATCGCCCGCTGCCGCTCCTCCTCCGCCTCGGCCTCCCGCAACAGAAGCAGCGCACGTCTCGCTCCCGCACCCCCCCGCCCCTCACCACCACCACCCGCTGCCTCAACTTCTCCTCCTCCGCCTCCTGCTGCCATGCTGCCGCCATCACCGTACGGGTAGCCCCCAGCAGCCGTCGCTGTCCCCGCAAAGCCAGCTTGGAACCGCAGTTCGTCTAGTGCGGCCTGGCACTGGGCCAGCAGGTCGAGGAGGGCGGCGGTGGTCTGCTGCTGAGCCGTCATGACCTGTCGGACCGCAGGAGGGGATGCGAGGGTTGGGTAACTCCGACGACTCCCATGGCCCTCATGCGGTCATGCGGATGCCATCCTGTACCAGCCGCGGCGTAGCAAAGCATGATAACATGGAATGCTCATTCCTGCCCGTAACGCTCCGGCACATGAAAAACACAGTGTGGGCCGCCTGGCCTAACCCGTATGACACATCGCACGCCCGCTGCCGCAGCCCACCTGTGCAAAGGCCTCCTCCCAGGAGGGTCCTGCCCCCCTGCCGTACGACACAGCTACTCCTCCCCCCGCCGCTGCTGCCCCCTGCTGCAGGGCCAGCTGGCGGTACATGCGCCCCACCTCCCGCAGCAGCGCGCCGCGGATCTTGCGGCGCTCCTGGGAGATGTATACGTGGGGAGCGGGGGCGGCGGGGGGTGTCATGGGAGAGGGGGGTCAGGGACAGGAAGCAAAGCGAGTGGAGCCGCAAGATAGGGCGCGCTGGGCTTCTGTTGGGGGTATAAGGAGGACGATAAGAGTTTGTAAGGAGTAGGAAGCCGGTAACGATGCATATGGAAGAACGGGTGTTACGACGGGATGCAGGGTGCAGAGCGCAGGGCTACTCCTCCCCTTCCTCCCACTCGTCCGCCGCCCTCCTCCCACCCTTACCTCGGCACTCAGGCTCCCCTCGTAGTCCCACAACTCCACCAGCCGAGCCAAGCTGCGTCCGCCACCAGTTGTCCCCGCCCCCGCCGCCTCCCCTCCTCCTCCCCCTCCCAGCACCTCCACCCGCCGCAGCCCCGCCCCCCGGCCGCTGTGCAGGGCGTGCAGCAGCTCCAGGTGCACCTGCGCGCGCTGGACCACACTGGCCTGCATGGGGGCGGGGGAGAGATAAGGAAACTGATGAGCTGTATGGCGAGGCACGGCATGGGGTGGTGGGGGGGGATCGCCACCCCTCGCTCCCCTCCGCGCCTTGAGAAATACACCCGGCGCTGCACACCACCTCACGCACTCCTGCTGCATGCCCCGCCCCTCCCTTCCCCCCCCCACACTCACCATCTTGTGCACCTCACATGCGTTGCGCAGCAGCACCGTCATCACCGCCTCCTCCGCCGCCACCGCCCCGGGGGCCGCCGCGCGCTCCTCCTCAGTCACCGGCCGCCCGTCCAGCGACTTGAGGGCCGGCAGCGCCAGCAGCACCCGGGACCTACCACCGGTAGCAGCCCAGGGGCGGCCAGGAGGACAGGCGGCAAGGGCATAATACCTACGCTGCTCTCCGCACACGGCACATGGCAAGGTTGAAGGCCCCCAAACGCATGGATGTCTAGCATCACCGTTCGAGCGGAAGCCACTGGACAGCACACCCAGCCTCTTAGGTCGCGCTCTGGGGAACCTCGGCTATGACACAACTTTACCTGTAGTGCAGTCCACCCACCCCACCCCCACCCCACCTGTAGTGCGGCACGTACGCCAGCGGGTTGCCCTCCAGCGACAGCGCCTCCAGCCCCGGACACGCGCCCGCCAGCACCTCCAGCTGGTCTGGGTCGGCCAGCAAGTTGTCCGCCAGCCCCAGCACCCGCAGACCAGGGAACTGCGCCAGACCCGCAACGCTGGTGAGCGAGTTCTTGCTGAGGTAGACAACCTGGGGGGGGGGCGGAGGGGGGGAGGTGCGGATCAGGGGTAAAGGAAGGAGAGGGATGGAATAGGTGCCGCCTGTGTGGTAGATGTGAGGCAGGTACGCAGGTCTATTTGGGCCTCAAGCCACCTAGCGCGTCTGACGCACCAGACCGCATCACCTCTTTCGTAGCGCTCATCCAAAGGATTGTCCAGAAACATGCAAAGCCAAGCGCACAACCACCCACCCACCCACTCACCTGTGCATCCGTAAAGCGTGCGGGTAGGGCATCCACCCTCTCAATGAACCGCTCCACAGCCGACAGCCGTTGTCTGTCGTACAGATGTGGCGCCTGCTGCAGTACGGCAGACAGCAGCCTGCCACTCCGCCTGCTGCTGCCGCCGGCTGCTGCTGCTGGCATGGAGGGGGGTCCCGGCTGTGGCTGCCGTACCTGCTGCTGCCGCTGCGCTAGGCGTTGCAGTCGGGCCATGCGCATGGCGGTAGCCTGGGCCAGGACGGTGGTGGCGGGTCTGCAGACACGGTAGCGGAGCCGGGTTAAGAGGGAGGGAAAAGGGAAAGAAAGGGAAGGTTAGGCGTGTCTGAGGAATTGTACGGTGAGGAACGGACGCATTCCTGGCGCGGTGCGTGCTGGAGGAAGTTGGAACTGCCCGGGGGTGCGACAGTCAAGTGATGTAGAGGGGCTGAAAGTGTGAAAGAGGAGAGGCTGGAGCCCGATGGCGCAGGCTGGCACAGGTCCCTTTTCCTTCCGAGGGTAGTTCCGCACACCTTGACACGCTGGGGTCCATTCGCGGTCGGGGAGGTGACAAAGACGGAGACCGGTTGCCTGGCGCTCCAGTCCTCATAGGCTGCGGTGAGCGAGCGTTGACCGGTCTTCCCACATCCGCTTCCACTGCCAAGGTGGTGGCGGTGGCGGTAACGACAGCATGGCTGTCGTAATGCCTAGGTGAGGGCACTGCAGGCTGCTGGCGTGTAGCCCCATCTGTTGCTGATGGCAAAATCCGTATCCGTTCTACTGATGATGGGCGCCGTCCAGCAGATTCCGCTTGCTGCGAGAGGTATATTGCCGTGTAGCCAGGTCGTCCATCTGTTCCGGGCAGCCCCGCCTGCTGCTGGTACAGCTCCGCATAGGAGCTCATCTATCTTATAAGCAACAGGACATGATTTGATGTGTTTGTCCCGACAAGGCCTGGGAACATCCGGCTCTATTTGTGCGACGGCATGCTTGTTGACCAAAAAGTAAAAGCTGTTGTAAGCAAAAGAATAAATTAGTAGCATATACAGTATGATCGCGAATACCGCAGGCCAGCCCCAGGATAACCAGTAGGCAGGTTAGCATGCATTTGCATGTGTCCCTGGCTGTCGTGACAAAATACGGATTCCAGGACCTCTTTGATCCTCGCAATTGCTCTGCAAACCTCTTGTTAACGTTCACCAAATATACCTATGTGATGTATGTAGGATTGCAAAACGATCCCACCAACCTGGCTGAAGCCTAACATGAGCGCGAGGTTATAACAACTGTGCTGGACTCTTTTGTCGTTACTAATATCCAAACCGCTATACTATTGTCAGATACTGTTTCATCGGGAGGTCTAATGCAGCCTCTAGGGCTTGCATGCGCTCTACTCATCGGATGGGCTGTGCTAGCTCGTGGCCAAGGTGGTGAGCTTATAATGCAAATTGTTTACAGTCGTTAAAGAAGCCAACGTCCGCAGTCATGAACGCGTCAGGGTGCTTGCCAGGCAACAGTTGGTTAAGCTTGGGATGTAACTAGGACTTGCGCCTCGCTTTCCGCGGATATGCTAATCTTACCGCAGACTGCTCTGGTCATGGCCAGCTGGTAGACGGCAAATGCTCTTGCAACTCGCCGCTTCCAGTCGACGCGTCGCCTGGATGGGTGGGCGACACTTGCAATGTGCAAGTGCACCACCTCTTCCTTAACGGTCAGGACGTCCAAGAAACCTGCGGCGAGGGCCACGTGTGCAACGTCGTGGCGCCTAGTGAACCCGTGTGCTTCGCGACCAGCATCGCCGAGTAAGTCGAATGGCTGGGTTGCTGACTGGGCTGTGGTGCGCAACACCGCCATTGGTGCATCGCCCCCTACCTCTCCACGCCCATCTCCCCCCCCGGCCTCCTCCACACCTCGCCTCTTCCCCCATTCCACCCCCACTCCACCCTCCCACCCCCCCCCACCTCAGCGTAATGCGGATTCTGTTTCCATATTAACCCCCACCTCACCACCCCCCAGGATGTCCGACTCCGCGTTCCACCTGGCTCTGCTGCTGACCAGCAACAGCCTGGAGGCGGCAGTGGGGCTGCGCGGGCTGCTCACAAACATCACGGCGGCAGGGGGCGGGGAGGGCGGGGGGGCGGAGAGGCTGGTGCCGCAGGTGGGTCGGGGGTGGGGAGCATCGAGGCGCAGCAGCGGCGGGGAGCGAGAGGGGCCTTTCCTACCTCGTACCTGATCACCGCAACAACAACAAGCGCTCACCGCACTCCTGGCCTCCCTCCCGGCCCTCACCCATAACGCCTGCCCCTCCCTCCCTCCCTCCCCCCCCCCAGTCCTACCCGAACTCCAGCACCTCCTTCAGCTTCGCGCTGCGCACCTGGGGGCCCGGCCGGGTCGCGCAGCTGCAGCTGACACGGAGGCAGCTGGGGGGCGGGGCGTACACGGGTAGGTGGGCGGATAGGGGGGCTACACGGGTAGGTAGGGATAGGGGGGCTGGGATTGCCGGGCTGGGCGGGGGCGGGGGCTGGGACCGTGGTTGCCGGGATGGCTGGCCCTAAACCCACAAGCGCCTCTTGCCTCGTCTCGCCTCGCTCCGCTGCTGCCGCTGTCCTCCCCACTTGCCCTGCCCTCCCTCCTCCCACCCCCCTCCAGGCATGTACCTGTGCGTGGAGAGCAACTCCAGCACCACCATCGGACTCAGGTGCGGTTGGGTGGGTGTGGCGCGTGGGTGGGGGTGGGGGTGGGGGTGGGGGTGGGGATGTGGGGGCAGGTGGGCTGTTTGGGTGTGGACGGATGAAGAGGGCTTGCTCCATGGGGCTTGGATCTCGGACCTTGGCCCCGACGGCTTCCTGTTTAAGCTCAGCTATGCGCCTGTGCCATTTCCCTTACCTCCCTCCCTCCTTTCTAACCCCGCATGCCGCACCTCTCCCTCCTCCATTCCCCTCCCTCCCTTCCAGGGGCGCCACCCACTCCTGCCCCCTCACGCTGCTCCCCGACGGCTCCCTGCGCCTCTGCAACGGCCGCAGCCCCACCCTGGCCGACACCCCCACCGCCCCCGCCTGCCCCCGCGGCACCTGCAGCTGCCCTCCGCCCTACGCGCCGCCCGACAACTGGGTCATGGTGCCAGGTAGGGGGGGGGCGGCAACGCCGGGTTGGGGGGGGGGAGGGCGGCGACAGGGCGGGGAGGAGGGGTCCTCACATGGGGGGGGAGGGCGGCAACGCCGGGTTGGGGGGGTCGTCACATGGGGTGTCACAGCTTGTTCAACACATCAGTTCACCTAAACGCATCACCCACCCGTCCGTCCTTCCACCTTTGCGCTTTTTGGCCTTCTCCAACTTTCCTCCATATCCACCACCAGGACTCCAACACTCCCACCCACCACTTCCAACCACCACCACCCAACCCACCTGCAGGCCTAGGTTTCGAGGACTGCTCCGCCTCCCTGCAGCCCCTGCAGCCCACCCCGCCCCCGCCCCCGCCCGCCCCTCCCAGCCCCTGGCAGCCCGCCACCGCTGCGGTGACGGCCCAGGCGGCAGGGGCCTGGGCCTTCTTCCGCCTCGACCTGCCGAGTGGGAGTGAGGCGGGGGCCCGGGGCTGGGCGGAGCTGAGTGTCACTGCGGTGGCAGCATCGCAGGGTGACGCAGGCGGTGGGTGGTTGGGAGGCTGGGTGGGTGGGAGGTGCGTACTTGCGTCTGACCAGCCTAACCCTGTCTAACCTGTCGCAACCCCAACCCCTCCGTCCCCATCAACACCCGCATGTTACCCAACCCTCCTCCAACCCCTCTCAACTCCCTCCTCACCTTTAACCTTCCTCTCCCCCCGGCCCCCCAGGCTCGCTGCTGCTCCTGCTGCGGTACCAGCAGCTGCCCTCCGGTGAGGGGCCGGGACAGTACGACCTCACCAGCGACCCCACCCTCTCCTCCTCCTCCTCTCCTGCCTCCTCCTCACCAGCACCCGCTGCGGCCCCCCTGTGGAGCACCACCCGCACAGCCCGACTGAGCCTCAGCCGCAGCGATCCCGCCTTCAGACCCGGTGAGGAGGGGTGGGTGGGGGGGGAAACGTGGGAGCGATAACCCGGGCGCTTGCAACCCCGAGTGTTGACAGTTGCCGTACAGGCCCAGACATACACGCGCCTTCCTTGGAACATTGCCATCGGAAAAACGCGTATAACTATTTGAATGAGACACCCGTGGGCGTGTGTTGGCATGTGCACACCATTCGCCTGGCTGGCTAACAGGTTATGGCCTCCTCACTCGTGGCCAGTTCTCTTAACACCCTCCACCCCCACCCACCCCCAGGCACCTGGTATCTGGGCGTCCTCAACCGGGGCCCCACCCCCCTGTCGTGCATCCTCACTGCCGCCGTGTACGGCTGCCCCAACAACTGCAGCGGGCGGGGGGCATGCGCCGCAGATACCGGGACGTGCACATGCAGCGACAGCGGTCAGCAGGTGGGGTTGTTTGGATGTTTTCCTTTGGGTGTTTTGGGGTGGAAGTTGAGTTCCTTTTCAGGCCCTTGTCACTAATTCATGCTTTGCTTTCTTCTTTCTGTCTACCACTCCTGAACCCCTCCTACCCGCCGGGCCGCCCCGCTTTCCCCCGCCCCCTCTCGCAGCCCTCCTCCTCCCCCGACTGCTCCTCCTCCTCCTCCGACCTGTCACTCGGGCAGAACCTCACGGCAGCTCCCTCGGCGTTCGCGTACGACAGGATCATCCTACGGGGTGTACGGCAGCAGCTGCGAAGTGCCGCCACGTCACACCTGCGCCTCACAGCCGCCTTCACCACCGCCAGCAGCACGGGCGAGACGGGAGCTGAGGGGGAGCTGCCGGGTTGGGTGACAGCAAGGTGTGTGACCCATGGGTCGGTTGGCTGTGTTGGTAAGGCTCTGCTGGACTGTATGTGTATGTGGCAAAGGCTGAACACACTCGTCCGGGTCGCACATTCCCCTCTCTCCATGCATGCATGAGACATGTGCCGTACGTGCTCTCCCTGCGTGTCGTACGTACAGGCCCGTCGTGCTGGTTGCTCCCTCCGCCAACACCACCTCTGCCGGCGGCGGCTTCTGGCCGGATGCCGCCACTGCAGCTGCAGCCCGCATGTCCCTGTCGGAGCCCAGAGTGGCGCAGTCGATGGATGTGGGCAGCTGGATGGTAGGTTGGGGTGTGCGTGTGTTAAGGGAACTTCTCTCTTCCAGTGCCTCACTTCTGCGCACGTTTACCTCCTCTCCCTCTGCTTCTCAACCCCTATCCCCAGCTCTCCACCTTACGTCTCACCTCACCTCCCCCCTCATCTCCCTCTGCTTTCCTCCCCCCCTCACCTCTCCCCCCTCCCTCCCCAGATCTCCCCCGAGGATGACTCCCTGCACCTCCTGCTGCTCAACCCGCTAGCGGGACTACTGCAGGCGGGCAACACCTCCTCCTCCCCCGCTGCCCCCGCCCCTGCTGTCCCCGCTGCCCCCGCTCCGCTGCATGTTGGGTATTGGGTGGTGGTGGAGGTGGTGGGTAGCTGCCTGGCCAACTGCTCGGGCCACGGCGCCTGCGACACTGGCTCGGGGCTGTGCGTTTGCCAGGTGGGTACCCACAGGTGGTTTGGGAAGGGGCGTTGCAGGGGTCTCCTGAAGCAGCAGCAGAGGAGCTGGAGGAAAAGGAGCGGAAGTGATGACCTTTACTCTGCATCTCAGGGATAGGCTGGATACCCTATCACCAACTCAGCTAGCCCGTGGGTTATGTCAACGCCCGCAATGGAACGTTACGAAACGCTGTCCGCAGTAACATGTATTGTGCACAAGCACGCATCCTTTCGCCAAACCTCCCAGACCATCCAGCCAGCCAACCAACTGATACCAACCCGCTGTTAAACCCCTCCCCGCGTCCTCTTTCTCCTCCCCCACCTCTGCCACCTCCCCCATGTCCCAGCCGGGCTACGGCGGCGGCGACTGTTCCGTCAACCTCGCCACCAACACCACCGTCGGCGGCGTGTGCGCCCCTGGCTCCTTCCGCCCTCGCCACGTAGACGCCTCTCGCGGCACCTGTTGGGAGGCCTGCGCTGCTGACGGCAGCGGGTTCGAGGAGGGAGGCTGCAGCGATTTCACATGCGATGAAGCCGGCAGCAGCGGAGGAGGGGAGGGGCAGCAGCAGCAGGGTCGGGGGCCGTTGCGGCGTCGGGGCGGTGCGGAAGAGTGTGTGTCGGATGCATGCGTGGCCGGGAACTACACGCTGGTGGATGAGGAGGGCGGGTTTGCATGTGTGCGGCGGTGCAGTTGCCCTGCAGACGGGGGTGCATGCGGTCTGGAGGAGGGTTGCGTGCCGGGAACGGTGCGGTGTTTGGGCGGTCGGAGTTGGGATGCGAGTGGGGAGCGGTGTGTGGAGTCGCCGTGTGTGGAGGGCAGCCTGCGGCGGGCGGCCGAGGTGCGGGGGGGGCAGGCGTTCGCGGTGTGTGTGTGCGGGCGGGCGGGGGAGCCGGGGTCGTGTGCGTTCACGGTACCGCAGCAGACGGAGGGCAACACGGGCGGCGTGGTGGCGTGCTTGGCTGGGTGGGAGCGACAGGTGGGGGGGGGTATGGGGGAGCGGTTGGGTGAGGGGTCATGGGAGGGTGGGTAATGGGAAGAGGGAGGGATTAAACTGCCCGCTGCTAAGTGTCCGACGAGGTGACGACCTGTCTCCTGGATGTTGTTGCGGGGCTGCCCAGCTGCTTGCATGGGAGGGGGGAGGAGGGAAGGGGGACGGGGAAAGGGGAAGTGGGCAACGAAAGGGAGGTGCGCTACACGACCCACATTGAATAATCAGAGCCCTGTGCTGGATGCCGTATCCATCACCTCTAATAACCCTCCCCCTTGCAGTGGATATTATTCTTTCTCCCCTTGAAACCCGCACCCCACTACCGCACCGCAGGGTGACACCACCACCACCCACCTCTCCGATGGAACCTCCATCACCACCGGCGGCACCTGCGGCAGGCCCCGCCGTAGCGGCGTGTCGGGCGGTGCTGTGTTTTTCTACTGCTTGCTCAGCATCGCGCTGGCGGGGGGTCTACTGGTGGGTAGCAAGTACGGATTGCTGTGGTACGAACAGTACCGGTACGGCAGGTCCGTGTTTGGTGCGGGGGGCAGCCTGGCGTGGCCGCTGTTTGGGAATAAGGGCAGTGCGGGCGGCGCGGCGGATGATTGGTAGGAGTGGTGGTGGGATCAAATTAGACAAGTGAAACCATATAGAAACATAGGGGGCAGGTTGTGGGAGGGAGATGACACATGAGCGGGGGGAGAGGAGTGGTGTGAGCGAGCATGCATGCAGGATGGGGGGGGCGATGCCGTAGCGCTGTCTGAAGTATCTGTGTGTGTAGGCGGGCAGGAGTTGTTGGGTGTTGTGGCAGTTGTGAGAGATGTGATGTGGCCATGATGCGGTATGTGGGATTGCATGCGGTTGTAGGAAGAGTGCATAAAGACTGTTGAGGAGGAGGAGAAGGAGGAGGAGGAGGAGGAAGCAGCATTAGAAGGTTTAGCAAAGGGGGTTGAAGGCCCTAGAAGCAGTGGCAGTAGCAGCAGTGAGTGCCGTACCCGGCCGTTGCGAGCTACCGGTACGACACACAGCGAGGAGGGTGGCAGCTTGCCGTGCATCGCTGCGGATATAAGCAGGTGTGCTCGCGTGTCACATGCGCCTTGCCTTGTGTCTTTGATGCTGTGGACGGAAGCGCTAATCTCATGACCCCGCGCCATGTCCAGACTGAACCCAGACGGCTTTCTCCGTACATTTCATACCTCCGTACTCGGCGTTGTTACAAGCCGCCCCTTAAACAACACAAACCGCAGCTCCTGCGCGTCCCTCTTACTAGTTTGAAGTGTGCTGCCGCTGTCATGAAACGTGTGGGGGAAATGGAAATGCAGCCCATGCGCCCATCACCTTTTGCTCTGTTGGGACATGCCCTCGCCTCATCACGCACCTCATCGCTCCTCTCAGCCCCTTCTCACAGCCAATCCAAGGACAGCCCCCCTGCGCCAATGCGGATCTAGCCAGCATCCAACCGAGACACATTTCTGCTGCACATGCCGCTCCTTTTCCGTACGTTACCGGTATTGCCAGACACAAAAGCCCCTGGGCCGCTTCTTCATAACATGCACATACACCCATACGCGCGAACAAAACTTCTGAATTTGTACAAACCCCCTGCGCTCATCCGTCATGCCGGATTCCGAGACACATCTGCTGCATCCGCACTCTGCCGTTGCCGGGTCAACCCCTCAAAACTGTCCCATGATGGAACGACGACCGGTGAACGAACGCACGGACACGGATACCAGCGTGCCGCTAGGTGAAGGAAGTGTACGGCACAACGCCCCCTAGCAATTCGCCGTACACCAAGGTCATGCACTCATTGACGTACGACAACTGCCGTACACCGTGGGCGCCTTCAACGGAAGCAGGTACTTGTAGCGTTATCGGTACGACAAAACACAAAGCGGCGCCAAGCCATCTACCAAGCAGTACAGTACGGCAAGTGCGCCGCACACGCCCCAATGCTATTCGGAAACGGTAAAAAGTACAATTTGCCAATTTGACGTATGAGCATAGGCATAACACACGTTTGAACTCCCGCCGGCAAATCCACGATCCACCTACCTTCCTTCCACTGCGTCTTGCGCCATCCAGCATGGATATCCCCTCGTGCCTATCTTTCGCAATAGCTTCCCTCACTCTCTCAATCCCCATGCTTCCGACTGGCCTGTAAGCCATCCGCTCAAAAGTCCGAATCCCTCTTCACTCCCGCATCTTCACAGTCTCCTACAACAGCTCATTTCCGTGCCACATGCTCCCTCCCTTTCTTCGGCTTCTGCGCCTTTCCTCCATGCCCCTGCCCCAGCCCATCCGCGCCACCCACCCCATTACCATGCCCCCCCTCATGCTGCCCCCCTTGCCTCTGCTCCGAAACCCCCACGCTGCCGCCCCCATGCGCCCCATGCACATGCCCCCCACCGCCCCCTCCCTGCGCCCCTCCCCCTCCTCCTCCTCTTGCCGCCGCCGCCGCCGCTGCTGCTGCTGCTGATGCCGAGCCCGCCCCGCCTGCTGCCCCTCCCGCTCCACTTCCCGCCCCTCCTCCCCCTCCTCCTCCTCCTCCCCCGCCCAGCTGCCTGCTGACCAGGTAGACCAGCACCGCTGCCGCCGCCACACCGCTGGCCGCCAGCAGGATGGGGCGCGTGTAGGTGCCGGACCGCTCAGCCAGCTCTGCATGCGGGTGGGAGGGAGCGAGGGTGGTGAGAGGGTGGTGGGATTAGCACGCAATAGGCGTGACCGGGATTGCAGTGCCCTCAGCGAGTTGCGGGTTGGGCAGGGAAAGAAGCGTGCGGTGCCGGGCAGCAGGGTAGGTGGGTCAGCAGGTAGGGTTATCACACACCGAGGGAGGGAGGCGGGGAGCGTCAGCCGGCTACACACAAGCGCCGCTTCATGTGGTGAGGCATGCGGCTGGGGCCGTGAGGGACGATGCCAGGAGGCTCTACGGCAGGCCGCAACAGCACAGCGGCACTCCCGACACGCTACAACCCTGCCCCCTGTGCCCTTCTCAACCACTCCTCCCCTCCCTCTCCCCCCCCGCCCCCGCCCCCGGCCCCCTCACCCGCCATCACCGTGCCCAGGTCCGTCCCGCCCTCCAGCAGGCTCCTCCCCGCGCCCCCCAGTGACGCATACACACAGCTCCACACCGCCATGCCCGCCAGCGTGCCCGCCAGGAAAGCCGGCAGCCCCAGCGGCGTTAGGCCCAGCACGTAGTTGGAGGCGGAGAAGGGCACCACGGGCGTGAGCCGCAGCAGCGCCACGGCCGCCAGCTGCTGCCAGAAGGAGCCGCGCTCGATGACGGAGGTGACTTCGGATAGCTTGCGGGCGACGGCGCTGGAAGAGGAAGAGGTGGAGGTGGGGGAGGAGGTGGAGGAGGAGGAGGTGGGGTCGCCCATTTCCATGCGGATGACCTGTGGCGGAGGAGGAGGGAGGCGGAACCGTGAGATGCGGTTATGTAGCGTTGCAGTAGAGGGTACAGTTCAGTAGAGTACAATGCAGTGCAGTGCAGTGCAGTGCAGTGCAGTGCCGTACTGCCTGCATGGGCCGGTTTCGTAGCTGCTCTGCGGCTGAACAGGCACTGGACACCTGAAGACCCCTGTTGCACCTTCTTGCCCGCCCGCCCCACCGCCATGCATGGTGTCTTCTTCTTACTTTCCCGCCCGCCGCCCCGGCCCCGGCCCCCCCACTCGCTCACCTTCTCCGCCAGCGGCCGCCCCACCCCCCGCGAGATGAAGAAGGCGTTGACGGCGGCTAGCGTCACCCCCACCAGCATCAGCACCGCACCCTTGGGGGGGACGGGAGGGGAGGAGGAGGAAAGGAGGGAGAATGGGGTTTGGGGGGGGGAGAAATTCCAAAGTGTGGTGTGGTGTGGGGGGACAAGCAGGGGTGGGTTCGCCGCTTTCCCCAGCAACCAGCAGCCTGCTCAGCCCAACCACCACCCCACCATCCCATCCCACCCCCACCCCCACCCCCACCCTACCCCACCCCCATCCCACAGCTTCCCTCCACCCTCATCGCACCTCCTTTCCTCCAAACAGCAGTCCGCTAGCCAGCGACAGCGGCTGTGTGGGGAAGAGCGGAATCATCTCGCTGACCATCACAACAGCCACGAACACCACTCCGCCGGCGGGTCCCATGGATTCCACCTTGTCCTGCGAGGTGGGAGCAGGAAGGGAGGTGAGGGGTGGGCCGTGTGGGCGTGAGGCAGGGTGGTGGAAGGCAAGGTTGAAGGACAGCGAGGGAGAGGTGGAGGGAGGATGCCGCGGCAGTGGTGGGCGTTGGGATGACGTAGGCATGCGTGCGTTAGCAACACGGGAAATTTTATTGAAACGCGCATTTAGACGTAATGTTAAACGCTCGGGCTGAGTGAGAACGTTGGATAACCCGTTTTACGTGCCGGGTATCACATGACGTCTGGGCAACAACGAATTAGATGGTACCCACATGGGCCAACCCGAAACACGGTCAGCCGGCTAACGATTAATACGACCATTTCCCAGTAATTTATCTTTTAGCAGAGAATACCGCGATGGAACGCCGCGAGTTACAGAGCCTTGGTTTCGCCGGTGCCCATCGACGCTCGAACGACTCACCAGAAATTCTTTAAACAAATCTATTGCTCCTCCTGAAAGCGTTCCGCCACTTGCCCAAGCTGAGTCTACCAAAACTAGCGAAAGACCTGAAGCAAGTGCCAAAGCGATAGCCGCTTTGAAATGGGCCAGCTCCCTTGAATTGCCGCTACATGACGCAGAATCCGCGCCAGAGATGCGCGCTGCATCTGTTGAGCACGCTCGTGTTAACGCTTCAGGGCTACTACTGCAGCAAGCCCTGCTGCTACTACAAGTCTCCTGCTCCACGTCGACTGGCTGTGTGGTCGCCGAGGGCGTGCGGGCTGCTGATTGTACAAAAAGTAATGCCCTTTGACAGGGTAGGAAATGCCGTCGGGTAAAAGCATGTCGCCCTTGTGATAGGCGGCACGGACCCTGTTGGAGGAGTGTCCGTGCCATCGCTAATTCTCTAGCTGCGAAGGCTGGTCCCACCTACACCGACCCACTTCCCTATACTCTTGCTGTGTAACAAAGAGTATTCAGTAGGGCTTGTAGCTGCTGATCGAGGCGCGATGGGACAAAAAGCTCTGGAGGTCGTTTGGTGGCGTGGCACGTTCGTGGTAGACACAAGCAACTGAGGATAGGGAAGCCCTTCGTTTAGCCGATGCAACAAGTGAAGAGAGTGTTAGATTCGGGTCTTGGTAGGCTGAGGCAGATTCGCTGGAACCCAGACATTCCGTACAACATAGCATCGCAATTCGCACAGCGCCATGGCATACATTCTAAGCAGAGGACCGAAAAACGAAAATAATAGTAAGGATGTTATCGTGATCTTGGTCTCTCTCCGCAAGCTTACCAACTGCCATGCACAATGCAGCTTGCACCTGCACTACTTTTCCCAGGGCTTGCCCTGGCCCGCGACACCCTACCCGCGTTAAGCCGCCTCCTCATTAACCTATCAAATGCGAATCCCTTGCAAGCCCGCTGCCTACACCAGCGTCGTCCCGTTCTACACGAGGCATGGGCAGTTAACGCAGCCGGGACAGCAGCCCCTTCCCAAACCTTCTGGCTCCACCCGAACATCAACATCTCAGCGGGTAGCTCCTACCGCCATTTCTCTTCCTCCTCGTCTACCTCTGCCTCGGGCGAATCCAGCTCCAGTTCAAAAAAGGCTGGATCCGGCTCTGGATCCAGCAACCAGCGGCCTCATGAGCTGCTGGCGGCCAAGTGCCGCGTGCTGCCCTTCAGCTTGTCGATCGAGGAGGCGGAGGCGGCGTGGGAGGCGCACCACCAGGGATTCTTCACGTCCCATCCGGGCAAGTGGGCCAGCGTAAAGCCCTCACTGCTGCCCTTCTGGTGCTTCTCCGCGGAGGTGCACATCACTGTACATTCCGCGCAGGTTAGGTGGCGGACGGGCAAAATACCTCGCCTTATAATGCATGCATGCATGCACGCATGCAAAACCTGCTCTCGTTCCACGCTGCTTGAATTCTCACGGGTATGCATGGAGCATGCAACCATCCATCACGCATGCCCTTCTACACCCTCAACCTCCATTTCCCTCCAGTGCATCGATCGATATGAACGATATCCCCATCCCTCCCCCACCTGGACCCCCTCCCTCCCCCACCTGGACCCCCTCCCCCACCTGGACCCCCTCCCTCCCCCACCTGGACCCCCTCCCCCACCTGGACCCCCTCCCCCACCTGGACCCCCTCCCCCACCTGGACCCCCTCCCTCCCCCACCTGGACCCCCTCCCCCACCTGGACCCCCTCCCTCCCCCACCTGGACCCCCTCCCTCCCCCACCTGGACCCCCTCCCCCACCTGGACCCCCTCCCTCCCCCACCTGGACCCCCTCCCTCCCCCACCTGGACCCCCTCCCTCCCCCACCTGGACCCCCTCCCCCACCTGGACCCCCTCCCAACCCACTCCGCCCCCCCTTCTGCCAGGTGGGTCGGGACTACCTGGCCTCCCGCTACAACCCCGCCACCCGCCGCAACGAGACCTATTGGGACACCGCCTGGGCCACCGTGCGACCCAACTGGCGCTACAGCCGCCGCTGGGGCGCGGAGGCGGAGCAGATGCAGGTGTACGGCGGAGCCAAGTACCGCCACGACCCCGCGTTGGATCGCATGAGGCCCCTGGAGGCGGTACGGCGGGCGCTGCCGTACAGCGAGTACGTGAAGCAGGCGGATGCACGGCAGGGGGGGCAGGGTGGGCAGAGACAAGGGCAGCAGGGGCAGCAGCAAGGGGGACAAGGGCAGGCTGGGCAGAGACAGGGACAGGGGCAGCAGCAGCAGGGGCAGGGGCAGCGGCAGTGGGGACAGGGGCAGCAGCAGCAGGGGCAGGGTCAGCGGCAGTGGGGACAGGGGCAGCAGCAGCAGGGGCAGGGTCAGCGGCAGTGGGGACAGGGGCAGGGTGGGCAGGGACAATGGCATCAAGGGCAGCAGCAGCAAGGGCAGCAGGGACAGGGGCAGCAGCAAGGGGGGCAGGGTCAGGCGGGCGGTGCTGACGGTGGCAGTGGAGGAGGGGCGGCAGGAGTGACTCCGGAGCGCATGTTTCCCTTCCGTTTGGGCCCCCAGGAGGCGGCTGAGGTGGCTCGGGAGCGAGTCAGGTGGGAGGGGGCATGGAAGGGATGGGAAAGGGTGGGAGCTGGGAGAGGGTAACGAGGAAGACAAGTAATCGGGTGCCAAGGGAGGGGAGGTGGAAAGGTGGGGGTGCGATGTTGGGGCGGGTGAGGGCTGCATGGAATGGTCTTTGACCCCCCATTGCGTTGGAATTTCACTTTTTACCCCCATTGCGTTGCCCTAACCAGCGGATTCCTATTGTTTCCTATGGTCTGCCCCACCTCCCTCCCCCCCAACTATCACACCACACATGGAAATTCTTCCCCTTATGGTTTGGTATGGTCTTTGACCCCCCCCCCTTCCCAGGTCTGCTGAGTTGCGTGTGGCGGAGTCGGAGCTGCTACGGCACTACGGGGGCGACCGGGTGCAGCTGGTGGTGGCTGAGGTGGTGTTCGGCCGGGGCCTCACCGCCACCCCCGTCTTCGCGCCCGTGTGGGTGTTCAAGACTCGCGTGCGGGGGACGGCGCTGAGGACCTACGTGGCAGGTGCGGGGAGCGGGAGAAGGAGAGTGTGTTTTGGTGGGCTGGGCTGAGGGGGGTTGTGCAATACCAGTAGGTAGGGGATTCCGTGGCCAGCAGCCCCCCTTCACCCCTCGCCAGTCAAACCCTACACTGCTCCCTGGTAGGGTTTCTGGTTGCTGTCCGGCTGCTCTGTTGCCATCTTCGTTGAGGTTTGGGAATGGGCCCCAGCATCCCGCTCATGGCACGTCACCCATGCAGCCTGCCACCCCCCTGCTGCTCACCTCCCCCACTCAGTTAGTTGTTTCCTCTTTACCGCCCCCCCCAGGCTTCGCCAGCGATCTGTCCTCGGGTCCGGTGCTGCCCAATCCCGACCGAGTGGCAGCGGTGGCTACTGCGGCGGGGGGCGCCGCATGGTGGCTGCTGGGGGGCGGCGCGGCTGTGGCGGCGGGGGCCGGAGGGGCGGGTCTGGCTCTGGGGCTTGGACTGCCGTGGCTGGCTGGCTACTGGGTGGCGAGGTGGGGTAGGGCGGCACACACGGGGTGCGGAGGGGAGACACGGTACGATGGCATGCCGGTTGTAGTGGTTAGGGACACCTGGGGGCAACTGGGGACAAGGGGCAAGGGGCAACTGGGGACGAAGAAGTGGGTGCAGCGGTGGTGATGAAAGGTCTAGGGGTATGGTGAAGGGTAGGGTCATGGGGCCGCGAGTTCAGAGGGGCATGGGAGGGCGGAGAGCTGGTTGGCAGAGCGCCATGGGAGGCGCAGTTTAGGGCGGCGGCGGCCTAGGGCAGGCAGCACCCTCCACCCATCCTGCCACGCACCTGTGTTGCCGCCTTCTCCGAGTGCTTCACCGCCCCCTTGCTGCACCCGCCTCCTGCCCCCGCCTCCTGCCCCCGCCTCCCCGCCGCCTCAGAATGTGGCCGGAGCTGTACACCCTGCGCCTGAAGCTGCGAGCCCAGCTGCAGGCACCACTGCTGGGTGCACTGACCGCCGCCTTCCGCCAGGGGCCGCCGCAGCCGACCAGCCAGGAGCAGCGGGAGCAGCAGGCGAGGGCGAGGGCGGAGGCGGAGGCGGCGGAGGCTCAGCGGCAGCAGGAGCGGTGGGGCAGCTACGAATGGGTTCGGCCGGACACGGAGGATAGCGGGTATGGTTTCGGAGACGACGGGAGCTACAGCTACAGCTACGGCAGGCAGCAGGTGCGTGCTTTCTGTGCCCTGGGCGGCCATGCTCCCTCCTGCCGCCATGCTCTGAATCGCATGTCACCTTCTGTGTCCTTAGCGTCTCGATCCTTTGCGGTCTTGCATGCTCCCATCCCAATACCTTCTTCCCCTCGCTCCTCGTGTCTCACCTGAACCATGCCTCACCTAAACTAATCCCTTCTTCTCCTCCTCCTTTTCCTTCCCCACCACACTTTGGAATTTCTTTTTTCCCCACCACACAGGCAGGCACGGGTGCGGGTACGGGTACAGGTACAGGTGCTGCCGGCGGCGGCGGCCGTACCTCCTCCTCCCACTCCTCCGCCTCCGACCCCCGCGGCTACTACCGCACGTTGGGGCTGCGCCCCGGCTGCAGCACCGCGGAGCTGCAGGCGGCATTCAGGGCGGCAGCGCTGAGGTGGCACCCGGACAGGTGGGGGGACGGGGAGGGGGGGCATGGGGTATTGGGGTTGCTTGTGGAGACACCCCGCTGCTGCTGTTTCTGGGAGGTGCGTGCGGCAACCGAGTATAACGTGTGGGGTTGAGGGTACCGAACGGGGCCGTGTGTATGCGTTGAGGACATGCTGTTGCTGACCACCGGAAGGCGTCGGACTGAGTGAGAATTGAGAGTGTTTACACGGGTTGCCCAGCCTCAATGTGCTAGTGTAGCGGGGCTAGCATGTCCGTAAGAGCCATGCAGCTGAGGGGCCAACCCCGCCCTGTTGTCGTGTCTGCTCGCCACGCGGCACAAGGAACCGCTGTTGGCGCTGCAACACACACATCCACACTCACTGCTTCCTCATGACACCAAATATCCACCCTCTCACATCCCGTCACCCAAACCGTCATAAAGAGTGTAATGATAGTACAGTTCAAGTTCTAACAATAACACGTGGCACCGTGGCAAATCCTATACCCGGTGCCCCTCCTCATTTCCGACCATCTGGTATTTCCAACCCCTGCAACCCTTCACCCCAACCCCAAATCAACACCTCCATGCAAACACGGACACACACACCTGCTGCGGCGTGCGATTTCACACACTACCCCTGACACAACCCCCCCCCAAATTCCCTACCTCACCTCCCATGCTCTTACTACAACTGAATACAAGCCACCACGTCCTTCCGCCCTCTTCCAACCAACTAACCAACCAACGAACAACCCAACCCTGCCTCAACGCATCCACACCCACGCAGGCAGCCCGACCCCGCCCGCAAGGCGGAGAGCACCAGGCGCTTCCAAGCGGCTCAGGAGGCCTACTCGGTGCTGCGAGATCCAGCCCGCAGAGCCGCGTACGATAGATCCGCTTAAGAAGGCAGATCGGCAGCAGGCGGGAAACGCCGGTGAAGAGGCGGCACCTACCTCCTCCATGCACGGGTGCGAGGAGGGGCCCTTGCGGTGGTCACATACCGGACCGGAAACGCGGAGAGGCCTTGGCCAACCACAACACCTTGTAACGAGACACAAGCTAGCGAGCAGTGCAACGGCTCCTCCCTCCTCCATGCCATTCATCGGATCATCGCGTCTGAGTGGTAGATTGCCAGAGACGGCACGCATGCTAGCAATACCGGGGCACTGCGGCAGGTGCAGTATCGCCTAGCTGGGGATCCCATCCACATGCCAAGCCATGCAGGGACCACAGCAGGGAGCATACCGGCAGTCGGGGACCGATGTGGGACTCGCCTACCACATCACGAGAACATCTTCGGCCAAGACTAGCAACAGCGCTAGGCCGGAGGATTGCCCCGCTAGCGTTCAGCAAAACAGGAAACATCCATACCCACGCGTCCCCGGTCCTCAGCTCCCTCAAAAATCCCTTCCGGCGGCCCCAGCATACGTTGCTAACCTGCTCGGCTCCACTCCCTCTAACCCAACATGCAAACCAGAGCAGCATGTGGCTGAGGCGAAAGGCCGGTGATTGGGAACCACACTGCCGCCAACTCCACGCACACGTGCTCCGTTCGCCGGCTACCACTGCTGCGTCCCCGCTGCTGCTGACAACGCCACTAACAAGTCTTCCTCCAGCCGCTTCTGCTGCTGCTACTGCTCTTTACTGCACTTGCTCCGCCGCCGTGTTGTTCAACAAGCCGCCCGCGAGTCCCCCCTGCTGCCTACTCATCGCCGCGCCCGCACAGACTCCTCCTCCGCTAAACAAATAATGGGACGCCACCAAGCTTCAGGAGACACGCCCTTAGAAGACGATCTGCGAGGCCTTGACCTTCTTCTCCACCTCGTTGTAGGCCTCCGCGAACTCCTTGGCCTCCGCCTCGTCACCCTCGCCGCCCTTGAGCGGCTTGGGCAGGATGAGCAGGCAGGAGGTGGGCCGCTTGCTGAGCGCGGCGGCACCCAGGTCCTAAGAAGGAGAAGGGGGGAGGGTGGTGGGGAGGAAGGAGGGCCAGCGTGGGAGCGGGTTCGGGGTGGGCAGGGGAAGTGATGGAGAGATTGGGGTGATGCGTGGTGCCGAGGCGCCTGTGCAATTCTGGAGATGGGAGGTAGCTGCGGAGTAGAGGTACGCAGCAGCGAAGGACAAGAAGAACCCGGATGTGTTAAGGGAGTAACGGGAGAATAAACTCACCTCCTTGGATGGCACGTAGATGTATTGTACTTTGTGGTCCTCGCAGACGATGGGGATGTGCGTGAGGACGTCGATGGGTGAGATGTCTCCAGCAAGAATGCAGATTCTGCACGAAGGCAAATTACAGGCGCGTTACAGGAGCCCTTCGTCCTAGTCTGCCCAAAGCTCCGTTGATGTTGCAGCAGCGCCTGCCCAGACAAGGGGCAGGCGGCGGTGACGCCTACGCCCACGACAAACGTACCCTTTCGTGTTCTTTCGTAGCGCCTTCACGACCTCCTTTACTCCTCTCCGGATTTGCTTCCGCTTAGACGCCTTCTTTGCTAGCTTGTAAACTTTCTTGCATAGCTTTTCATCGGCGAGGGGCTTAGCAATCACAGAGCAGAACTTCTTCTTAGTCTCATAGTCACCACCCTGCTCGCTCTTCTCTGTTTCGGTCTTCTCGGACTTGCCCATTGCTAACGGTGCCGGCGGCGGCGAAGGGGTAGGTTACAGTGTGGGACCAGCAGGCAAACGTACAGTTACTAACAGCGTTATATTGTGCGTTATTAAGCGACCCAGCAGGAGCATAGGAACCTAACGGTGGCACCGTACATTGACCCCAGGCCGTACTCTCTCGCTCTATCCCTCGAACCTACGAGAATTCTAAAGGTAACAGTTGATTGAGGACCTAGTACAACAGCTTTAACGCTTGGGTTGCTTAAGAAACATCCAGCGAATTTATCTTTGCTTCGAGCGTCGACAGCCGCGTGCAACCAGATTGCAGCGCATGTTTCTTACGAACTTATAGCCTTAACATGATACGTTCTCAAAGTTGCTTACTTTACAGTGCACTGTCACGAAGTCCAACTTACGCATGCGAACACCTGCAGCTTAACTAAAGACCCGCGTACAGTCATCTAGCTGTAGAGGGGAGACATGGAGCCGGAGCTTGAGCAGGTATAAAGTTGGCTATGGCCCTGGCTTCGCAGTCGTGCGCACCCAACCGTCCCTTCCCACATGAGGCGTGTATCTTGAGCTTCTACGTCCCACCCGACGAGCAGGTCGCCTCCACTTCTTACGTTGGATCATCAGACATAAATGGCCGCTGGCATGGCCAGGGCAAGGTGGCCTTCAAGAGCGGTGCCACCTATGAAGGCGATTGGAAAGCTGGCCAGATGCATGGTCGGGGCAAGCTAACCTTCCCCGACGGCATCACGTATGAGGGCGAGTTCCAGCACAACCAGCTAACCGGGAAGGGGGTAAGCAGCCTTTTTGCAGCCTTCCCAACCAGCGCCGGCCTTTGGCCACTTCGCCATTAACACTTACAATGACCCCCTGACACTCCCTCAACCCGCCCCGCAGGTGTACACCTGGCCCTCGGGTGCGGTGTACGAGGGCGCAGTGGTGCGCGGGCGGCGCGAGGGGCGCGGGCGGCTCTCCTTCACCAAGTCCGCCTCCGTGTACGAGGGCGAGTGGCGCGATGGCATGCGGCACGGGCAGGGCGTGCTGTACACCAACATCACCCGGACCAGCTACTACAAGGGTGGGTGGCTGGGGCGGGGGCGGGGGTGGGAGCTTTGAGGGGCAGGAGGGCGAAAGGTGGGGTTGAGGAAAGGGAGCGGAAGGAGGGTCGTTGGTTGGTTGGTTCCATTCCATTCTTCCATCCAGGGTCGCATGCATGCTACGAGAGCCCTCCTCCGGTCCTCACCTGCACGCTACCGGCCGTCGCAACCCGGCAACCCTGGCAACCCTCCGCACTACCCGCATCACCCGCACCACCCACCGCCCCTGCTAACCACCCCGCAGGCAGCTGGGTGAACGACACCAAGCACGGCCCCGGCGTCATGCGCTATGACAACGGAGATACCTACGACGGCATGTGGGACGACGACAAGAAGCGCGGTCTGGGCACCATGCGCTGGGAACTGGGTCGGCAGCAGTACAGCGGCGAGTGGGACAACAACGTACCCAACGGCGTGGGGCTGCACGTGTGGTACTCGGAGCAGAGCGACCCAGGGGTCGCTGCCTCGCATGCGCAGCTCCTGATGCACAACCGCTACTACGGCCACTTCAAGAATGGCCGGCGGCACGGCTACGGCGTGTTGTACTACGCCACAGGAGCTCGTTACGAGGGCTACTGGCATGGGGATCAGAAGCACGGGCAGGGCTGCTACGTGTTTGAGAATGGGGAGGTGTGGCTGGGGGCGTTCGCGCAGGACCGGCCGGTGCTGTCGGCGGGGGAGAGCTTCGCGCCCTCGGGCACTGGAGTCGTGCTGCAGGTGGGAGGTGGTGACGGCGGGGGAAGGTTCTCGGGGGGGGGGCTCTGCGGGTTGTGGGCTGTGGGCTGCTGTGTTCCAGGGTGGCCGCATGGTGGTGATGGTGCTGCTGTGTGGTGGGAGGTGGTGACGGGGACGGGGACGGAAAGGGGTGTCCGTAGCGGGGGGGGGGGGGTGTCAGGACGGCCCAACTGCTATCCTCATCTTCGAGTGTGTGTGTTCTAGGTGGTGCATAAAAACATCGTGAGTCCCCGTACGACCCTCACCAACACCCGACTCCGTTGACATCACCACAACCTCATCAACACTCCCTCCCTCGCTGCCTCCCGTCCCGCGCTCCCTCCCTCTTCCCCACCTCTTCCCGCACCCAGATCGATGACCTAGTGGAGGAGGAGGAGAACCCCGCCCTCAGCCGCCGGGCCATCGGAAACCTGCTGCTGTGCTACAACACAGAGCTGCGCATGCTGTACGACAAATACAGGTACGACGGGAGGAGCTGTACGGGAGGCTTGAGAGCAGCCGCAAAGGCCCCGAGCACCGGGCGTTCAATCCCCCTCTCGCACCTCCCTCCTTCCACCTCTGGGTTTCCATCCAACCTCCGTTTCCCTTTCCATCACTCCCACCCTCCCCCACCCTGCACCCCCTCCCTCCCTCCCCTCCCAGCAAGCGCGCCTCGCCCCACCTGCCCAGCAAGTCCGGCCGCCTCAGCTTCTCGCTGCCCGCCGCGGCGCTGTGGGAGCTGCTGGGCGAGTGCCGGCTGCTGTCCGCGCAGCTGCCGCTCACCGCCGTGGCGGACATCCTGGCGGCGTCCCGGAGGGTGCCGGACAGGCTGCGCGGATTCAGGAAGCAGGTGGGCCTATACGAGCCTATACGGTTCTGGAGGGGTGGCACGGGGGGGTGGGTACTGGGAAGTAGAGATGCATTGCATGCGAATGAAGCCTGGGGGGGAAGCAAGTTGCTGAGTGATGATGCCGTGATTATAAGCAGGACCTACTCCCTGTCGCGCTGTTTCCCGGACTTCCTGCCAGCCCTCTCCCTCCAGTTGCCCCACCGTATCTTCCTTTCCCTCCTCGCGCACGCGCACCCTTCCCCCCCTGCGCTTATCTTTTACATTCCCCTCTCCCCCCGCCAGGAGTGCCCCACCAGTCTGGACCCGCTGTCCCCCGAGCAACGCCGCTTCTGGGAACACCTCGCCTCCGAGCACACACCCGGCGGCCCGCACCACCCCGCCGCCGACCTCACCTTCCGCTCCTTTTGCGAGGCGCTCGTCCGCATCGCCGCACTGCGCTTCCACCACCTGCCCTCCTTGGAACGCCGCCTGCATCAGACGCTCACGCTGCACCTGCTGCACCTCGTCAACAAGACCAAAGCGGCGCCTCCGCCGCCCCCGCCGCCGCTGCCCACACTGCCCAACAACGTTTCCGTGGAGGCCGCGGCGGAGGCGCTGGAGTTGGTGCGGTACCAGGCGTCGTGCGTGTTTCTGCGGGCGGCGGGGGCGCCGCCGCCGCCGACTAAGGAGGAGATCGCGGCGGCGGCGGCGGCGCCGGAGGCGCGCGGCGCCGCCGCCGCCGTCGCCGGCGGCAGCGGCGTGGTGGATCCCGTGTACGGCGTGACGGCGGCCGCGCATGCGTTGGCGGCGGAGTTGGAGGCGGCGGGAGGGGGGCTGGGCGGGCTGGGTGGCAGCGGGCGGCGGCTGCTGCTGTACCCGCTGAGTCAGAAGCAGGCGCTGCTGATGCTTCTGTGGAACTACCTGTCCAGGAACATCTACGGGCCGGTGCAGCGGTGGGTGTACAGGGAGTGGGGGGGAGGTGCATCTATGGGGGTTGCATGTGGCTCGGACTAGGGCTTCATAGCTAGGAAGTATGCCCGGAACAGCGCGGGATGTCCGTGAGGAGGGGCCGGCGGCAGAAGCTGGTGGTTGTGTAGCCCCCTTCCAACCCCTCCTCCCCTCCCTTCCCTCCCCTTCCATCCGTTGCTTCCATTTGATTTCCCCTCCCTGTTCCCCTCCTCCCCTCACCCCGCACCCCAGCATCACGATGGAGAACTTCGACTCCGCAGACGCACTGGGCTCCCTAGCAGCCGGCGCCAGCTCCTCCTCCGCCTACCGCTGCGCCGACCTGGTTCCGGAGGACGAGCAGGAGCTGCTGCTGTGCATGGACATGCGGCTCACCTTCGCGGACTGGACGGAGGCGCTGTGGCGGATCGTGACGGACTGGGCAGACAACGAGGTGCCGCCGGCGGACCGGTTGGCGGCGGTGCTGGGGCTGGAGCCGGTGGTGGGGGGTGGAGGGCCGGGAGGGGTGGGGCTGGGTGGGAGGAGGCGGGCGGGGAGTAGTGGGTCGGTTGGGGTGGGGCGGGCGGGGAGCAGGGGGGGAATGGGAGTGGGAGTGGGGGGAGGGTTGGGCGGAGGAGGAGGAGGAGGGCATAGGGGGTTGGGTGGGGTGGGGGCTATTTCGCGGGATGAGCGGGGGATGATGATGATGGGAGGAGGTGGTGGGGTGGGGGTGGGGGTGGGGGTGGGGGTGGAGCAGGCGGTAAGTAGGTTGGTGTTGGATAGCTGAGTGGTTGGTGACGATGATGATGATGATGATGAGGAGGGGATGGGAGGAGAAGGGTGCGGACTGATTGTCTGACTGGGGTGAGGGCGGAGGCCGTGATGATGAGAAGCAGCGAGCGTGGGTATATGGAGTTGCCGGCTAGTCCTAGCCTGCCAGATAGCCTGTGTCAGGCTGGGTAAAGGCCTCTTTGTTTATTTTTCAGGCATCATAATGTGTCTCTACTGCTACGTATGTTTATGTGTATGTCTATCGACTGGTTGCGAACCGTTGTAGACTGGATTTGGACTACATGTGTGTGTTTCATGTCTCTGGCGCTTACACCACCACTGGTACAACCCACTGCATGATGAGGCCTGCCGTGTAAGCCGTGCCGGTACTCCCCAACAACTGTGGACCCGAGAAACACGTGTCTCCTCAAGTGCAGTGCCACAATACCGGTATTTGGAAACCTGCTGCATGCAACCCAACCCCGCCTCGCCGCTAAGCCGCCAACCGCATTTGTGTTCCCAACAACCTGCCGCCCGCAACGCAACCATCCCGCCAACATGAATCTAATGGGATTCATTCAGCGGGCCAGCAACGTTGTCTGCTATACAGCTGCTACACTACAACGCCCCAAACAACAGCCAGCTCGTCACAAGCAACTTGCCTCATCATGCCGCTTTTATCATTCACAGCCTTAAGAAGGCCCTAAGAGCCTACATACATCCTAATGGCGCGTGTCAAAGGTACAGACTCGTATACGAACTTTTGTGGACGTTGCGAAACATAACAAATCACATTACGGTGTATGCACATTTATGAAAATCCCCGCTGGGGGAGGCACTTGCTAGTTGCTACTCCCCCGCTTCTTCCAACGCACCGGCGACGCTGTGATGACAGGCCCCGAGACCACTCATGAGACGCACGAAAAACCCCACCAGACAGACCAACAGCCACAACAAGATTGGTCCGAGTACAATCGACTAACATGTAAGGACGTATCGCAGGCATATGCTATAAAACACGCCCCGACTTAAGTAGACGTGGACTCCTTAGAAATATGGCAGCGCATGTGGCGCACACCAGTTAGGTTTACCGTTAGGGGTTCGCATGAGCCATTCCCGTGTGAGGGTGGTTCGCATCTCCCACCGGAGCTACCGGTGCCTACCTCCTGCCCCTGCTCCTACCTCCCCCCCTACCTCCTGCCCCTGCTCCTGGCGCAGCACACCCTGAGGAAGATGTGGCATGCGGCGGTGGTGGCCAGGGCGGCAGCCTCCACCCGGGCCGCCAGCAGCAGGCCGCGGCGGCAGGAGGGGGAGGGGGAGAACAGGCAGGAGGGGAAGGAGGAGGAGGAGGAGGAGGGGCAGGAGGCCTCGGAGGCACCGCTTGGGCAGCCGCAGGTGGCGGCGGCGTTCAGCGGGAGCCGCAGCGCCGATATCAGCAAGGCAGTGGATGGAGACACCTGGACAGGCGGCGAGACGGCGGGTCGGGTCGGGTCATGGGGTTGTGCGTGTGTGGGTGGTTCCCACAGGGGGCCGACCAGATCAGGGAAAGCGTGTTGGCAAGGGCAAACACCCGCTTGCTCCCTGCCCGCATGCACTTTCACCTCCCTCCCTCAGCGACATGCCTCGCTGCAGCCGACCCCCTTTCCTGGAACCATACAACCCTAGACCTCCTGTCTCACCAGGCATGTCGCGGGCAGCAGCAGCCCCTCCACCAGCACAAAGCTGTAGCTAGCCCGGTAGGCCGCGATCACAGCCGGGGTGTCGGTTGCGTCAAACAGCAGCTTCAGGGACTTGGAGGCCAGGCTAGCAGCGAAGCGCGGCAGCCGCGCCGCCTGCCCCAGCCGGCGCCAGGAGCGGTACGGCAGCAGCAGCCAGGCGGCGAACGTGACGATGCTGACGCTGCAGCGGAGGATGGCGAGCAGGGCGATGGTGGGGGTGATGGTGTGGCGACTGCGGAGGAGGGCGATGAGGAGGAGGAGGACCTCCAGGGCTTGGCTGCGGGAGGGACAGGGAGGAGGCAGGGTTTGGAGGGCGTCAGGCGGACATTTGGGGGCAGCGGGGCCGGACTCGGAACTCCTGGAAGGGGCCTCATGAGGCAGTTCCTGCTGGTCGCGCCGCATGAAGGCCATGATGACATACGGTGCCGGCATGCCAGCGTAACGTTCATGCAACGCGACACGTAACGGCTGCAGGGGGGGGGGCCAAAGCTAGTGGAACTAGTAAGCGGAGCATCCTGGGGTTCCCAGACATGTCGGGCCTCACTCACCAGCCGGCGTGGGGCAAGAGCTGCGAAATGACCGCATGCCAGCGCCCACCCTACCCCGCCTCCCACTCCCTCCCGCCCCTCTCCCTCCCACTCCCTCGCCCCACCGCCCTCCCCCCTCTTACATGGTGTGCGCCTGCGTCGCCGTCCACCCCGCCACGTACCCCTCGTACTCCTGCGCCTCCTCCCGGCCCTCACGCACCGCCCCCGCTACCACCAGCGCGGCGCGGCACACCAGCGGAAGCAGCGGGGCGGGCGGGGCGGCCTGCCGTACACCGCCCTTGAGCGGGGCGGCAGACAGCGGGGATGCAGCACAGCTCTGACTGCCCGCAGCAACAGCAGTCTTGTCCTTGTGTTTCGGCTGCTTTCCTGCCAAGCCCTCATCAGCTGCAGCTGCCATTGCGGATGGCTGGTCAGTGTAAGGACTTGCTGTGCGGGTGCTGCTGTTGCTCCTGCTGCAGGTGTCGGTGCTGCTCGTGCCGATTGAGTTGGCGGATGTGGACATGAATGTGGCTGGGGCGGGATCCTCGCAGCCTAGCCTGCCACCGACACAGCAACTGCAGCCACTCCCACCTCCTACTCCCCCAGCAACAGCAGCAGCAGCAATGCTGCCGAGACCAGCAGCAGTGCTGCCGAGACCAGCAGCCTCCGCCCGCTGCCGCACCCGGGCAGCGGTGTACGGCATCATGCCGCCGTTGGACTCCATGTACGACAGCAAGTGCGCCGCCAGCTCTGCCGTACAGCCAGCAGCGGCACTGCTGCCGTACAAGCTGTTGCCGTACAAGTCGCTGCCGTACAGGTAGATGCCCAGGTCGAGCAGCAGGGAGCTCAGGTCGTCCTCTTCCCCCCGCTGCCCCCCCTCCCTGCTCCGGAGTTCCCCCGCCATGCGCCCCTCCCCGGCCGGCAGCAGCAGCAGCGGCTCGCAGCGGCAGGGCGCACCGCCCGGCAGACGCAGGTCGACCATCGCCAGCCCCGGCTGGAGCCCCTCCTCCTGCTCCTGCCCTGCCGCCGCCCCCTCCCCGGGCAGCAGCAGCGGCAGCTCCACCTGAAACCTGTACAACACCGACACCTGGCCACCCCTGCTCCGCTTGCTGCCTCTGCTGGTGGTAGCGGTAGCGGTAGCAGCCATGGACTGTCGTACCCGAGCAGGCAGGTAGCGGCCACGAGAGCGAACCAGCAGCTCCAGGGGAAAGGCAGGCGGGGAGGCAGTACCAGTTGCAGCCGGGTTACGTGCGAGGTGTGGTGCCACACCCGCCAAGGCAAGACCTGTCACTGCTGCTGCCGCTGCCGTACCTTCCTCCCCATGCGGCGTCCCCAACTGATCGCTCCCCACCTCCACCTCCACTTGCAGCAGCACCCCATGCACAGCAGCAGCGGTGACGGGTAGCCCAGCCAGCAGGGGGCCACCAGCACCGGCAGCCCCTGTAGCTGTCATCGTCGTCGTCAGCATGCAATCACCACCCAGCGACCCCCGCTGCTGCTGCTGCATGTGGGGGCCACTCCGCCCCGACGGCTGCTGTTGCCCCTGCTGCTGCTGCCCCTGCTGTCCCCGCTGCCTCAGGCCCCCAGTGTCCGGTAGCACCACCACCCGGGGGTGCACCCGCATGGACAGCACGCGGGGGGAGGGGGCGGCGGGCGCCGGGACAGTGGTAGCCGGGTCACGTGCTCCCGCCCCCGTCTCAGACCCAGTTGAGATGACCACCGCGGCGTCCACCGCCTCTGAAGCATTGACCTGCATTGCGGCTTGCATGGCAGGTGCGCTGCTGTCGCCGGCCAGCGTAACCACGGCAGACAGCCTCGCAGACGGCGGCAGCTGCAACGCAGCCTTGACTGCTGCAAGCACGTCCATGTCGACCTTCCCGCCACTCCTGCCCCCACCCTCACCCTCGCCGCCACCCTCGCCGCCAGCAGCAGCCATCTCCCCCACCCCAGCGCACTCAATCACAAGCTCCACGCAGCCCCGCCGTACGTAGCACCCGAGGAGCACCCGCGAGGAACCGCGCTCCGAAACCACACGACCAAGCTCCTCCTGCCAGCCAGGACGAAGCTGCTCTGGCTCGACGCCTTGGATCTTGAGATAGCAGGTGGCGGGCTGCAGGAAGGGCGTGTAACGGGGATGCCGTGGCGGACGCTGAAGTGGAAGTGATGGAAGGACGGGAGACTGCATGTCGGTTCCCCCAGCAGTGTGGGAGGTGGTGGGGGCTGCGGTGGTGGGGGCACTGGGGATGGCAGCTGCTGCAGCTGCTGCTGCTGCGGCGGCGGCGGTAGCAGGCGCGGAGGTTGGTGCAACAGCAGCGGTGGCGGTTGGCGCAGCCGGCGTCAAGGGGCTGTGGACTGCTGGCATGATACTCTCTTCCCCGCTTCCTTCCTCGCCGCAAGGTTTGTTTTTGGAGCCCTGAGGAGGCATTTGGGTCGCCTCGCGTGTAAGATGGGAGGAGGTGGTGTTTGACGGAGAAGTCGCCTGGGGCCGCTGCACGCGCCACCTCAAGCCCTGCCCTGCCGCCGCCTTGCATGTGCCGTCACCCGCTAACAAAGCACCTTTGCAGCCCTGACCTCCGGCACCAGCATCCAGAGTGCTGCCTGCTCCACCCGTTTGCTGAGCTCGGTCTTGCAGTTGCGGCGAACGAGGGTGTGGGTGCTGCCGGGGACGCCGTGAACGGAACCAGGAAAGAAGGTAGACCGTGGTGCAAGTCGCCAGCAGTCGGTGTGCCAGGACTTGGGCGAAGCTGACGCCGCGGATGTGAGGCTGGTCGATGCCGTGGTACCATGAGAAGAGGAGCACTCCGAAAGCGGTGTTCATGACACCGTAGACGAGCTCAATCCATACGTTTGAATCTTGCGGCTGAGGTGAGGGGGCGTAGCCAGGGGCGTGGTATTGGTAAGCAAGCGATGGCGGTGGTTTCATCCTGTGCACATCCACCGTTCGCAAGAAATGCTATGAACGGCTTACGACGCTTTCCTCTTTGTCCTCTCCTGCAATTCTTAATATGCCTCTCACCTGGAGTGTTATAAAGAGGAACGCATCTGCCGGGGCATAACCCTTGAAAAGGCGGAAGACACCCAGAGGAGTTGGAGTGTAACCAGGGCCGAGCCATAAATGGCAAATTGTTACCGCAGTACGACCCGCGTATGTGAACAACGGTGCCACAACGACGGTGTAGAGAGGATCAGGCAAGAGAAGTGCACAGCAAACACGTGCTGCGCATATAAGGTTGATGAGGGGTAGCCAGCAGTCATCCGTGAAATAAGCGAAATTATAAATGGCCCTAGGAGCGAAGCGTAAAATGTACAATCCTTTGGATGCTCTTGACTTGTTGCAAGGGTATCCTCGTAGCACTTCGTTTGGTAAGCTGTAAGAATGCCCTCCACACAAACCCTCAGTAACGGCTTTCAAGCTGATCGCGGTTGCCAGTGCAGCCACCGCAGTCACCGCAATTAAGTCCCTTTGCCGATCACGGCTCCGTAGCAGTAGCATTTCGGTATCAAGGGTCGAGACAGGACCTGTATGAAAGCATGCAAAGCTTAGGTTACGCCGTAGGCCTGTTGTCTAGCATGCCATGATCGTCCATCCTTCGAAACCGGTCCCGGAGCGGATGGGGCAAGCCAGCCAGCCACGCAGCTAGACGCCGTAGAAACCTAGAAAGCTGCTCTGAAAAACGTTGTGTTTTGTCACTATGTACTCGATTGTCGTTTTGCTTTGCCGTGCGGCCTCCTTGCCCTTCATTTGGGGCTTACATGAGCAGATGCTGAGCGCAGAGGGTCGACAGTCTGACACCGCAATTCAACTCCCTCTAGCGCTTAATACATCGTCTGGGCAAAAGAAAGATAACAGCGCCCAACCAACCAACCAGACCCTTAGTCCTTCACATCGCCACCGCTGCCCTCCCCTACCAGTTAGTCAATAAGTTAGTTGTTTCCTCTTTACCTCCTCCGACCTCCCCCCCTACCTCCTGCCCCTGCTCCTGGCGCAGCACACCCTGAGGAAGATGTGGCATGCGGCGGTGGTGGCCAGGGCGGCAGCCTCCACCCGGGCCGCCAGCAGCAGGCCGCGGCGGCAGGAGCAGGAGGGGGAGAACAGGCAGGAGGGGAAGGGGAAGGAGGAGGAGGAGGGGCAGGAGGAGAGGCCAGGGGCGTTTGCCGCAATCCCTGTTGCCAGACCGCCAGCGCTGCAGCGCCACCAGAAGCACTGCTGCCCCCTATTGTCAAGGTAGGCAGAGGCGACGGCGGCGTTGAGGGGGAGCCGCAGCGCTGAGAGCAGCAGTGCACCTCTGGGTGAGAGCTGCGGAGGGAGGGAGGAGAGGGAGGAATGGCAGCGCAGGCTGTGTGGTGGGTGCGGAGGTAGGTGCGAGGAGGGGGAGGCCAGGAAGGCGGTGTCAGACCAAGGGCTTGCGACAGGCTGCCCCCGCCGCCCCCGCAACCGACCCATTCCTTCCAGCCACGGACATGCACAGAGCCACAGCCCTCAGATCTGTCGGATCTGGGGTAAGCCGCCCAAGCTGCAGCATGAACATCGAATGGTCTAAACCACCGCCCCACCCACCCACCCCGCCTCACCAGGCATGTCGCGGGCAACAGCAGCCCCTCCACCAGCACCACGCCCCACCCCGCCTGGTACGCAGCAAACGTGAGCGGCGGAATGGCGCGGAACAGCAGCTTCAGGGACTTGGAGGCCAGGCTAGCAGCGAAGCGCGGCAGCCGCGCCGCCTGCCCCAGCCGGCGCCAGGAGCTGTACGGCAGCAGCAGCCAGGCGGCGAACGTGACGATGCTGACGCTGCAGCGGAGGATGGCGAGCAGGGCGATGGTGGGGGTGATGGGGGCGGTGTGGCGGGCGCGGAGGAGGCCGAACAGCAGTCCAAGGACCTCCACGGCTTGGCTGCGGAGGGACAGGGAGGGGAGAGGAGGGACAGGGAGGGACAGGAGGGGTTGAAGGGGTTGAAGGGCTTGCATGCGGCCACGCCAGCAGCACCATGACAGCACGCAGCATGTCCTCCGTTCCTCCGTTCCTCCACTGCCCTCCCTCCGCTCCCTAGCCAGCCCTTCCTTCTCCTGCCCCTCCCCAGCTTTATCTCCTCCTCCCCCCTCTTACATGGTGTGCGCCTGCGTCGCCGTCCACCCCGCGACGTACCCCTCGTACTCCCGCGCCTCCTCCCGGGCCTCACGCACCGCCCCCGCAACCACCAGCGCGGCGCGGCACACCAGCGGAAGCAGCGGGGCGGGCGGGGCGGCCTGCCGTACACCGCCCTTGAGCGGGGCGTGTGAATCCGCCTGCCGTACGCCGTTCTTACTGCCAGTGCCACCTGCTGCTGCTGCTGCCAATGCTGCTGCTGGTGCTGATGCAGCAGCGGAGGAGGAGCAGTCCGGGCCCTGACCGTCACTCCTGCTGGCCTTGGCCTGGACCGTGTTCGGCTCTGGGAGCCCGACACTCGGCTCATGTGCAGCACCCCGTGTCGGCTCATGTGCACCCCACTGCGCAGCACACACCTCGCTGCCCGCCACAGCAGCACCCGGGTGCTGACCCCCTTCCGCTGCGTTGGCGGCTCCCTCTCCTGCCAGTGTGGTGCATGCGTCCCTAGCTGCTCCCGCCCCCGCACCGGGGGGCGCGCTCGCGCCTGTACCCCCCGCCGCCGCCATCTCCTCCTCTTCCTCCTCCACCACCGGCGTTGCTTGCTGTGTAGGGGTCACCGCGCTGTTGCCGCTGCTGCTGCCGCTGCTGCCGCTGCTGCTGCTGCTGCCAGCTGGTAAGCCGACGCCCGGGGGGGTTGGTGAGAGCGCATCAGCGACTGCCGCGGGACCCGGGGGATCCTCTGCACCCGGATCCACTGCAACCCCCAGCGCCCCTCCTCCTCCTCCTCCTCCTCCCACCGCCCCCCGCCGCCTCCTGGCCCGCGCCTCCTGCCGCACCCTGCCTCCCGTGTGCTGCAGCCCGCAGGCAGCGGTGTACGACAGCAGCTGGGCCTCCATCCTGGACAGCAGGCAGCTGCTGCTGCTGCCGCCACTGCTGCCGTCCAAGCTGCTGCCGTCCAAGCTGCTGCCGTACAAGCTGTTGCCGTACAAGTCGCTGCCGTACAAGTAGATGCCCAGGTCGAGCAGCAGGGAGCTCAGGTCGTCCCCCTCCCCCTCCTCTTCCCCCTGCTGCCCCCCCTCCCTGCTCCGGAGTTCCTCCACCATGCGCTCCTCCCCGGCCGGCAGCAGCAGCAGCGGCTCGCAGCGGCAGGGCGCACCGCCCGGCAGACGCAGGTCGACCATCGCCAGCCCCGGCTGGAGCCCCTCCTCCTGCTCCTGCCCTGCCGCCGCCCCCTCCCCGGGCAGCAGCAGCGGCAGCTCCACCTGAAACCTGTACAACACCGACACCTGGCCACCCCTGCTCCGCTTGCTGCCTCTGCTGGTGGTAGCGGTAGCGGTTGCGGTAGCGGGAGCAGCCATGGGCTGTCGTACCCGAGCAGGCAGGTAGCGGCCACGAGAGCGAACCAGCAGCTCCAGGGGCAGGGGGGCTGCGGCAAGACCTGCGGCTGCTGCTGCTGCCCCTGCTCCTTGGCACTGCTCCGCCAAGCCCCCATCCACCGCCACTTCCACCTCAACCTCCAGCAAGGCCGCATGTCCCGGGGCAGCGGCTGCAGCGGCGGCTGGTGATGCCTGCAACGGCTCCCCAGCCACTGCCGCTGGCAAGGAGACCTCCCACTGTTGTCCCCGCTGCCTCAGGCCCCCAGTGTCCGGTAGCACCACCACCCGGGGGTGCACCCGCATGGACAGCACGCGGGGAGAGGGGGCGGCGGAGGGAGCTGCGGAGGGGGCGGCGGGCGCCAGGACGGCGGCAGCCCGCTCCTCATGCGCACCGGAACCACCCACCGGTGCCACCTCCGCACCCACGGCAGCAGCAGCAGCAGCCGCAGCCGCCCCGACTTCTGTTGCCGCCGCCACAGCGGGGCGACCCGGCTGCCGCCCCTCCGGCGGGTCCCCCCCTGGGTCTGTTGTTGCCCCCACCACTGGCGGCCAGTCCTGCTCGTCCCCCCCAGTTGCCACCACCAGCGCCACCAGCCTCGCTGACGGCGGCAGCGCCAGCAGCCGCAGCAGCTCCGCACCACCAGCACCGCTGCCGCCACCACCCGGCAGGCCCCAGCGCAGCAGCAGCTGACGCAGCTGATGACCCCCAGCTGCCTCTCCCTCTCCTGCTCCTCCCCCACCCACCGCCTCCACCGCCTCCAGCAGCAGCTCCACGCAGCCCCTCCGCAGGTACGCCCCTATAGCCAGCCGCTGCCCACCCCCACCTCCACCCCCTCCATCACCCTCCAGCAGCCCCGTCAGCAGTCGGCGCCACTCGGGGTGCAGCTGGTGCGGCTCCGCGCCGTAGATCTTGAGGTACACGCGGGTGAGGCGGGTGGAGCGGGTGTAGGGCTGCAGACGCAGGGAGGCCAGCGAGGAGGCGGGCGTGGGTGCGGGTGCGGGTGCGGGTGGTGCAGCAGGTACTCTGCGGCTGGTGGCGGGTGTTGCAGCAGCAGGAGGAGGAGGAGGAGGAGGAGGAGGAGGTGGGGCGGCGGGCGAGCGGTGGGGAACAGCAGGGGCGCCGCGGGCGGGTGGGTCGCCTCGGGCGAGTGCTGCAGCAGCGCCCATGCTGCGCCCCAGCTCGCCGCATGGGGCAGCGTGCATGGGGCTCGGGGGTGACTGGGTGGGGTCCACCGCTGCAACAACAGCAGGGCCGCTGCAGCCGCCTGCAGGGGGGGTTGAATGAGCCTGGCTGTTGCTGCTGCCGCCTTCGTCGGACACTTTGGCAGGAACGTCCTGGGTTTTGCTGCTGCAGGATGCTTTGGTTGCTATTGATGTGCACTGGCCCACCCCGTCTGCTGGCGACCGATGTTGGAGATGAAGATGGTGATGTCGCCGCTGCTGCTGCTGTCGAGGCTGGTCATAACGACGACGGCGGAATGTGGTGTGCAAGAAAAGGTTAGCACACGTGACTATGAGCCGCTGCACAAGGACCCGGCCGAGTTTGAGGTCGCGGAGGTACGGCTGCTGCCTGCCGCTGTACCACGAGCACAGCAGAAGTCCGCAGGCTGTGTTGTAGATGCCGTACAGAAGCTCGATCCAGCCGCTGGTTTGCGAAGTGGGCTGTCGTACAGGGTGTGGGGGCAATGGGATGGCATGTATGGGGGTGAAGTAATGCAGTTAGGATTGGCAGAAGCGCCCATAGCAAGTACGATATGCATAAGCAGGTAGCGCTTTGTTGTATTTGTCGCTCGCACCTGGAGAGCGAAGAAGAAGAAGATTTCGATTGGCGCATGCATGGTGAAGAGGCGAAAGGCAGACGTCGAGGTCGGCGTGTAGCCAGGGCCAAGCAGCACATGGTATAGCACTGAGGCGCTACGCAGTACATACGTTATTAGAGGTGCTAGGACGTCCGTGTAAAAAGGGTCCGGCACGAGAAGCGCGGACAGAAGCCGTCCTATGCAGCTGAAGACGCTGACGGTTATCCAGTGGTCGCGATTTAACGACGCCAGGTCATATAGGACTCTAGGTGCGAAGCGGTATATATGGGACGCCCGCACTGGCCCCGACCCATTGCATGGGTAGGTGGCAAGGACAGGCGAGTCCTTTGGCAGGCCGTGCGCCTGCCCCTCACAGTAAGCCTTCAAGATGTTTACATAGCTGGTTAAAAACACAAGGGCAGAAACGGACGCGACAGCGGCAAGGTCCCTTCGGCGATGAGGACTCCAGCGCAGCATATGATATAGACAGGATCCTTTATAATGTAATCGACGTGTATGTTGCCCTAGGAGACTGGGTTTAGCTGGAGAATGATTTTGGTGGGCCTAACATTGCAGAGGAGCCTCATATGGTGTATGTTTTAGCTTCATAGTTACCTCAACTACTGTGTATGTGCACTGCGGTTCACCCAGTAGCTCAGAAGCGGCGTCCATTACGTAATATGACTTGCGTTGGTACGACATCGCACGCTTCATGCATTTCACAAGGAGTGCTCGCAACTCACCTGTGACAGTCCATGCTCAACAAGTAATATCTCACAGACGCAAGATGAACCTTGACTTGAAGAAACATGCATAAATTAACCTTTTACTTTGCTACCTGTAAAGTATAGCTCCTCATGGACGGTCCGGCTTAACAATTTAAAGTATCCCATGCGACACAGCTGCCATATGCAGTTGTTACATTAGCCACGGCTAGGATTGCCCATCGGATCGACCAGGATAACCAAAATCCAAAATTCTACGGCCCAGCAGCACCAATTTTGAAACATGTTAAGGGCCAGCTTTACTACAATAGCACTTATGTGCGTTTTCATTAGTGTGCACCGCGCCACCACGCCTTGGCTCTTTGTCGCTTAAAGCGACACCAACCGCAAGCATAGCCTGCAACGTGGCTTTTGCGTCAGCGCTTAGAGTAGGATGCTGTAATTCAATCTACCAGATATACACTATACCTTAATTTAGCGTACAGCCGATCGTTACTGCCTTCAGCCTTCCTTCACTCGGGAGCGAGGCTTAGCGCCTCCGAACAATGGGCGTCGCAAACCTATGGACCGAGCTCGCGAAGTATGCCCATGTTTGCCGGACTTGGAACGGTTCTGACCCGGAGCTCGTCGCTGAGGTGTGCGGCAAGGTGTTGGCCATCGACACCTCGGTCTGGATCTTCCAGAGCTCACAGCAAAACGACCTCAAGGATGCTATCTTCGACGAACACGCGCGCGTGCTCTACATCATTTTATTTCGGGTGCGACGCGACCCCAATGGATGGCCGCTAGATGGGTAGTGTACAGTCGGCATTCGCACCGCGTAAAATCTACCTACGCTTCAGGCGTAAACATTGCATCGGGATGCTTAATTCCCATTGTACCACAGCGATGAGCAAGCGGAATGTAGTTTACACGGATGTAATTCCTCAACACGTCCTCAAAAGTTCTCCGTCCCTGCTCACCCTTTTTATCCTTATCCCACCTCCGTAAATCCCACCTCTTATCCCTCCCAGATCCTGAACCTGCTGCGCTATGGCGTCACCCCGGTGTTCGTACTGGAGGGCGACACGCCCGAGGCCAAGATGGGCCGACTCAACCAGAGGTGCGGGGGAGCGGGGGGGTGCGGGGGGAGGAGTTCTTAGGGGTGCATGCTGCCGGGAAGCGGTGACAACCCCCCGCATGCAATATGCGCGTTCTGGGCGACTGCGTTTGGTACTTCCTCCGCTCTTCGCCCGTCTTCACCCTCCTGCCCCCCCACCCACCCATCCCTCAGGAGCCTAGCCCGCGGCGGTGCGGGTGCTGCGGTGGGCAACCGGCGGGGCGGGCGGCACGACGCGCTGGGCCGCCGGGTGGTGCAGCTGCTGGACCTGCTGGTGGGGGGGGAGTGGGGGGGGGGAGAAATTCCAAAGGGGGGGAGAAGAATATCTGATGTGTGGTGTGATAGCGGCAAACTAGCTGAGAGGGAGGAGCCATGTGGCTCATGCATCGTACCCATGGCCCCCTTCCCTGCCCCCACCCCCCCACCCCCCCAGGGCCTACCCCACGTGGAGGCCCCCGGCGAGGCGGAGGCCATGTGTGCCGCGCTGAGCTGTGTGGGGCTGGCGGACGGGGTGGTGACCTCGGATGTGGACTCGCTGCTGTTCGGGGCGGGGGCGGTGTACCGGGAGTGCAGGCTGCAGGTGGGGTGGGGGGAGTGAGAGGGGGGAGAGGGAGGGGGGGAGTGCAGGCTGCAGGTGGGGGGGCGGTGGTCAGAGGTATACCGAAACCATAGGTTAGGGCAAAGCCTTGGGGAGGGGGCGAGGGGGAGTGCAGGCAGTGGGAGCAGGCAGCGATTCTGCCCCCTAGCAGCCGTCGCAAGGGACCGAGGGGGGAGGGCAGCTGGGCCAGGCTGGATCGGTAGGTTGTGTCCTGTGTGGGGTAACGTGTGGTGCGGGCGTGCAGCCCTCGCCTGCCGCTCATCCGTCATCCCCCCTCTCCACCCCTCCCAGATGGACTTGTTTGTCAGCCCCATTCAACACATTGGGTATTCTTCTTTTCCCCCAGATGGACGTGCCGCGCAACAACCTGCTGGAGCGGCTGGATGCGGGGCAGGTGGCGCTGAGGTGCTTCGGAATACGTGGAGAGGGGGCGGCGTGTGTGCGGGCACTGCAGGTGGGGTGGGGGGTGGGGGGGATGAGGAAGGGCGGGTGGTAGCAGGGTAGCGGGCCTGGCAGGGGCATGGGGGGGCTTACATGTGGCGTGCGGTCTCCGTGGCCTTGCATGGCAGGGGCTGGCGGGAAGGAGGAGGTGAGGTGCGGTGTGTTGCTGCTGGAGGGCCCTATCGCCGTTGCTCCTCTCGTCTCCCCTCCTCGCGAAGAACCCTCACTTCTGGCCCTCACGTGCTGCCGCTAGCGTTCCTTAACAGTGTACGCGTGTACCCCTCCCTTCCTGCCCCTGCCCGCCTTCCGCTTCCTGCTCTTTCCCCCCTTCCCCCTCCTCCCCTCCCGCCCCCCATCCCCTCCCGCCCCCCCCCTCCCGCCTCCCCCCCCCTCCCAGGCTGTTGCTGTGCTCACCGGTTGCGACTACTCGGTAGCCGGCGGCAGGGGGGTGGGCGTCAAGACGGCGCTGGACGCGGTGCAGCAGCTCACAGCGGGGAGGCAGGTGGGGGGGAGGGGGGGGCAGATTGGGGCGGGTGGGGGGGTGAGGGCGGGGACCAGGAGAGGGGAGGCAGGCGGGGGAGGGGGGGGAGGCAGGCGGGGCAGGGCGGGGAGGGGGCCCGGGGGAGGGGAGGGGGCCCGGGGGAGGGGGGGGAGGCAGGCGGGGGAGGGGGGGGAGGCAGGCGGGGGAGGGGGGGGAGGCAGGCGGGGGAGGGGGGGGAGGCAGGCGGGGGAGGGGGGGGAGGCAGGCGGGGGAGGGGGGGGAGGCAGGCGGGGGAGGGGGGGGAGGCAGGCGGGGGAGGGGGGGAGGGGGCCCGGGGGAGGGGAGGGGGCCCGGGGGAGGGGGGGAGGCAGGCGGGGGAGGGGGGGGAGGCAGGCGGGGGAGGGGGGGGAGGCAGGCGGGGGAGGGGGGGGAGGCAGGCGGGGGAGGGGGGGGAGGCAGGCGGGGGAGGGGGGGGAGGCAGGCGGGGGAGGGGGGGGAGGCAGGCGGGGGAGGGGAGGGAGGCAGGCGGGGAGGGGGCCCGGGGGAGGGGCCAGCATGCTAAAAGGCGATCGAGGCGATCGAGGTGAGCATGTGGCATCAGGTCGCTGTTTCGTTCCCCCTCCAGGACTTTTCATGCATTCATCCTCCCCCCTCCAGGACGACAGCGAAGTGCTGCCGGAGCTGCTGCGCTACCTGGAGACGGGTCCCGACCCACGGGTCACCGCCATCACCAAGTGCACCGGCTGCAAGACATGCGGTAGGAGGGGTGGAAAAGGGAGGGAGGAAGGGACGGGGGGAAGGGGGATGCCCCTGCCACCTACAATACCCTCACCCCTGCCACTTCGACACCCTCCCCCCTGCCACCTACAATACCCTCCCCCCTGCCACCTACAATACCCTCCCCCCTGCCACCTACAATACCCCCAACGATTGCTGCTACGGGTCATCGAGTGCGTAGCGTCGCGCTAGCCCCTAAAGAGCTTGCGAGCAGCCCTTTGTTGTTGTTGTTCCGGTCCTTACCCTCCCAGCTCACTTTACTGCCCCGCCCCCTCCCTCCCGCCTGCATGAATCGGGATATGGGATTGGGACTCGTTGTTTCACTAACTTAATGTTTTCCTCCCTCCCGCCTCCTCCCCAGGCCATGAGAAGCACGGCCGGCAGCCCTGCCCCCTGTGCGGCCCCGGCGTTTGCAGGCCCCGGCCCGAGGGGGCGCCCTGCTGCTGCGAGTTCCACAGGTGCGGCCCCCACCACAGGGCTGCCACCACCACAGCCGCATGGCACCGGGTACAATCCTGTACCGCTCCCATCCAGTACCGCCCTGCCCTGCCCTGCCCAGCCCCGCCCCGCTCCGCCTCCAACCGCTGCCCCCACTGTCCCTGCCGCCCCCACTGTCCCTGCCGCCCCTACTGCTGCAACCGCTGCCCACACTGCTGCCCCCCACCTGCCCCCCCCCACCTGCCCCCCCCACCTGCCCCCTCCCTACCTGCCCCTGTTCGCAGGTCTGAGCCGCAGCGCAAGTTCATGCGCACCATTGGCAGGTGAGGGGGGGCCGGGTGGGGGGGGTCCCTGGGTTCCGTGTTCTCCTCTCCTTCCTCTTCTCCCCCCTCCCCTCACCCCTCCCCTCCCTTTCCCCCGCAGGGCTGTCTCCACAGGTCCCTCCTTCTCCGCCGACTGCCGCACGGCGCTGGACGCGTTTGAGAGCGAGACGCGGCGCGCGGTGCGGGCGGCGGAGCAGCTGAGGAGCAGTGTGGGGGGGCGGCTCAGGTGGGGGAGAGGGGTGGGGGGAAGCTCCTGTTTTTCACAACGCTAGTAACCCAAAAGTTTGGCTATTACGCATTCCTATAATCCAGCCTAATGCGGAATATGTATCCCTATTGGTTCCCTTCCACTCCCCTCTCTCTCCCTCCCCTCCCTCCCCCTTCCCCCCCTCTCCCTCCCGCCCCCCCCCCCCCCCAGCTGGTCCCGCCGCCCCGACGTGTCAGGTGTGTTTGCGCTGCTGCACCCGCTGCTGGGCCACACCTCGGCGGACCCGGACAAGCTGCTGTGGACGTATGCAGAGGTGGGGGGCGGGGGCGAGGGGAAATAAGTGTATCCCTGTATCCCTCTTGCCCCTTCGTCCCCATCCCCCCGAGGATCCCCGGGTCGCGCGTCTCTAGAGTAGTTCCGGTTGTTGTGCTCTCTGCACGAGGAGTCATGACTCATGAGGACCTGGGATTGGGGGCTCCAGGGCTTCATACCGGTATCTCATTCAATCCCCCTCCACCCCCGCGCACTATTATGTACTATATTATTATTTAATTTTTCCACACCCGCCCCCACCCCCAACCAGGTTCGTGACAAGCTGCGCCCTGCGTTGCTGGAGTGGGACATGCGGCAGGGGCCGGAGCCGCCGGGTGGGTGGGAGGGATGAGGGAGGCATGGGGTGGGTGGGGGGAAGGGGGTGGGGGAGCCGCTGGGTGGGTGGGGGGAAGGGGGTGGGGGAGAGCGTCTACGGCGCCTGTTTGTTGCATGCACTTTTGGCTGACGGCTGCTTTCCTTCCGCACCCATTCCCCCCTGCCCCTTCTAGTTATTGTACTTATCATTATTTATATTTCCCTCCCCCCCCGCCCCCCGCACATGCAGCTGCTGTCCGGGGTGTGGTTGAGTTCCGCCCCCGCCGCATCAAGCAGGAGGCGGTCAAGGACGGGGGCGTGTGGGCATACCTGGTGGAGTGAGTGGGGGGCGGGGGGGTATATAGGGAGAGGGGGTGGCGCTGTCATGCTGGGGGTGGGGGGCGGGGTGGGGGTGCGGGCGAACCCCGGTAGTGGGTACCGGCACCCAGACGAGTGCGAGGTGTGGGCATCAACCTGCAGCTTTGCCCCGCCCTGCGCCGGTTCCACAGGTTTGACCGGCTGCCCTCAGTCAACGCCCCCGACGCCGCCTTTGACGAGTGCCAGCTGGCCAGCAGCCGCCTCAGCAAGGGGCGCCACGTGCGCAAGAGCCTCGTGCACAGCGTCTGGCCGCAGCTGCTGAGGGTGATGGAGCAGGAGGCGCAGGTGGGGGGGGTGGCTGGGAGAGGGGAGGAGGAGGGATACGGGGCTCTCCGCTCTACGCGGTGGCGGGTTCCAACCCAGATCCCTTTCCTTCCCTGCCCCCGTGTTTCCCCACTGCAGGAGAAAGCTGCCAAGCCCAAGAAGGGTCGCGGAGGCAAGGGGGCGACCGGCGACAGCGGAAACACGCTGGGATCCCCCGGGGGCAGTGTCGCATGTACGACAGGTACCGGTGCCACAACGGCCACCGCTGGCGGAGGTGCAAGGAAGGCCTCCGCCGCCGCCGCTGCTGCCGCTGCTGCTGCGGCTCCTAGCGCCGCCACCGCCGCCATCAGCATTCGCTCCGGTACGACCCAGGGAAGCAGCGATCTCATGATGCGATTCCTGCAACGTGGTGGAGGAGGTGGCGGGACGGCGGCGGCGGCGGCAGCTCCAACGGTGTCGGTACGGCAAGTGACGCCGCAGCGGCAGCGGCCCGACGGCGGCAGCGCCCCCGCCAGGACTCCTGCCAGCACTGGCGGCGGCTCTGCGAGGCGCGTCGGCGGCAACGTTGCCGTACATGATCCGTATGGCGACGCCGACGGCGGCGGCGGCGGCGCGGATGTTGGCGCTGACGATGACGACATGGACTTCCAGATGACGCAACGTAATGACGGCGGAGGCGGCGGTACGGCTGCAGGCGGCGGTACGGCTGCAGGCGGCGGTACGGCTGCAGGCGGCGCCGCCGCCGGGCCTGCGCGGGGTGGCTTAGCGGCAGGCGGCGTCGCCGGAGCCAAATTGGGTGACCTGATTCCCTTGTTCCCCGCGGGCGAGGAGGATGAGGAGGACGGCGACGGTGCTGGCGGGCTTGGCGGAGGTCGGTACGGCAATACGACGGCGGCATCAGCGCTGTACGATGATCTAGACAACGTCACGCCGTCACTGGACGAGATCTTGGGAACGGGACGGCCCTCACAGGCCGCCACTGCCGGCGGACGCCCGCGTCCGCGTCAACAAGGCCGAGGGCAGCACACTAAGGGCAGCAGCGGCGGCGGCGACGGTGACGGCGACGACGGCCGTGATGAAGAGCAGGAGGGCGACGAGCAGCCGGCGGCTTGGAGGGGTGACGGCGGTACGGCAGCGGTGGGTGCGCGTGCGGCCGCTGATGGGACCTTTCGTCCCCACCCGTCGGGGCCGGGTCCAGGGCGAGGTCCAGCCGCCGCCGCCGCCGTCAGCAATAGGACCGCCGCCGCCGCCGCCGCGGCGGCGGATGTTGACGCGTGTGGGGCCGCGGCGGAGGGCACCCGTGCGGGCGCAGTACGGCAGCAGCGACCGCAGTACGGCGGCGGGGGCGGTGCTGGCGGCGGCGGCGTCGCCGTCAACGTCGGCGCGGGTGTGGAGGTGTTTGACTTGACGGATAGTCCGGCTCCGGTGCTCCTGCGGCGTAGGGGCGGGGAGGCTGGCGGCGGCGGTGGAGCAGCGGCAACAACGGCGGTGGAGGGCATGGGAGATGTGGAGATGCAGGAACGGGGGGTTGGAGCGGGGCTAGGGACGCGTGGGGTGGGACGGCAGCAGTACCAACAGCAGCAGCAGCAGGAGGAGGAGGGTGATGTGGATGTGGTGATGGGGTCAGCGGTGAAGGCACCCGCATCATGTGGACGCATGCCGGCTGCTGCTGCGGCTGCTTCGGAGGCGCTGGCAAAGAAGCTCTTCTGTAGCGGGCCACATGCGGTGAACGGTGGTGAGGATGGTGGTAAGGACGAGGAGGAGGAGGAGCCGGACGGCGAGGAGCCGGGGGATCAGCACCGGTCGCGGCTGCTGCGGACGCTCCAAGCGGACCCCTCACCGCACCCAGCTCCGCAACCACCCTCACAGCAGCAGCTGCAGCACTCACAACAACGAACTTCCCAGCAGAGGACCGTTCCGCTGCAAGCCGACGGCGGTTCGCCCGCGAAGAGGCGGAACACGGGGGGCACGGGCTGCACTGCCGACATTGCAGCGGCCCCGATGCGAGGGGCGAAGGGCAGCGGCAGCCAGCCCTCGGCGGCTGCAGCAGCCGAACCACGGGTCGCTCCCGTCCAAGTCGACCTGACACTGTCGGATGACGAAGAAGAGGAGGAGGATAAAGAGGAGGAGGGCGACTGCGGCGACGTGGATGATGTACGGCATGTGCTACGGCATGTACGGCAGCACCCTACTGTGTCCCTAGTACGACAGGCGGCGGTACGCAGCTGTGGTGGCGGTGGTGGTGGTGGGGACGAGGATGAGGAGGAGGAGGAGGATGTGGTGGATCTGACGTAGGAGGAGGAGGAGGGGAGAGGAGGGGACCCATCTGAGCCTCTTTGAATTGTGACCCTGTGACCAGATCAAAGGAGATTAAAGGGATAAGAGGGCGGAGTGCGGCTTAATTAGGTGAGCGGGTGTAAACTGTCGCGGCTGCCTGGTGCTGCTGCTGCTCCCTGGTGCGAATTGTCTTTTATTGTTGTTGTTTGGAGTACTCTCGTCTGAGGCATGTGCTGTGTGTTAATAAAACTGGCCGCGAGTGCTGTGTGTGTGTGTGTGTGTGTGTGTGTGCATGTAGACAGTGGCGCTCAAGTACCCTTCCAGGGATTCTTCCCCTGGGGGCCAATCGCCGGTACTCCATTGCAGCAAACGCCACGAATGAACATAGCGGCTGGCGTGCCAGGCTTGTTGCTTGCATGCATGCTTGCATGTGTGGCTAGGAGACAGCAGAAACACACGGAGCAACGCGCAGTCAGTAAACAAAGCCGTGCAGCAGCCAACCCGCAACAAGAGCGCGGCAGCAGCAATGCGTGCTCTCCTGCCTCCTGGTACTGCACGCGTCCACCCTCAATGAACACGGAGCCAAAAACTACACCCACAAACACCAGTACTGACGGTCCTTCGTAGCAACAGCATGTGATACGTCGTGCCAACCCGACATCGCAACTTTGCACACCAGCCATTGGGTAACCGGTTTCCCAACCGGCAATGCACACAACACCCTGTCCAGCAACACTTGGGCTTTCCTCCGGAACGGGTTGATGGGTTCTCTTCGACCCGGAGAGGGTCGTACACTGGTAGCAGGGCGCAAGCAACTGCCCCAGAAGCACAACAGGAACGACAAGAAGGAATGTTTTCCGCTGGATGAAAGGAAGCACTGTCTGATGCATACATGCATGCATGCGTCCGTAGCGACCTGCACCACATTGCCACAACAAGGCAGTTTGCCTTACGCTTTGGGCATGCAATAATGCGTATACTCGGTACTCGCAAACTTGGGTTTTAGTCGAAGCACACACTCTCATTAAAGATATCTCATTTGCAACGCATACCTGCGAGACATCTTGGGCAACTGCAACTCGCAAAACCCGCCGCAACACCTTGTAGCGTGTACCCTCTGAACAGTCCAACGAGAAATTGACATTTGTGTACTTCGACCCTCTCTCTCTCCTGCTTCTCTCCTCCTCTCTCTCCGGCGGCTAAGCCAATCCACCTCATTGCGTCCTCTTCTGGAACTCCAGGCTGCAGCATTCTTTCGAGCTCCCATCCTCCCAACTGTATAGCAGCATCACAGACCCACGGGTCAGCCAGCGACACAACTCAACACAGAAACAGATACGGTGATGCTTCTTAATTCACACAACACATACAGCACTACTCATCTTCCATCGCTACTTCCTCCGCCAAGCGGCCCTTGTATTGAGCACATCACAACAACAAGTCCCACAAGTAGTCAACCAACTGACCCATGGGCCACACCACAGCCCTTGCACACTTGCCGCCTCCTTAACCCTCCTGCTGCTACAACTGCTCCTGAAAACGATTACCAAACGCACTTTCCGTCGCCACTGTTGCCACTGCCGCTACTGTCGTTGCTACTCCGCAACTGCTACTCCGCAACCGCTATTCCTGCTGCGGTGGCGTCACGTTGATCGGGTGGCGAATGTCCCCATCCGCCCCCAGCTCCAGCACTGCCCCGTCCGGCATGTGGCTGACGGAGAGGTAGGTGTGGCCGTTGTGGCGGCAGATGGCGGACCGCAGGGAGGGGGCGAACTGGGGTGCGGGTGGGGGGGCGGGCGGGGCGGGATGCGGAGGGGCCGGAGGTGAGTGCTAGGAGCGGGAAGGAGGAGCTGGTGCAATGCGACGCCTGCCAGCACTTAACACACAGTACTTCACACGCAGGTGCCCCCGAGGCAGGGCACATGTGCATGTGCATGCATCACCCTCAAAGCCCTCTGCAAGCCTTCATCATGCGGCACCCCTTTCGTTCAGTAGCCCCTCCGTCACCCCCATGGCCCCCTACCCGCACAGCACGTACGCACCCCTGCATGCCTACCCTGACCCTCACCCCCTCCCTCACCCCCGCCTATGACTCACCGCATCCACCCTCGCCGCACTGCCCCCCAGCTCCACGTGCTTGGCCACCAACACACACTCCGCCACCACTGCAGCTCCCCCGTACTCCTCCTCCTCCCTGCTCACATCGCATACGCACTCGCATTCCTCCTCCGCCGCTTCCACCATCTCCCCCACCGCCACCTCCCCCTCCCACGTCCCTTCCTCCTCCCCGGTCTCGTCCTCCTGCAGGGATGCCGCACTCAGCGGAGGCGGCGGGAAGGCAAACAGCGGACTGCGCACCGCGGTGGGTTCCACCAGGGGAGAGGAGGAGGAGGAGGGCGAGGAAGGTGAGGAGGAAGGCGAGGAGCTGCTCCCAGCGGCGGCGGCATGCCCCGACTGCTGCTGCTGCTGCTGCCACTGCCGCACCGCCCGCAGGTGGCCAGTACTGCCTTCGCTGCCTCTGCTGCCGCCGCCACCACCGCCGCCGCCGTAAAGGCCGCCGCCAGCAGTCGCCGCCACCGCCACCTCCACCCGCGCCACCTCCACCTCCACCCCCGCCCCACCCGCCCCCGCCCCGCCGCCCCCCAGCTGCTCCAACGCGGCCCCAGGCAGCAGGCGGGCGGCCAGGCAGCACTCGCCGCGCTTGCGGATGCGGGCGGGACCAACCAGGCGGTAGCTGAGGGGGTGGGGTGTGTGGGAGGTGAGGGTGCGTGAAGGGGTAGCATGGGTCAGCATGCGGAGCAGCATGACGTGCCGTGCCGTGCCATGCCTCCTCCTCCCTCATCCTCGTCGCACCATCTTCGCAGGCAATCATCGTTCGAAGTAGGAGTTACGGGACATTCAGGGAGATTCAGGGACAGCCGGCAGTACCCGCAGGTACCCGCAGCAGCAGCAGCAGTTGCACATTTCCATCCAGCACGCAGCCCACCGCACACTCTCACCAGCCGTACGCCGCCATTCCGGAGTTGGCGGGCAGCGTGTGGGAGCCGCACAAGCAGCAGCAACCGTTCAGAAGCACACCCCCGGCAGCAGCGGCGGCAGCAGCAGCGGCTGGAGCAGAAGCAGTTGGTCGAGATCGGGCCAAGCGGGCAGAAGAAGAAGAAGGAGGCGAGGGAGGAGGAGACGGCGGCAGGGCCCCGGTGGCTCCTCGAGGGAGCTGCAGCGAAGACGCACCGGCTGCTGCTGCTGCAGCAGCACGGTCTTCTTGGGTCTTTGTCACGTCTAATGCTGTTGCTGCGGTGCTGCTGGTTGCTACTTCGGGTTGATAATGATCGGGTTGCCGAGAGGGTAAACCATCAAGCAGGGTGTTTGCGCTGGTAGCTGCTGCTGCTGGAGTTGCGCCTGCTGTCGTTGTTGCTAGACGGCGCGGCAGCAGGGCCGATGAGAGCGAGAGGGCGCAGCAGCGCCGGCCTGCCGCGTGCGGAAAGAGAGAGAGAGAGAGAGGCAGAGTTGGGTCATTACCAGGAGCTACGGGAGACAACGTAAACGTCTAAGTTGCGCGCCGGGGGCGTCTGGCAGCCCGCTGTATGCTGCGCGAACCCAACCGTCCTCCTGCCTCACCTGCTGTTGCCCAGGAACGCCGAACTGCTACCACAGTCGGCGCCTTTGGCCCCTTGGCAGCCTGCAGGTGATGCAGATGGTGCATTTTTGGTTTAGCAAAGGTGAATTCCGCCGTTTTGGTGAGCCGATGTTGCGCAACACCAGCAACCTACCGGCGGCTCGCGACGCGCTGAGCGATAGCACAACGCGCTTTTCATCAGCATCGTCAACTTCTTGGTAAGCAATCTGGTCTCTGTTGCCGTAAACTGTCGGTTCCTCATCCACAACTTTGCAAACGCCTTGAGCTCTAGAGATGTATGGTCTTTGGAAGTATAGCTTTAAGAATTTGCAGGCAATATGGGATTATGGATTATGAGACATGCATCATTGTGCTTGAGTCACGGCTCAGCTGCGCTGAGCAACCTTGTCGTCAGCAGTTGGCAACCGCCCGCTACGGCAACTCCTTCGGATCGGATCAACACGGTGCGGACAAACACGGCCAATCCTGATGACCTCCTGAATGCTAGCATACAGACTCATTGCAAAATCCTTGGGCTGCTGCATACTGCGGACTTTTGCGGCTTGGTGACGTTTGCTTGCGCGCTCCTAAGCAAGCCGCCAACCTGTGGAGGTGCTGGATTGCGCGGCTTGTAGATAGGTCCCGGTCGAAATCCCGTAACTTGCATTGAGCGTTGAAAGGCACCGTTTGGTGGGATTGCTTGCAAGTAGTTTCGGCAGCAATTGCTGAGCTTCAACTTGCTCCCGTGTTTAAACTCGGCATGCATTCAGATAAGACACTGGGGATGTGGAAATGTGCGGATTGCCTGTGCGGTTGACCGGCGGCTTACATGCAGCTCGAATCCGCAAGCGAAAGTTACGTAGACTTGGAATTCTAAGCAAGGACCCTAACCCAATGAAACTGCAACTTAACACAGCGCACGCGCCCTCGTTTCGCTGTGCAATCCTTTGCGGTATGATCGCCATTGCCCCGTTGACCCATGGGTCACCCATGTAAGCCCTAGCTGGGGCTGCCTTAAGCGTGCCGCGCACGCTGGCTCTGCTTCAGCCGAATGCCTAAGCTATGCATTTCTAACGCCGTTATCCATTTGCTATACGCAAATCACGAGGTAGTTGCGATGTGGCCCCAGCGGTCCCAGCGTTCGAACGACCCACACAATGACCTCATACCCTCATCACCAGGCCTGTACGGCCCAAGGCGGCTGTCGCCGTTCCCTGCGCGCGACAAAGCATCATCACAGCCTCTGTTTCCCAAATATAGCGCAGATTGCTACAGTTGATTCGCACCTTCAGCAAGCAAGCGTATTGCGATTACGCTAGCGTTGGTTCGCAAACAGGCTTCGCATTCGGGCACTCCCCGCCTCAATCCTCACCGTCCTGATTTTGTCCCGAAAACCACTTCTTAGCCGGTTTAGAACGACTTAATACGTAGCGCCCTCAAAGTAAGTCTTCAAGGGTTGCGGATTCGAGCGCGGTTCTGGCTAAGCCAGGCGGCCTTATTGTTGCGCTTGCAAGTACCTGGCGCGCGCAACCTCGAAGGAGGCCCCACGCCACGTCGCCTCGCTCCATGCGTTGATAAAGCTAACAGCTCCTCCTCCTCCTCCTGTTCCATTTTGATACTTTACTGCAGAACTCCCAAAAAGCCTGAACTACTCAGGTCCAAAGCTGCAACAGACCTTGCTTTCATTTTCTTAGGATGGTTGCTATCGCGGTTCAACCTCTTCGCTCGGGCGCCTGCCGCCCGGCTATACCAGCA